GCCAGTCTAGCCTACGCAGATGGCCCGGTCTTCGACCATCTGCGACGAGCCGCTCTGTAGCTGCGTAAGTATCACATACTTGTACTTGGTTGGTAGGTAAATGAATGAGTCCAGACCAATAGCGTTACTTGCAAGCGTCCTGCCTCAATCAATCAATCGTCGCACAAGAATGGGCCGGTCACCCTGCTGATGAGACGACGTGATTCATCAGTTTAGATCATGACAGCCAGATATTTCGGTAGGCCGTCCAAGTGCTTCTGCTGCAGGCCATGCGAAGACGGATCCATTTGTTTGTCTGGCAACCTGTAAGACCATCAGTTTCTGCCTAGCGTTTCCGTAACGGCTACCTGCCATTCGCAGTGTAACTCAGCGGTGCAGGTGCAATTGATATGGCTCGTATCTTGGTCACAATTTACATAGGCAGGTAGTGTGTGGTATCTATAAAATGATGCTTATAGCATCTACTTTTCCAAGTTTACCCAATGTACTGTGCAGATAGAAACGTACCTATCTCAAGATAGCATTCCAGAACTGAGAGATTTCAAATTCGGATCGTTCCCGTGACAGAGAAAATCGGATAGCTGCAGATCTTAGATCGTGGCAGACCGTCTGCACTACCTAGTCTAGTTCTCTGTATTCATAGATACACTCGACAGAGTAGACAAATACCAGACATACTAGGAGAGTTTGATGGGCAAAGCCGAAGAACAAACTAGTACTGTGTAGCCTCGAAGAATTGCACATAGCAGTCATTCGTCCAAAAGCGACGCCCCGCTGGTGGTCTCCAACCTGCCTGAAATGGAAAGACAAGAGGATAAACTCTCTCATTCTGGCTAATATCTCCATCCTCTCGCTCACATCAACAATGTTACCCCATGTTAGTTTGCCTGAACATACGTAGTACCTCATGGAGAGTCCTCATTGGCTATTATTGCCCGCAGGTGTGATCTTTCGATTTTCTTGTAGTTTATGTACGCCGCACGGGATATACGGCATACGACCTAATTACATTACAATGCCTGTATTACTACCAGTCGTGGAGTACAGTAGCGCAAAAGACATCGCAGCCTTACTTCAGAGCCTCAGTCCAAAATATTACACCGAGTCGGGGTCTACGTGTGAAGCTTAGTTGCTGAGCCCTGGTTCCTGAAGAGGCAACTCGAAACCACTTCCCTTGGCGTGCCTTATTCACCATCCCATCAGAGAAAATCGTCTGGATAGCAAGCAATGAAGCATCTGCAGTCCAACACTTTCCAAATCAATGATTCCTTGGCGTACTAGAGAGAGAAGGAAAAGCAAAGTAAACAGAGGAATAGCGGGTAGGTTGCGCAGATTAACCTGCACAATCCCACTCGTGGTCCGCAAACTCTTCATAGCTGGTCGAAATAGCTCGATGCCGTTGCCGAATGGCGATTGATGGATAAGAGAGCAACTCGGTGTCTGTTAATTCTTATCATATGAGCTCCCTAGAGTCAACCTCCCCGACAAAGTTTCCTGCTCGTCAAGCTAGGAACGTCTGCCATGCCTGATATCATACTTGAAGTATGTTATGAACGCTAACAAGACATTTCTTCGTTTGATGCTGCCCATTGGCCTCGTCCAACGCAGCTCGGCACATGATAACCGTGACCCATATGTTAATTCGTTGGCTCGATATAAGTTGCAGTACTTATGCAATCATTGACCGGCCCCAGAAGAGAGGCAGCTAGAGGCTTACCTTGAACCTCGGTCGGTTGGTTCGGCATGGTTGGATCTCTTAGATACAATAACGCCAAGCATGTGGGATGCACCACCAACATCTCAGATCTTACCTACCCTTGGGACGTCCTCGACCATATCTTGTCATGCCGACACGTGGGGGCAGAGCCATATAGTAGTACAAAAATGCTCAGCAGGAGGCGGCTGCAGAGTAAGATATGGCGCAAGAGTACGAACCATAAAGGCAGAGATGTGATGGCCTTTACTGCATATACGACAATATATAGTGCATTGTATCTCACACACAGACTTACTCAAATAATACATCTAGCCCTGGGAAAGCGGTGACAGTCGGCGATAGGTTAAACAGATATCGCTACACTCCTTCCCTCCCCGGAACATACCCACACGGATAGGCGCGCGGGGAGACATTGCAACGGTGACGGACTCTTGCAACTTTGGGATTTGTCCCGAGATCTCGCCTCGGTCCCGGGGTGCGATCTGCCGTACGAGAGCCGCTATTACAATAGGTATACTGCAGATAGGTCAGCATTGTGGCGTACCACACCATATCATGCATATGCATTAGCATGCATCTAGTATATATCCATGTACAGAATTCGGCTCATGAAGCTGGTGCTCTTATGAATGTAGCCGTACGTATTTACATTAGTCTACCTCTCGAGTCTCAGCCACACGAGCCAGAAGTCGTCCGGTTTGCAGCCCGTCCTACCAGGGAGTGTAGCAATCACGCCATCTCTTGTTGTGGGTATGGAAACAGATGGATAGATAATGAAGTATGCTCAGTAAAAGGGCTCATCCACCAAGAGCTGCGCTAGACACTCATATGTCGGCCTGAAGAGTCACATTGGCCCCAGGGCTTATCTTGGTTGAAGGTATCAGATCCACGTACTGAGGTACGAATGGCCGGCGGTTTGACATGGACGTTATGTATACTACCGATTAAACCTATTGAAGGAGCTTATATTCCATCTAAGCCATAGTCAAAGTAGTTTTGCACTTGTTTTGTGTATAGAATACCGACGCTGCATCATACCGAGAGTATGTCAACGGTAACGTCAAACTCTTAACCAACAAATAGCAGAGGAATAAATGAACTTCCCAATTCAACACATTTCGGTGTACAAGGGGAAAATTCAGGATGTAGAATGTAAACACAGGAGTAGGTGATGTGGTTGGCTCCCGCCCCCTTCGAACTACGGTCACTTTCAACCCACAACTCAACTCTCGACGATAAGAACACGGCACAGACAATAAAACCCACGAGACTCTACCAACACTCACCCTCGGAGTTAGATAACTACCAGAACTCAAGACTATAAACATTGGGTGCCGAGAACAGATCTCCTGCCAACCGGAAAGCTTAGCGTCTGCGAGAATACATGCGCCCTGTCAATATTAGGCCCGGGCTGCAGCATATCTGGTTCCATATCTGCATAAACAGTAAGCCACGGGAGCACAGTTAAGAGAAGGGACACGGTTCCGAGAGCGGCCTGCTGTTGCTGTTGTATGGGCTGGACCCCTATACCGGCAAATATTCGATCGATTCAAAGAATGCCGGCGCTAGGGAAGCAGCGGATGCGTTCGTACAGTCACCTCGACGCCCAAATTCGGAAATCAACTCGTTACAGTTGCAATGTAACCACGGCAAATTATCATGTTGTCACTAGGTAGCGGACTGCTTCGCGGATGGTAGGTTTCCTGTCGCCAGCGAACCCCCCCTTTTCCTACCGTATCGTGGCCTCGAGGGCCCGTTGTCCGAGACTAATTGGATCGTATCTCATTCGGGTATTCGCTGAGCGTGTTGACTCCTGCCTAATTGCTTCCCTCGAAGTGACAGGTTTGCTAGGCAGCGTGTAACAACGCTGGGACGGCTTATGGGCGCTTGAGGCACAGAGATGTGACTCTAACGGCGATTGTCACCCTGAAGTCTGACATACCATAGGGCGCTGGGGCTACATAACACTTGTTAGCTTATTGAACTAATGATACAAACTTCGTGATACGACTCTGATATATCCATCCACACGACCAATCTTGGCAGAGTAGTCAAGCGAGTAACCGTTGCGTCGGATTGATTGTATCGACTGGGATAGTTTGAAATGATGGCCAGAACGAAACTCTATTTGCAATTATTTACAGGTTTCTCTGGGATTTCAGCATCCAACCATACACGGTGAATTAGATGAGATGATTCGAGTTGGCTTGATAATCGTTGAGACCGCCGCTTGGTTGCGTACACCGCCTTGGGTATCTCGATGGATGCCGACTAGTTGTCGTTCGGGCTACGACTGCGAATTACAAGGTATGTCCTCACGTTTTTCTTATTAGCGGGCCATGAACGGACTACATGGAATATTTTGGTTTATACGAAGGACTGTTAGCATTAGATACGCTAGGACTCACCATGTGCGACTCGCCTCATCCTCTTCTCACACGTAACCCATCGTGGTGATCCGACGTCAAGCATCTATCTAAACACTTTGGGAGAAAGGAGTAGGCGATGGTAGAAATACTGACACATATCTTCCCATGCTACGCCTACCTATAATTTGGTCTTATCATCCGGTACAAATACAACTTAGGTTAATCATCTTACGATACATGTACTTTAAACAAACGAAGAGGGACATGAGCCCAAACCTCGGTAACCACAGTTGGGCAGATTGGTATTATTACTAAGTAGCATGGCTATACTTGAAACTGCGTGACCGCAAATTGCATATTCAAGCCATACCGTGGAACACTCTGAAGACAACCATTTGGGAAGCAGTACGTAAGTCTTGCTAGCTAGTCATCATTAGCCCTTTCCGACTATCGCCTTGCCAGCAGGAAATCGAATCAATCGTGAGACCTTGTGTACTAGTAGCATGCAAAAAGCTGCTGCCTACTTAACTTCCCCAGCTTTCCCCTGCAGCCGATGTGGAGAAGTTCGTCAGCCCCGGTACAGAAAGTGACGAACAAAGTCGCCCATCCACGTTCCTGGATTGCATACGAAACTATTCTGACTTGGTGTAAAGTTTATAATAATTATTATTATTAAGATCAATGGTATATCAGTAAATATTGTCAGATGGCTCATCGCTCTGAGCTTACATACATATATCTATTCATACAACTACTTATGTGTGTGAGGTACTGACCAAGCACAATCTACGTATTGAACAAGCCTAGGAGGGGGGCTGACAGCGGGGTATGAAGTCCAGAGCAGACCCCAACGCAGGATGGCGTCGTTCTTGACCGCCCTTAAACTGACATGAGGAGTATTTTTGTTGGTTCCAATTAGTTCCTGCAGAAGCTGACGTAGCTATTTCTTTATCTCGTCCAGTAGATACAGCTCTTTAGCTGCTCGGCTGCTCAACCTCGAGTCCTATGTCGTAATCCCTCTAGGTAGACATCTAGAGGTATCAAGGTATCGAGGAAGCGTCGCTAAGCGCCTTGGCATCGCAAGGCAGGCTGATAAGCGTTTGCTTGGAGTCTGAAGGCGACCTCAACCCAGAGGCGGGAAAAAGTTCTAGGTATCGTGTGTTAGCATACATGCCAATTGTCAAATAATTACACGAATTGTGACAATTCATCCTGTGAATTGAGACGGCGCAATAACTCAGAGTTGTTACTTGATCTAGTTAGATAGCGCTGTGACATCAATCTGCCAGCCTTTGCTTCATGATACCGCGGCAGAAGGGTTTCAAATCACGGCAGATCTGCTTGGCGATAGTTTCAAACACGCCACTGGGGGTCGTTTCAACCACGGCAAACCATGCCCTACTCTGATAATATGTATTCGTCTCTGAGCGATGACTCGGATGGCGAGGACTACATAATTCAATTTTCACCTGCTAATGGTCAATTCCCGCCCGCTTCGTCCAACGAAACGCCGCGCGTACCTAACGTCTTCATTCCGGACCCGACACTATTGCAAAGAACAGAAAGGCCTAAAGCGCAGAAAGCGGACGAGGAAAGCTTCTTAAACTCCCAGGCGGATCCCTCGGAGCCCTCCTTCGAACAATCTAGCCAACGGGAGCAGGCAGCAACAGCCACCTCCCAATTGCTACCACATCATCATCGCGAGGTTACGCCATCGCAGTCGTCAGCTTCACACGCCCCTTGGCAAGCTTCTTCCAGCCGGCATCGGTCTTCTTCATTATATTCGGAGGCACCGCCAGCTTATACCCCGTCGCCTGTGTCCCCAATCTCACCAATCCCCCACGGAAGCACCCACCAGCAGAACAGACCAAGTAACTATAACACTTTTGGTACTAGTCGCATGATGGGTACCTCAGGGGTGGAAAGCGAGAGTCTCCTCGGGCAGCAGCCTGAAAGCATGAGCGCACCAGTAGATGAAGAGAATGGAACCCCGGCATGGGCCAGACGCGTCCGCAGACGTATGCCTGCTTGGCTTAAATGGAAGAATGGGCTGCTAGCCCTAGCTATCCTGATAGCTTCGATAGTGCTACTAGGCGGCATATCATTTGCTTCATCCCGTCCTACCCAGGGAAATGGTGTAAGTTCTGCTCGCTCGCTGGGTATACGAACAGATTTGAACTGACGTGATGTCGAACAGTCAACCCCACAGCCTGCTGAACCTGTGGAAAAGGAGCCGGAAGCTCAAGAACCTGATGACTCAGGATCACCAGAATTACCGATTGAGGAAAACTTCTGCCAAGGGGAACAACACCACTATGACGATCAGGTCTTAGATCTAGACTTCGTCAAGTCTCAAAACCTCACGTTTATAGAGACTAAGTATCGACATCATGGATCTAACAGTGTCCGTGTTGGCGGTTATGTCAATGTACGAAAACTGAGTAATGGCAATGGCAGCCCGCGTAGTAAGTCATATCCGAATTCAATGTTCGCTGTTAGCTATTCTAGACCAAATAATGGAGAAGGGTGAAGCAGAACTCTGCTCAGTCTAGATCTATCCCATGTCCTAAGAGTAATTGCTAATACTAGAGGCCATAGTGGAGCTTCAGATGGTGACGAACGAGCCGGATCTACGTCTCTTCACTACCCTCGATGCCACAGTGCAAGAAGTCAAGGTTACCATCCCCGAAGCATATGAGAGTTCTGTACATGGGCAACGCCCTTGCGTTGAAGTGAAAGGCACTGTCTGGGTTCCCGAGGCTGCAGAGATTGGTGTTCTCTCACTCAGCACCGTTCACCTACCCATCGCCCTCTTCGACGACTTGTCTCTCCATGTCGCAGATTACGCAGAGTTATCCTCAGTCGTGGGTGACATAAAAGCAGCGGCAAGTGAACTTGCCGCGGGTGAGGAGGGCGCTGTAGCCTCAAATCCCGACTACACTTTCATCCCGGCAAAAGGCTCATGGGCATTCGACTCCCGAATTATCGAGGTCCACACAACTTCGGGTAGCATCGATGGTAACTGGCCATTATATGATATGTTAGGCCTACACACCACCTCTGGCAGCATTCAAGTTAGCATTACGCCGGGAGAAGAGCTTGAGGACCACCCCAAGCCCGCCGTCTTATCACTCACCACGATATCAGGCACCATCTCCGCCGCGGAACCCATCCATGAACCCAACCTCATTCCACAACGCGATTACCTAGTGGACGTGAGCACCACATCCGGCGGCGTGCACGGCGCACTAGCCTTCAGCGCAGGGATCACAGTGCACAGCACGGCGAGCAACCTGGCCCTCGATCTGCTCCCGGTCATCAACATGGACAAGATAAACGCGCGGAACCCCGCGCAACTCGAGACGATAACAACGAGCGGCGCGATCGCGGTCCGCGTCCTCGAGCCGAAGTTCTACGACGGCAACGGCAAGGCGCTGACGGCGCAGGTGCTGGATTGCCTGGACGCCACGCATAAATCCACGAGCGGCAACGTCGGGCTCCGGTATCCGCAGTCGTGGGAGGGCAGTCTCGACGCCAAGACCACGAGCGGCCGGATCGTGGCCAGAGGGAAAGACCTCAAGATTATCAAGTCTTCGCGCGGGTGGCCTGGAAGCATGGTGGAGGCGCGGAAAGGGGCCGAAGGAGAGAAGTCAACGATCGAGGCGCGCGCTCATCTGGGTAGTTTAGACATTCTCATTGGGGAGCAGACGTGAATGTCACGTAGCTGGGATAGCTATGAATGCGAAAAGGAAAAAACTGTGTATAGGAATGATGATATGAGGACGGTTGGCGGAGTTGCGATATAATCACGTGGTGGGCGGCATATTACGTATCATGGAAATAACGGTACTTACCCTCAGCTTTTTGGTCTTTGGTGTGGGTATTTGGCTTCATTTGGGTTTATTAGGAACGAGGCGTTGGTTGCGGTGAATATGAATTACCTACATCCATTCCTCAAACATCTCATGCAGTATGTGAGCGCATCTAGAAGCTGGGCCAAACAAAATTCATAGCATGGGTGCACGTGGGCTTTTTTCATGTGACTGCAATAAACAGACAAGTATAGGTTAGGTAGCTACCTAGAGATATGAGCGTCAAGTGGCTTGCTTGAGGCGTTTCTATCATGTCGTGATACCACCAGGCCTCGCCGACTTGAGCGGCTTGAGAAAGCAATGGGAGAAGCAATTCCATGTCGCGTCAGAGGCGGTGCGAAACAACACCGTCGGATTTCTTCATTCACTCGGGTTCAAAATGGGGTTGATCACGAGATGAATGTGAGTTGCGGATTGCGTAAGGACCTACGAGAACTCCCTGTTTACGACGTCAAAGAGCTGCCCTGTCCTCCCATTCAAAACTTGTTCGACCTGGACAGTCAATTCATTGTTTGTTGGCTTTTGGGTCGCTCTCCCTTGTTCCCATAATAGAAACAATGAACCGCCCTGCCACGACGACTCTCGGACTTGTACACTTTCATAGTCAGTCACTACATGTAAGAACCACGCGACTCGATCTTGAACTATTCCTCTCTTCTCTCTCCATTTCTCTGTTATTCGATTCTCCTACCGAATTATTTTCTAATTATTTGACCACTTACCTCGTTGCACTGGTTGCCGAGTCTATGTACATTCGACACTTTCTTTTCTCTACGCACACATTTGTTTTTGTGAGCATTCACGCCACTTTCATTGGCCATTGCCATACGACCTCAGACTCTTGCCTCTCTACGTATCTTCACGAACCTTATCCTCGCATCAGCACCCGTTTAACGAAGACCCACCATGTGCACCGAAGTCTACAACCTCTTTGGCGATACCAGCTGTCAACACAAGGAATACCAGAACACTTTCCCCTGTCACGTAGCGAAGAGGTGCGGTGCAGGCGATGACCAACTACTACTCAAGGAGACGGTGTTCCTCCCCACCCGACCACCGAATGTCCCGCCAGGCCTGCTCGGCTGCAAAGTTCGCAAAGCCACGAGACCGGTGGCAGGGAAGTGCCGAGACTGCACCCGAGGGCGAACACAGGCCGCGGACGGCAGCACTAGCAACAGTTTGACAATGCGGTCGTCGACACCTGTCTCGTCAACGAACTCGGTGAAGTCGACCGGTACGATGAATAGCACCTTGGATTCCATCGCAGAGTGAGGGTGATCGTTTTGGCTAAAGACATGATTTTCATACAGCCCGCAGATTGTTCACGCCGACCCCGAGCTCCCGTGCGCTGGCGCAGATGCGGGACTCGTTCTTGCAGGTATCGAGAGCGCAACAAGTCACGCCGCCGAGGACAGGGATGTATCGTGGGAAAGCTGGGGTTTGAAAAAGGGGATGCGTGGGATTAGAGTTGGCTGCGGTCCTGGCAATGGAGGGAGTTAGGCAAAGGAGAAAGTTTGTCACAAATACCTGCTTTTCCTATCTACGCCGAGAACAGGGTACTTGATTTGACTTTCATGAGGCTCTGATCGTAGAAGAGGGGAAAAGGGAGAACGGTTTTTAGATACTGGGGGTAATGCGGTTATACAAATTTAACTCTAGAGTGTCTCGGAGTGTCCAGGTTCACATGTGATGATACCACATAGGTAACAGCGTGGCGGATGTCTCAGCCTTGTGTAAAGTAAGATAGATATGCTGTGCTCGATGATTGAGGGGTTGGCAATGATTCAATACCTAGGTAATGTCTCGGGTAGCTGAATGATGTGGTGATGGAAGTCTTGTGCGAGTTTTGGAGAAGCGGATGTCACACTAGGTACAATGCACTCTTACTGAGCAGGACAGGGCAGCGCGGGGGAGTTGGGGGAGGAGTGCTGTTGGCGAATTTACTCGTACGATTAGTTCATTCTTAATGATTTCTCGAAGACTACCCAACCCGGATACTATGTACAGTAGGTACTGTACGTGAAGTAGAAGTTGGGACTGGACTCCCCCACGTGGCTTGGGGCGCTGATCTGGGATGCATGCCCTGGAAAGAGCCGTTAGAGGGTTGGAATGATTGGTTGACCCCGCAAGCTGAGAACCGGAAGATACCAAGGTACTATGTACATATTACTTACCTTAGCGCGCCAGGGGGGGGGGTAGGAAAATGGTCACAGCTAGGTTGTTAGGTCATAACAACCTAATATAGCTATATAAAGCTAGCTATAGCAAAATATAATAAGTACTTTACTTTTATATATAAAAGCTTTATATTTTTAATGTACCTTTTACTTTAAATTATATTTTTAAATGAAATATATGTTAAACATATGTTAAACGAAATGCATTTTTAATGTATAGCTATGTTTGACGTATAACTATTGTATAGCTTAATATTTATTTAATCCTTTCCCCCTACAGTATTTAACGAAGGCTACGAAACCTTCCGTTAAAGTCCTGAACTACGAAGCGATTGCGATAGGTTTCCTAGCCTTTAGGGTGGTGGTGGTGGTGGATTGGATTGATTGGATTGATCCTTGTAGCGATTATCCTTGAAGGTGGCGATGATTGGATTGGCTGTACGGCTAGGTCTGTATGGTTAGGGTCTGTATGGCTAGGGTCTGTACGGCTAGGGTCTGTACGGCTAGGTCTGTACGTACGGCTAGGTCTATATAGCTAGGTCTGAAATTTGACTAAGTTCGAAGTCTACGGCTAGGTCTGTACGGCTACGGCTGTACTGGCTGTACTGATTGGCTGTACTGACTGGCTGTAGGGGCTGTAGGGGCTGTAGGGGCTGTAGGGGCTATAGGGGGCTATAGGGGGCTATAGAACATGATGTTCAATACCATGTTGGAATCATGTTGGAAAACGAACACGATTTCGAAATAAAGTCATTTCTAATAAAAATACTGTCAGAATGCTAACATAATTTAATGTAGGTATACTTTCAATCTAAACAGCTGTGTGTCAACCAAATGAGCTAAACATAGTGAGTTCATTCCAGAGAATATCTAACATAAATTTCCTACCCCCCCCTAGCGCGCTAAGGTACTGTACGGCTGGACTTAGTGGACAGTAAAAGTGCTCTGACTCTGCTCTAAGTACCTAGGGCAGAGTAGGGGTCTCACCTGAAATGTTGTGGAGTCATTGTGACGCCCCTGATAGTCCAAGAAGGCATATATCGCCTGCCTCCGGACAGAATCCGGATCCTCAGTCTGCCTCAGTACCTTAGGTAGGTATCTACTATGTAGCTTAGCTCTCTTGCTGACCTGACCTGCGCTGGCCGAATCCCATCATTAGGTGCGACATTAGAGCTGCAACATGGAGCTGCTGTGATCTCGCGCACTCCGGCATCTCTGCCCGTCCTTCCCTGCCCGCCTCCGCCTACTTACGAAGTAGGTACCCCGGGTACTTACATGTGCAGACATGTGCTAACCTAGGTAGTAGCTTACCTACCTACGCTACAGCATGCAGCGGTAGCAAATCATGGACCCGACCGTTGGGGTCCAATAATATTCTTGCCTTCTTGATGTGAACCTGCTGCTGTTTTACAACCTACAACTGCGGCATGCGACGGCATGCGACATGTAGTGCGCACCAGAACCTATAACACTTCCAAGATATATACCGAATCTTTATATACACATACTTGTTGGAAGCTGAAAGAGAACCTGCCTTGATTCAATACTACATACCTACTCTTCCTAGGCACAATCCATCCACTGAACTTAGCAGGTATGGTGCCTACTTCCTCCTACAGCACAGCACCAGCCTTGCTTGATTACCGTATGGTCCCGGCTCGGGGAGGAGCAGCAGGGTTGCATAAGCTCCTACCTATTCATTCACCTTGACCTTACCTTCCTCAACTGCCTTGCCTGCCTCGTACCCACTACCACCACATCGAGCACCAACATAATAACCTCTTCAGTCTTTCCCCCTCCCTTTTTCCTCTTCCCTCTTCCATGCCTTAATTCTTAATTGACCGTCTGACATGAGATGAGAAGAAACTTGCTATGATTAGGTATTTTGTTCTCTCACTTGTTTGCTACACTCCAGCTTCCCCTACTGCTGTCGTCATCGCACGCGCCCGTGCCTACAAGTGAACTACGTCCGAGCTTCAAGTCCCTCGTATGATTGTCTTCGAATCTTTCCTGTCGTCATGGCCAAGAAGCCTCCTCGTCAGAAAATAAGCTATGGTTTGTAAACCCATCTCAAACACTGCCCTCTCTAGAATCCCTTCTGGAATCTTAATGCTTGCTCTTCGGAAATGTCTACAGTATAGATAGCTATCTCTTATTTGACCGCTCCGCTATCTCCATCCACCCCGCCTGTTCTCCTCCCCCCCTTCATCTCTTCGCATTCCTTACTTCCCAACCCCTTCATACTCGGCGCCCCTTAGCAGCTACAACAAAACACTGGAGCTGCGTCCAACTCTGACCTGGTCTATAGTCCTCGAACTTGATCACTCCTCCTCCGGCGGCCATAGACTCGGGGTAAACGGCCTTGCCATTGACCGCGGCAATGCCATACTGTATGTTGTTGGCCATTGCTCCTCTCTGAGCTAATCACGCTGGTCCAGGCTTCAGCTAATACTGTCGCACAGTTATTCCGGTGGAAGAGATGGCGTCGTGTGCGCCTGGGATCTCGGTCTCGACCTCAATGATTACCCTGCTATCCTCCCCTCGAGGATAAAACACACCACTTTTCGCGCCTCAACCCAAGCTCACACACATTGGATCAATGATATCGCCCTCGTCTCGCACCACTTTGCCGTCGCCTCGGCATCTTCCGACTTGACCGTCAAGCTGTGGCAGCCCTCCGGTAGAAATGAAGCCCACACCATCGGCCAGCATGCAGACTACGTCAAGTGTCTTGCTGCTCCTCCCCAGGGCGACTGGGTTGCGTCTGGTGGGCTGGACCGTAAGGTTTACCTATGGGATCTTCATGGCAGAGGCAAGAGATTGGAGATCGACGTACAAAGCGAGGACTTTACCCAGAAAGGTTCTGTTTATGCCATCGGTGTAGCTCGGAGTATACTTGCCACTGGTGGTCCCGAGTCTACTGTGCGGTTATGGGATCCCAGGACTGGCAAAGGAGTTACTAAGTTCGTTGGCCATACCGACAATATCCGCTCCATACTGGTGAACGATGCTGGGGACACTGTTCTAACAGCCAGTGCCGATCAAACAATCAAAGTGTGGAGCGTAACCGCCGGCCGATGCATGTACACATTCACTATGCATAACGACAGTGTCTGGTCACTGTTTTCGGACCACCCTGACCTAAGTGTGTTCTACAGTGCGGATCGTTCCGGTCTCATCGTCAAGACGGACACTCGTGGTACGGTTGAGCTGGACCAAGGTTTGTCTGTGGCCGTGGCCCAAGAGCACAATGGAATCAATAAGGTCATTGCATGCGGAACTTATATCTGGACAGCAACGGCGAGCTCATCCATCAACAGATGGACAAACATTGATACAGGACCGGACGCTCGCCTCCCAGAACCATTCAGGCGTATGCGTAGCGGTAGCACGACATCAGTACCAAAGCAGATTGCCGTCACTTCAATGAATACCTCTCCCCAAGAGATCCCTGCTCATTCAATACTGAAGATGTCTAATACAGCGTCCTTCCCGCCAGACATTAATTTACCATCAGAGCCAAACGCTTTTGACCCCGCCATCAGCAGGAAGGGCTCGGAAATCTCGCCTGACCCTATCCTACCAATAGAGCCAATTCATCGCCTACCACAGGAGACCATTGAAGGTCAAAATGGACTCGTCAAGTATAAATTACTCAATGATAGAAGAAGAGTGTTGACGCTTGACACGGCCGGAGACGTTCTACTTTGGGATCTCATCCAAGTAAGCCGCTTCTTAGCCATTCATATTCTGCCCGGCCACACCCTGACCTCTCTTTTTCTCTAATATGTGCTGATTTTCCAGTAGTGCGAAGTAATTCAGAGATTTGGCAAGCGGCACCTCGAGCACGTTGAGCCAGAAGTGAATACTCTCGAGGCTGTTACACCATGGTGTTCTATCGACACAAGCTCAGGCAATTTGAGAGTTGTCTTAGATTCCTTCAACTGCTTTGACGCTGAAGTATATGCTGACGAGGTGGAGGTGGAGGAACCCATCGATTTCAGGGAAGATCAGAGAAGTACGCAAATTCATATCAATTTTGAGCACAGTACCTAACGTTAATATAGTAAACCTGGGGCGATGGATTCTTCGATACTTATTTGCGAGATTGATAGACGAGGAAATTAAACGAGACGAAATTTATAGAAAGAAGCTGAACAAGAGTAGAGAAATGCGCCTGGCTGGTAGTCGCGCGGAGATATTGCGGCCGCTGTCGATACCTATTATTAATGACAACAGTGGAAACGCCACGGGGTCTCCGGTTATGACGCCTAAAGGAACCGGCTCCAATCTTCTGACTCCTGGATTAGGCATAGGAGTCGCGACGCCGGCTGTACACTTGCCAGGTGTACCTGAGAAGGGTGACACACTACTCAGCTCGGTTGAGAAACGATCTTCTCAAATAGATGGCCAGTCTGGTGAAGATTACTTTTCTAATGGGATTAGCTCTGCCGATACGCCTTACAAAGCGGCTACAACACCAGCAACTGCCGAACCACCGGTTGTTGAAATACCGAAAACGCCAGCGGAAACCAAGGATAAGGATAAAGAAACCAAGTCTCCGAGCACACCCTTCGGCAAGAAATTCAAGATTGGTATGTCGTTTGTTAGCAAGAAAACTAGCCGGTCCGCGTCGAGCAACACAGAGAAGCCAGTTATGGTAGAAGAGAAGCAGGAGGAAAATAAGTCGGAATCGTCTTCAAACCATGAGAAAGAAATTGAAGACAGTTTCCGGGGCACTATTCAAAAGATCCGCAGCGATTACGACAAGCAAGTGCTCGAGAATCCAGACCAGTTCGTTGAAACCAAGATCGCGCCTAGCTTGCCCAATGAGACACCTGTACTGCTGTTACCGCGCGGAACCAAAGTCTTCATCCACGAAGAGACCTCAGGCGGCAGTGCTGATGTGTATCGTGGAACGGTGATGACGGTTGGTGCAGATGCCGACATTATCGAAGCAAAGGCACCCATGTGGCTAGCAGAAGTTCTATTGACCGTAAGTGTCCGATCTCGACATGATGGCTTGATGTGTACAACTAATACTCTCCTACAGAACACGATCCCTCCTAAGGACCCTGTTAAAGTGTCATTTATTTTGCATCCCTGGCAAGATTCCTTGCCCCCCATTCCAGCTGCTGATGGCAATAATCGTCTCAACGCCAATAGGATGCTCCGAGTGAAGAAGATACTTGCATATGTAGCGGAGCGAATTGAAACGCCTCCTGAAGAGCCAGATCCCAATGCCTTGAAACCAGAAGAATACTTAGAATTATATTGCTACGACCAGGTAAGTCTCCTTTATTAACCTAGATTGGGCTCCTCTGCTCACCGAAGCTGCAGTTGCTACCAAATACCATGAGTCTTGCTACTTTAAGAGCGCATGTCTGGAAGGGGGGTAATGATATTGTACTGTATTACAAGGCGAATGGACGAAAAGAGATACCCAAGGTGCAAGCGAAACAGGAGGCGGCGCCGGAAGCCGAAGTCGCGCCAGCGTCTACACAGCCAGTTGTGACAGGTACTACGAATTGAGAACTTGATTATCCGGCGAATGAGTCCGTGAGGAGGGTATCTTTACTTCTATATCCAAGGTATGACCGGGCAAGAGAAAAAAAGAGACTTTCTCTAAGTATTGTACATATGACCTCCCGAACGCCTCAAAATGCATCAGGTAGTATGCTGAGCCTGTAATATCGACCAACATACACCGAGACTCGCATGCTTATCTGGGGTATTATAAAATCGTGCCACGTTCGAGTCACTCCGCATATGCTTAGATTGTATTATGGTCCGTCGTCACAAACTACTCTGCAGAGCGTTGGCGGCCCATTGGTAGCTACCGAGGAAAATAGCGCCCCCAGCACTGATCCAAGCGACCCTGGGTCCGATCCCGGCGAAGAAGGGACGTACTCCATGATTGTTGAACAAATCGCGTAGCACGGTGAGGACACTCTCCCTCTCCTGGGACAACATGACGCGCGTTTTCAGGACGTCCAAGGGTGTAGTGATGCCAGCTGCCACAGCACCTGATATACATCCATAGAGCGCGCTTTCACCGGCACCGACGTCGACGCCCCCTGCATTCATTCCCTGACTCCGCCGACGACCCCAGTCCTTGAGCGCTTCCCAGAGCGGGAACTGTATAACTGTGAAAGGAACCTCGCGCATGACGGTGATGCCCCAGCCGCGGTACAGCTCGCGCCAGACACCCCCGAACCCAACGGTCCCGTATTGCTGCAGAATGGCGCGCAACGCACCGGCGCTCGATCCGCCGTGGTGACCCGCCTGCGCGCGCTGCTTGACGACTTCGGTGGGCACGCGGACGGCGCACGCGGCGACCTCGCCCAAGCTCGCGGCGGCCATGTGCTCGAGGGGCTCGGCCCAGGTGCTTGCTCCTCTTCCTCTTCCTCCTCCTGCTCGAAGTCCTAGAGCATCATCATCGTCTCCGGAATGACGCCGCCGCCGAGCGCGCGACAGCACGTCTTTCACGCCTTCGTAGGTGCAGAAAAAAAAGGCTGCACCGGGCGCGGATCCGACGACAGCGGAACCCACGCCTCGGTATACACCGCGGAAACCGCCCGAGGCGAAGAAGCCGGCGCGGGACTGGAGACGGGTCTTGAGCGTGTCGAGAGGGAAGAGCGAGAGGTCGACTGTCGTGCCTGCTATGCCGCCGGCTAGGAGGGCCGTGGTGAATGGGGGGGTTTTGGAGAGGGGTTGTTGGGTTGCCATGGGAGGCAGGGGGATTTCTTATGTGTTGATATACCTAGGATATTAATAGATGGCCGGGGGCATGTGTTCGGAGGGTCGTATTGGGATAAAGTGATTAAAGTAGTGTTCTAGAAAATATCGCGATCACCATCGCGAGTCCCTTGGAGCAATTGTGAGTAGGTATTTTCCATGGGGGCCTGGTGAGCGAGTTCGGCGTTGGTTATGTAAAGCTACCTAGGTTAGAAATGTAGATTCCGATAATAATTTCTGATGAACCGACGCAAGCTCCCCCACATTGAGTGACACTGGCCGATGATAAGCTTGTCCAGATAAATCCATGTCTACAGTACGCATAATGCGCTTTACATTATGGATTTCACATGGGCTTTTAGAGATGCATGTTGATTGAGCTCGTTTTGATGTGTATCTGCTATCCAATGACGTACTGATACGCAATACACGGGGCGCCAACAAAAAGGATCTCGAGCCACACAACCCCTGCTATCATCTTGGGAGCTTTATAGCTTGCTTGGGGTAGGTAGGTGAGTTTGGCCTGGTCTAACTAGGTACACGTACGACGACATACCAAGGTACGCGTTTACCATTACGGGCCGGTCCCTGCAGGACAGTGAGAGCCGGCATCAGAGAATGGAATGGGCACACTTTCGCACGTCCTCCATAGAGGGGCGCGCCCCATCAGCGTCCGCGAGTTCGCCGACGCACTGCGCGCCATTTCGCCGCCACGCTTCCCTACCCTGGGGGGCAACAGCGGGAGAGAAGTCGGTATGTCTGTCGCCTTGGGAATGGATTCCCATTTCCTCTATCCACGACTCTAATTGCCATTGATAGGGATTGCTGTGAGCGGGGGCGTTGATTCCATGGCACTGGCCTACCTCTGTAGCCATCTAAAGAGCCATGATCGCTCCTTTCACATAGCGGATAACCCCCTCACCAAATTTCGTGCTCTTATTGTCAACCACCGGCTCAGGGAAGGGTCGGGCGAAGAAGCGGACGCCGTAGCCCGTGCCGTGCAGGACATGGGGATGCCCAGCGATGTCTTCCCCATAAGTTGGCTCAAGACTGGCCTACTCGGCCAACAGGGGCAGCAGCCAAACGACCTGCCAAATCTTGAGAGTGTTGCTCGCAAGGCTCGTTATCGGAAGCTAGGAGCTATGTGTGCCTTTCGCCATTACGCCAGTCTCTTGCTCGCGCACCACGAGGATGATCAGTATGAGACGATCCTGATGCGCCTCCTGCAGGGGCATGGTGTTCGAGGTCTCCGCGGCATGAAGACCGCCCAGGATATCCCCGAGTGCGAGCGCGTGCACGGCGCTCGCCACAGTGGCTATGTGGACGACCAGCGCAGACCTAAGCCCCGGTACAATTTTTCCATAATCAGAAATGACGCCGAACGGCTGAGGCAAGAGTTGAGGGCCAGCATTGATCATCAGATGAACGAACAAGAACTGAGGCAGTCCATCTTGGACGGAATCGATCACGACGATTTCGAGAAATACTACCAGATTCAGCTGGCTGTGTCCCTTGCCTTGAGCGGTATCGATGTTGAGAATGGTGGCGTCATGGTTTATCGACCATTGCTAGGATTCCCAAAGGATCGACTGGTCGCCACGTGCGAAGCCAACAACATCCCTTGGTGGGAAGACAGCACAAATGACGACCAGACTTTGACTATGCGAAACGCCGTAAGGCATATGTACAAGAACTATACCCTTCCCGTCGCCCTTCAAAAGCCCTCTATCCTGGCTTTGTCACGGCGCTGCGACCAAGAAGCCCGCGCACTGCAGGCCGAAGCCGACAGATTGATGGCGCAGACGAGGATTCTGGACATCGTGTCGCATATAGGCACTGCGTCGGTCCAGTTCCCAGACTATGGCATGTCTTGCTTCCCCAGAGACAAAGCGCGCCCCTTGCGCCGCCGCGCTCGTATACTGCGCCAGCGAGAGGTAGCTGGGCTTCTGATCAGGAGGATTCTTGAGATCGTGACTCCTGAGGAGCACCCAATACCCCTGGCGAATCTTCAGAATGTCATATCTCGTTTATTCCCCACACTATCCGACTCTCCCAAGGGACAAAGTATACCGGAACTACCAAAAGCCTTCGTAATTGCTGGCGTTCATTTCCTTCCCATTGATCCAGTATCATTATCACCTACTCAAGGTATCCCCCCATCCCAGAGCGCGAACCAACCCCAAGCATGGTACCTCAGCCGGACACCCTACCCTTCCAAACGGCCAGTCCCACATCATCGCTTCACGTATTGGTCCATACCGAGACACATCTTCGGCAAGTACACCTTCAACCCCGCAGACACCACATGGTCGCGCTGGCTCCCCTGGGCCCTCTGGGACGGGCGGTTCTGGGTCTGCGTGCGCCACCGCCTGCCCTACCGCGTCATCCTCCAGCCCTTCGCCCTCTCGCACGCGAAAGCCTTCCGCGAATCCCTCGCCCCCGCAGACCGCGATCGTCTCGCTGCTGTCCTGAAGCGCAGCGCGCCCGGCAAGACACGCTACACGCTCCCCGCGCTCTACCTCGAGGAACACCTCGATCTAGAGGACATGCACGTCCGACGGTACTACCCCGAGTCCCCCGCGGGCCTGCTCCGCTACGCGGGGGATACGGCTGCGCTCGAAGCGGACCCGAGCATCTCGGATCATCCGCGCGTCATCGACGTATCGAAGATGAGACTCATCGCGCTGCCGTCGCTGGACATCCGGATCCCGAAACTCGATGAATGGCTGGAGTATCAGATTCGGTATCGACGCGTCGATCCCGAGACCCTGGAGAAGGCTGCGGGCGCGAAGAGGGATTGTAGCTCGTTTGTATCGGGCAGGACCTTGCGCGCTGGGTCTAAGGATGTGCATGGGGGATTCCGGCGGAAAGGGGGGATTATAAGGACAAAGGATCGGAAGGGGAGAAGGAAATAGAGTAGGTAGATGGGGAATGGGAAGTGATTAGGTGGTATATTTACACTTATGATGCGTGAGTCTGTCATATATTATATTGTATATATAGAAAACGCGAAAATAGGTACTATAATAAGGCACACATTTCCCTTCTTGATTCAGAATTGCCGCATTTAATTAAATAATAAGATTGATCCCGTCCTATCTATCTCTCTTGTAGGTATAACCAATCAAACATGGTATTTCTTTATTAGTGTCCTAGCTGACGAGAGTATCCTAAGGGGCCAACGGCGCTGCTCTTCCGCGCCTGCTCTCGCTTCTTAGAGACAAATCATGGTAAACTCTAGTTATATAATGTTATAATGAAGGGGGATAGCCCAAGATAGTTAAAGGCTGCATGGTCCCAAAGGGAGTTGAACTGGGTACGGGTTCTCATCCTACCCCAACTCCCCCCCCCCCAAAGCACGTCTAAATCTATATAGAAACTTGGCATTTCATTCACAACTCGGTGCTAGCCTGCAGACCTTCCGCCGCCAGAGCTTTCTGGTAGTCCGCTATGGCCTTATCCAGGCTATGGACCACGGGGTCCATGAGTTTCGTCACGGCCTCTCGCCCGCCGCGGACGGACTTGGCGTTGAACTTGAGCTTTTTCCTGGTCCGCTCGTAGATCTGGAGGATCTCGGCCCTGCGCTTCTTGATCTGTTCCTCGCGGGCTTTCTCGGCTTCTACGGCGACGACCTCGATGCGATCTTTCGATCGTTTCAGGGCCTCTGCTAGATACCCGAGCTCAGCTGCCCGCTCGGGATCACCTGAGAGAAACGCGGACCAGAACTGGTGCAGGAACTCCATGGTCGTGGCGTGCGTGAGGTTGCAGTTCGCGGCGATTTCTGTGGGTAGGCCCATCGGTGCTGTGTCGTCTGCGTCCTGGCCGTAGAGTTGTGACCGTCTTTGCAACATGCTGTCGAGAATCTGCTTCTGGGCGTTCTTTCGGGACTCTCGAGATCCAACGTGCGGCTGTGGTTTCTCGTCGTCGTCGCTTTCGCTGTCATCGTTGATTCCTAACGAGGAATGGATGTTGACGCCTCCGAGGCCATCATAGGTGAGGCTTTTCAGATCACCCTGCACTCCTCCGAGGACTTTCCTGGGGTCCTGCCGAGAAAAGGCTGCGGCGGTCTCGGAAGTGCCATTGGAATTATTGGAGAAAAATCTACTTTGTTCTCGTATGTTGAGCATAATACGATGCTCCTCGCTGTCACCCTGTAAGTCTCGTAAAGCAAGTTCTTGGTATGTATCATCGTCCACTCGGGTTGAGTTTTCGGGATCGTTATCAGCCGGTAGCACGTTGGCTAATAGTTTTCCACTCAAACTATTTAATGTCTGTATGATGGGTACGTCGGTCCTGCCCCGCGGCCGCATCTCGACATCCTTCCGGTTGCCGCTCTTGAAACCTCCCTGATTCTCCTCGTTGCCCTCGAGGTTGATGATGTGTGGTACATGTTGCGCTAGAAGCTTGCTCGAAAAAGCTGTAATGTCTTCGTATTCGTCATACTTATCGAATATCTTGTCGGGTATCTCCAGTCCAGATGGACGCTCACCCCTTAGTTTCTTTGACAGCTTGCTAAGAAAAAATCTTTCCCAAAACTCATTCTGATTGAGGGGGGGGACATTTTCGTTAAATATGCGCTTAAGAAGGGGGTGCTGACTCATTATGGCCGAAATCTGCTCTTGGGTAACTTTAATCTTCAGCTCGCTCTGCTTCGATGGATCTTCATTTGGCACCAGAATGGGTTTGACTTGAGCGAGTACATTATAAGGGCCCCTCTTTTGACTTGATTCAATGGCGTAAGCTCGAAGCAAGTTGATCCGAGTAGACCAGAACTGGGTGTTGAAATTTGTGTCCGACATGGTGTCCGGCTTTGTCTTCCGACCCTCCATATACATCTGGTATAAGGTCCGGTCAGCTTTGAGAAGAGACTGTTGTAGGGCAATGTCTCCCTTCAAGGCATCATCATTGAACAGGCGAGCTACTGCAGATTTGGGATCGGAAACGCTCGCAGAGACTGTGGAGTTGCCAGCGCCCACTGGTGTTGCAGCACCCGAGGCTGGCTTTGGGAGACTGGGGTCATTGCTCTTGACATCTGCAATCAGTTTGGACAATAAAGTTTTGATGGCATTTGCCTCGCCCCTCGGATCTGAAGGAGAGTTGAAGTGGAAGAGGTAGGGCACCGGTTCAGCACTCTCAGCACTCTTTTCAAAGACTTTCAACATAACCTTGGCGGCTGTGTCAGGGGTTTGTTGGAGATCTTGGCATTATCAGTCAGTCGCTAGCGCCAGACAACGATACATAAGGCACTCACTGGTTATATTGGCAATTGACAGAGATAAGGCGGGTGGCCCAGTGGGAGCCGTGTTGGGTGTCCATGTCACCGTCTTCTGGTCAGGCGTGAGAGTGATGGTGCCATCCTTCTTCTTGTAAGCTGCGGCGCCGGTAGGAATGGCCATAGTGTGGTGCCGAAAGGTATTGATGCCCAGGCGTAGTCTACGGTCACAAGGGTCACAGAGACGACTCTAGGCGAGCACACGAGTTGGCGATCAAATGAAGTTCATCTCAGGCTACAAGTAGACAAGTATTGGTGTATCCAGTCGACAAGGCAACCGGCTGGATCAGGTTTCTAGGCAGGCAAGGTGCGATACGTTAAAGGCACGATTGCAGGCTCGTTTGAGCACGTAATCAGAGATTATCGTGTTACGGCAGCCCCCATACCATTGCTGGTGAATGCGACGTGTCGCTCGGACAGGTTGAGTTAAAGATGTAGAAATGAGAGTGATGTCGTTATCAAACTTGTAACAATGGATGCAAGCTTGAAGTACCTAGCCACAGTCTACGAAGCAGCTAAGCCATTCCAGGGTAGGCACGCTAGTCCACATGCATGGGAAGCCACACAAGGTACCCACCCGGTACTTGTATATATGTACCTAAGGTACCGTTGGAACTCCCGACTGGACATACCTATGTACTTATATGTACGCCAGTATGGTTGAGTCTGGCTGAGGTCATATTTGTGTTACCATGCAGGGGGCATCTGTATGGGCCTGTTAGGGTTCCAACTCTTCTGAAACCTATGTACGTATCTAATTATAACGTCATAGAAAATCCTCGGTACACAGCATCCTTTCGCATTTCCAACACGAGGATCCGTAGCAGTTCTCGGAAGACAGCCCTCTACAGTAGATGGGTGAAAAGCTTGACCAATCAATTAAAACTTGAAAAAAAGGAGAGCGAAAAAAAACACACGGTAATATACAGGAAACCCCTCGGGTTAGGTAGCCGGAGTATTCCTCTAAGCGGCGACGCAACTCGGTCACTTTTGAAAAAGCGAAATAGTGGGTCCGGTCTCTGGCATGACAGCGATGATACTCATCTGTTTGTCTGTTCTCTCATAGTTTTTTTTAAGCTTTTCTTTAAGCTACGCAGCATTGGAACGCCGCTAAAGAAGGTAGCTGAATCTCTTGGGACTGATGTTCCTTGTCTACAAAGCATTGGATATCTATCCCGTAGCTATCAGTGGACGCCCGGGTATATACGGCACACGTACGGCACATGTAGGTCGACCTAACTCTGCGCGCCTGACATTGATCGATTGAGGTCATTTATCAAGCCCCGGAAGCCACGTTACAACGAAAAGAGCGCAATACATGGTGGGAACTTGATTGGAGTGCCTGTGTAAAACCATAACGGTCGTGTATTGATTGCATATGCATAACTCGCGAGCGAGCGTGGCCGATTCATGCCAATGGCGCGGCGAGAACCGGGAACATGGACCGAATCAGGGCCGTTTCCTTGCGCTGTAGCCGTCACTGCCGCCCCAGCTTCCCGCTGAGGCAGCCGAGGCTTTAGCCTGTAATTACAATTCCGAGTTCTTGCTAGGTTCCTTGTTGCATTATCCATCATTTGGCCTTCAATCCCGCGACGGCTACAAGCACAATTGGAGTTTAGGGCTTGTAGCATACTCGGTAGCCCCGGCCCAATCCCGCTGCTACATTGGAGCACAGGTGGGGTCACAGGGCCGCGCACCTTGGGCGGTATCTTGGTGTGTATCTGGCGTATCTGGTGTACCTATCTAGTGGATCTAGTAGTGTGGTAGGCTGGCCGGGGTTTACCTGATCTACCTGAAGCCTCCGTCATTGGTGCAGGCTGTTGAAGTACTTGGGTCAAGCAGGTACTTTACCTACTCGCCTCATAACCTAGGCTAAGTGACCTACCTAACCTTGGAAGCTAGGTACCTACCTAGGTAGACATACCTAGCCAGGAAAGTGGTAGGTCATGCATGTAGTGTGTAAGTATAGGTAATACGGCAGTAGTACTTCACAATTTTCTACTCGTGCTTCCCTTCCCATCTTCGTCTCGCCTCTCCTCCAAATCTCTTTACCTACTCCTCCCTAATAAACCCTCACCACCGAAAAAGACTTACTCCGCCACTCCTTTGTCTCGCAAGAGAACGAGCTGAGATGAAGCTCTAAGTGGCCGGTGTACTCTTTGCATATTGCTGTCTGCTTTCTGTTCCTCGGGTTGATTATCAGTCATAATACTTAGTACTACCTAGTGCTGCTACTAGCATTATTATCACCACCGCTCCCACCACTCCCACCACTCCCACGTATCCCGCCTAACTCCTCCAAAACCGCCTGATCGAAACATTAGCCTGGAGCCATGCTACGATCTTCGTTGCGAGTCTCGGGCGCTCAGCTGTTAAAGGCTGGCGCCCGGTCCACCACCACGAGATGCGCCTCGAGAACCCCCCGATCCACGTCCATCGCTGCCGCTCGTCGCCCCCTCGCCCTCACATCCCAGACCAGATATGCCTCAACCCAGGCGCCCTCGCCAAACGATAACTTCCTGTCGGGAAGCACCGCCAACTATATCGACGAGATGTACTTGCAGTGGAAGCACGACCCCGAGAGCGTCCATGTGTCATGGCAGGTTTACTTCAAGAACATGGAGTCTGGCGATATGCCCATCGAGCAGGCTTTCCAGCCCCCTCCTACTCTGGTGGCGCATGCCGCTGGTGGTGTCGTTCCTACCCTCGGCCAGTCCGGCCACGGCGCTGATGTCACAAATCATCTCAAGGTACAGCTGTTGGTGCGTGCCTACCAGGCTCGAGGCCACCACAAGGCCGATATTGACCCCCTCCGCATTCGTAGTGGGCAGGACGGCTTCGCCAGCGTGAAGCCTAAGGAGCTGACTCTGGAGCATTATCAATTTACCGAGAAGGATTTAGACCAGGAGTTCAGCTTGGGTCCTGGCATTCTTCCTCGATTTAAACGAGAGGGACGAGATAAGATGACGCTGCGCGAAATCATTGCGACTTGCGAGAAAATCTATTGCGGTTCATTTGGTGTCGAGTTCATTCACATCCCTGACCGGGCCAAATGCGATTGGTTACGAGAGCGCATTGAGGTCCCTCAACCCTTCAAATACACTTTTGACGAGAAGCGCCGGATTCTTGACCGTCTTATTTGGAGCTCAAGCTTCGAGTCCTTCTTGGCTACCAAATACCCTAACGATAAGCGCTTTGGTTTAGAAGGCTGCGAAACCCTAGTACCCGGAATGAAAGCCCTCATTGACCGCAGTGTTGACTATGGTGTCAAGGATATTGTCATCGGTATGCCTCACCGTGGCCGTCTCAATGTTTTGAGTAACGTCGTGCGAAAGCCCAATGCGTCCATCTTCAGTGAATTTGCCGGTACGGCTGCTGCCGAAGATGAGGGATCAGGAGACGTCAAGTACCATCTTGGCATGAATTTCGAACGCCCTACACCATCTGGAAAGCGAGTTCAGCTTTCTCTCGTTGCCAATCCCTCGCATCTGGAGGCTGAGGATCCCGTTGTGCTCGGCAAAACGCGTGCTATTCAACACTACAACAATGACGAGAAGACGCACCGATCCGCGATGTGCATAACGATCCACGGTGACGCCGCTTTCGCTGCGCAGGGCATTGTCTACGAATGTATGGGTTTCCATTCATTACCTGCCTTCTCGACTGGCGGGACTGTCCACTTGGTCGTAAACAATCAGATCGGTTTCACCACTGACCCCCGATTCGCTCGTTCTACTGCCTACTGTACAGATATCGCCAAAGCTATTGATGCCCCTGTCTTCCATGTTAACGCCGACGACGCGGAGGCTGTCAACTTCGTTTGCCAACTTGCCGCAGACTGGCGCGCTGAATTCCAGTCTGATGTCGTCATCGACTTGGTTTGCTACCGAAAGCATGGCCACAACGAGACTGACCAGCCCTCCTTTACTCAACCCCTCATGTACAAACGTATCGCTGCCAAGGAGCCTCAGATCAAAATCTACATTGATCAGCTTTTGAAAGACGGAGCTTTCACTAAGGAGGATATAGAAGAGCACAAACAATGGGTTTGGGGAATGTTAGAGGACAGTTTCGCTAAAAGCAAGGATTACCAGCCTAGCTCCAAGGAGTGGACTACTTCAGCATGGCACGGATTCAAATCGCCGAAGGAATTAGCGACAGAGGTCTTGCCTCATATGCCCACCAATGTTGATAGGAAGACCCTAGATCATATTGGCGAAGTCATTGGCTCCGCTCCTGAGGACTTCAATCTCCACCGCAACCTAAAGCGTATCCTTGGTAACAGGACCAAATCGGTTGTTGAAGGCAAGAATATCGACTGGTCAACTGCTGAGGCTTTGGCCTTCGGCTCCTTGGTCACTGAGGGACACCACGTTCGAATTTCCGGCCAGGATGTTGAGCGTGGTACGTTCTCGCAACGTCACGCGGTATTCCACGACCAGGAGAATGAAGCCACCTACACGCCTCTCCAGCACGTTAGCAAAGACCAAGGAAAATTCGTCATCTCCAACTCGTCACTCAGCGAGTTCGGCGCGCTTGGTTTCGAGTACGGCTATTCACTGTCCTCGCCTAACGCCCTCGTAATGTGGGAGGCCCAGTTTGGTGATTTTGCCAACAACGCGCAATGTATTATTGACCAATTCATCTCCTCTGGTGAAGCCAAGTGGATGCAGCGAACTGGTCTCGTTATGTCTCTACCACACGGTTACGACGGTCAAGGTCCCGAGCATTCTTCGGCCCGTATGGAACGCTACCTCCAGCTTTGTAACGAGGACCCTCGGATTTTCCCGGAGCCGGAGAAGCTTGAGCGCCAGCACCAAGACTGCAACATGCAGATTGTTTACATGACCACGCCCGCTAATCTGTTCCACGTCCTGCGTCGACAGATGCACAGGCAGTTCCGCAAGCGTAAGTTGCAATTGAACCCTTGATTGCTGTCTCGATCACTAATGTTTTATAGCTCTGATTATGTTCTTCTCAAAATCCTTGCTCCGTCATCCTGTGGCTCGTTCTGACATCGAAGATTTCTCCGGGCCCGATGCCCACTTTCAGTGGATCATTCCTGACCCTGCCCACGAGGCTGGCGCTCTCAAGTCTCACGATGAGGTCGACCGTGTCATTCTCTGCTCTGGCCAGGTCTACGCCGCCTTACATAAGCACCGTGCTGATAACAACATCGACAACGTTGCCATCACTCGCATTGAACAGCTTCACCCCTTCCCATGGGAACAACTAAGGGAAAACCTAGATCAGTACAAGAACGCGAAGACGATTGTCTGGTGCCAAGAAGAACCCTTGAACGCGGGCGCTTGGAGCTTCACACAACCGCGTATCGAGACTCTCCTCAACCAGACTGAGCACCACGACCGTAAGCACGTCATGTACGCCGGCCGTAACCCATCAGCCTCGACAGCTACGGGTCAGAAGAAGTCTCACCAGAAGGAGGAGCAAGAACTCCTTGAGATGGCTTTCTCGGTTACACAAGATAAGCTCAAGGGCGAATAAATTAAAGCATAAGTCGAAGCAGGAAAGGGGGCGGATTTTTAAAGGTGTTCTAATGCATTAAGTGATTGTACTCTTGGGGATTGCAATTGCGGGTTTTTGTATTTTATCACAGACAACAATAACAAAATGTACAACGCGGCCTCTTACCATCTGTCGATGATAATAGATGAGGCAAGAAAGAAAGATAGAAAAAATCTGTTGAAATGATTCTTGAAAGTCTTACATGAGACTATGCATCTGATTCCGAAATGAGTATTATGCACTTTGCCTAGTTATTGATATTGCGGGTGATAGGCTCGTAGTGTCGGGTATCTTGTTTCGGTCTCGTGGGAAGTGTAATAGTTGTTGCGGGAGGGTTTGTTTGACTTTTCTATCTACCTACCTATCTATCTACCTGAGTGCCGAAATGCCTAGTCTAGGTGCCTGCCTACTTTCTTGGAGTTTGGAAAGCTGCAATTGAGGAAACGGAAAAAAAAAGTAATTAGGTACTTGATAGCTGGGATATACGGAAAAGTGAAGTATAATTCTATTTGAATGTTGGTACGTCGGATAGGAGAGGATAGAATTGGATACTTCTCTTCTTGTTTATTGATTGGTTGTTGTCTTCGACTTAATTGGTTTTGTATATTGTGTCAGGTCGATATATTAGTCTCTCTCTCTCTCTCTCTCTCTCTCTCTCTTTCTATATATATATATATGTGTGTGTGTGTGTGTTGTTGCATGTTTTAATTTCAATGTATGCAGCTCTCGCGGCGGCATGAGTCCGTGCTATGTCAGAAGTCTACGTTTATACGAAGATCCATTACATTAGCCCTTTGTATCAAAGATAATAGCATGAAAGACGTGGTGACGAAGTCGAAATGTAGTTCACGAGATTATATTTGTATCCTCAGGCTAGGTTCGGGGATTGTGTAAGTACACCAATTATTCAGTTATGATACCTTCTTGGGCTTTGCAAATGGTACAGGCCTTTAGTCGGGATCTTGTTGGTGTGCAGATAGATGGCCAAGGTAGGGTGCCAGTCAATTATGATTTCCATTTATTTACTTGTGTTTCCAGACGTGAGGATAAGTCCAATCTTTGTGCTATCCACTCGATACCTACGTACGCGGGATCTAAGAGTATAGCTCAATTGCATATCCCTATGGTCTTTTGCGCCCCAACTCAAAGTCTAACGCAATTCCCGCAGTCGTCGAGCTCTTATATAGCAATATTCTGAACCATCTCGTCCGCCAAGCGCCTCATATAGAACGCCTGCATATCCCTAGGTAACTTGCCAAAAGAGTTGGCGATACGGGCGACATCCTGCCGACCCTTCTCGTAGGCGGCGATATCGCGGTTCCCGTACACGTCTCTTCCGCTGGCGTACCCTGTCTCTAGGTTTCGGAAGAAGATATTGACGGCGACGCCGAAGTCTGTGAGGGGTGCTGTGGCGTGCAGCCAGAGAGGTGGTAGGAAAAGGATGTCTCCTGGGTTTAGTGTTGCTTCGTGTGGGTGTGTCATGGCGAGAGCGGGTGTTTCGAGGTTAGAGAATACGTCGATGCTGGAGCTTGATGCGCCTGGGGCGAATGATAGATGACTAACGTCGTCTGGTGGGAATAACAGGAGTTTCTTGGATCCTGATATTTGACAGTACACGTTTGCCATGACTAGTCGTAGTTGGTTAATATATGTCCATGTATATATATATCATGGTTCTAGGGAGAATCTTACCGTCGTAGTGCAGCCACATATTTACACGGCCTGAGATGCGCAGTACAGAGCTATGTTCATTTCGCTTGACGAATGATAACTCTGCAGGGAGTTGGAAATCACCTGCTATACCGGGGAAATCCGCTTCAAGAGTGCCTGGCAGGTCAGATGGATGCTCGCTTGAGAGAGCCCGCAGGTACTGCTTCCCGCCTGGCTCGACTTCCTTGATGAAAGACGCGAAATCTTTCGTTATGTAGCTAAAGTTTTTTGCATTGAAATCCATTGTTGAACTAGAAGCTTCGTGGACAACGACCTAGCCTGTTATTAGCTGAGAAAAAGTGTCATATAAGATGCGTTACGGACTTTTCTTTGTGAGCCGACATTTTCAGTCAGATAGGCTCCAGTCCATTTAGATACACATGTGCCTAGATCACTACCTTCTATGATAGCGGGCTTTCCAGCTCTCAGGATCCTCTCGAAGTCGTCTTCCGTATCAACGCGGATCTTGGGAATTTCTGTGATACTGGCTTGTTGCGATCTGGCATCGACCGCATAACCATTTTGGGTTGGTTGTGGCCGATCCGTCAGCTCGACTAACTTGACAAATTTCAAAGAATTCCTTAGTGCCGTTGCAGGTGAAGCGCTGAGAGAATTTAAATTTAATGTATAGCAGCCTTCATTCCAATATGTCCCCATAGAGAAGCACTATTGTAAACAGTTAGCCAGTCAACTAGTTACCGCATGGTTCGAGAGTGCTCAGGAATATGAGAAGCATCCATGATACTGAGCTCAGCTATAATAGTATCTTCAGGATCTGATCGAGGATATGGTTGTTCATCTTGCGTACCGTAGCGCCGCCGCCCATAACCAGAACTTGGTTATGACTGCCCAAACATACTGATGCGCCGACTAGCAAAGGACGCGGTATACTAGATGATTCACTAGTACTGTCAAAAGAGCAGTGTGAAAGAATTTCTAATTTTGAATCGGAAATGTGCATAATTAGAACCTCGTCAGCTCGAGGTACGATACCATCATGTTGAACACCACCGACGACAGCGATACGCTCATCGTCGAGGAGTAGAGCCGAAGCGCCGAAGCGAGAGACGAGGAGTTTGGTGTCCGCGGAGCTTTCAATCTGCCCAAACGATATTGTTGGCCGGTTGTCTGCGGACAGCCTAAGATGCCACCGTAGCAACTGGCGCGCGACAGTCCCATCCTCTAGCAACCCACCGGCTAGGATACCATCAAAAAGCACGGTCCGGCCATCAGATCCATCTTGTATCGTTTTATGTTTCGTGAAGCTAATGAGCATAGCCCCGAATACCGGCTGATACTCTAATCCCAATATCCCGCACTCTGTCCACCCAGAACCAGGTTTGTGAAGGAGGCAACCAGGGAAGACTGTAGAGGAGTCGCTTTTACCTCCTATTAGGAGTGTCATACCGGATTTCCCTAATTGTACCGTACTGTGTCGGTATAATGGCACTGGAAGAGCATCTGTGAGTGACCACATATTCTGTTCTTTACTGAAATGCCAACAGTCTCGCATAGCTGACGATGGGGACGACCTCCCACCAACAAGGAGACTACCAAAATAGCCTAGATCTACAACACTGTGACAGACTCGACTGTGAGGCCCAACATGATGTGTTTTGATCCCCGCTGCCCCCAAGTCGAAAGAATACAGGTCGCAAGACTTGAGACGGTTGTTTGTCCCGAGTCCAAAAGTATTGGCAACTATTTGCTCGCCCAACTCATCCTGCAATAGCATCGCAGCTCCGAACCGTCTTTTTCCGTGCGTTCCAGAATATGCATTGAAGAGAAGCTCGGGAGATGAGTTCTGAGAAGAATGCTTTATAGGGACATTGTTGTCGCCGGTATTAACATCAGGGCCAGAAGTTCTAGCGATAACCACACAATAGTGACTTGCAAAAAGGGCAAACTCTTCCCATTCGTCAAACGGCTCAACAAGGTCTAATTCTCGTCTTTTGGTGGCTGAGATCCATTGGTCATTAGTCCATACATCCCAGAGGCTAACTGCTTCCACGTGAGGCCAACCCAGGCGAGAGAACCGGTCATGCTGGGCGCCGAGGTGAGGATATTGGAAGACCGATTTCAACGGAGTCTTCAGCTTATCAAAGTGACTCAACATTGTTTTTGCGAAAGGATGATCAGAGCCATCAGGAAGTATTTGCTCGAGGAGGCAAAACTCGGCTGAAGAATGTCATTAGAATCCGGTGTGGTTAGGTTATAGTGTGTGTTACAGGACTCAACGCATACCTTGGCCAAGCGAGCTAGCCCATTTGATGACAGCATCAGCACCTACAGTCTACTCAGAACATGGAGAGTGTTAGTAGTTTCTGTTTATATCTTGTCTTCATTTTGCGAATGTATATACAACTAGGTGTAGGTGAAGCTAAGATGGTCTTTGGCGAACACTGAAAGAGACCCAGAGAAGGATGGGACTTGTAGATCTCACCTCCATGTAAGTGATAGAAACTTCGGCGACAAACATGAATATGCAGTCAGAAATTTCCAGATCGAGACATGTGGATAAAGCCTTCTCGACGTCAGCGGTATTGCGAAGGTCACATCCAATCTGGGAATACATATGGCTCTTGAGTAGGACATGTTCATCAACATTGGTGTCTACAGGCTCAAAGACAGAGCGGAGCTCCGGGGTGGTTAGGACAATAGTACGCTTCTTGGACATGAGGTCAGGGAAATCAATATCGACGAATTTGGCACCACGGCAGGCGTCAGGATACCGAGTCATACATTGCCAGGGCAGCACATCACTAGTAGGCACCCAAATAGAGTCAGAGAAGATTGTGAGAAGTGATGACACATGGCACTTGACCCGAAAAGGGGAGCAATGAATGGTGGAAAAGAAGGCAAGTCAAGACGGAAATGAGCGGCACGCATACCTCCCACAGCCCAGGTTGACGACGACTTTTGTCTTGTGGGCGGGCCGCTCGAGAAAGCGCCGCACGGCGACATCAATGACATGAAGGCGGAGGTGGTAGCCTCTGTTGATGAGCGGCGCGCGGCGCTGGAATTTCTTGACGAAGTATCGAAAGTAGTGGGGTTCGTCCGGGTAGTATATGCGCTCCACGCTGCGCTTAGACACGATGCTGCTACTGTTTGTCTGCATGACCAGGTCATCCTGGGCCCTCTCCTTTGCAGAACGGGCTGCTACCCGCCGCGGCTTGACATGTGGTGGTTTCATTTCCATCGCGCGTCGCGGGTAAGGTCTGTATGTCGTCGAGCGAGTAGAGAAAATCTATCAATTCAGAAAAAACTCGGGAGTGTATAGGCGCGCCAACTGCCCAATGATGTAGCACTTGCCTACCTACTATTAGTTGAGCCGCTTCCCCCGCCTTCCATTTCTAGTATTACTACTTGTGTCCCCTCTTCCACCACCACTGACTACATGTAGGTACAGTTTGAATCTATATTCCCTGTATCTTATATGCATTCCGTGCGGCTATCAGTAGCATGGCTCATTCTACACGATACTGGCATAGATATGCATCTGTCCCCCATTTTCATCAGGTTTTCATGAACTGTTCTGTACTGTAGGTTATTAGCGTGGCACAGGTGGTCACTGCTCAAGCTATACTGCACTCCCGAGGTCTTCAAGGTTAGGTAGCTTATCTTATACTTCGTACATCCTATTCTCTACACAAGTGATTCTCCTCATATATTGTGTAAGCTATGACTGTATGGATAACCTTGGCCATTTATTAGTTAGGCTCTTGTTGTTACGGCGTTGTTCAGTCGTCATATGGCGATTACATCTTGGTTATACTTCTGGTATTATGTACTTGGATACCCACCTATTCTGTACCTACCGAGCTTACCTTGTAGGTGTCAAGGTCCAGGTATCTACATGTACCCCAGGTGCTAAACAGGGGTAGGTACCACTGCGCCAATCTTGTGACGAAAGTCGCCTTTCTTTCTTTCTCCTCCTCCTTCAATCTGAACCTTCATTCGAGTCCTTCTATCTTCCTAATCCCCCGCGGCAACGCCTTAGCTTGGTGAAACCACACACTGAACAAATGCGCCGCTGTTGAGACCATTTCCCCAAGGCTTGCGACAGCGGCAAGAGAATTGTTATACTTATCACCTAGTTAGAGGTATTCCTATCTATTTGACAGACAGACAGCCAACGAGGAGAGACCGCTTTCCAGGCAGCTCCCACAATCCGCAAACGTCAGCCACCGCATACCGGTACCCCCAAGCGTACATCGTGTCTTGATAGGTACTCAACCGACCTGCCTGCCTTTACGCCCCCCGGGTTCCGACGCTCTATTGATCACGAATCAACTATCCTCTTTCTCTAGCCGCCGTCAAATAAGATATACCGCAGACATGGCCAACACGGCCCTCAATTTCGTCACCTACAACCAGGACCACAGCTGCTTGGCTGTTGGTATGTAAACCACTTTTTCTTTGCTCTTCTTCGGCTCAAGCGTAAGCTAATCTCTCCTCGCAAATTACAAGGTACATCGAGTGGCTTCCGCATCTACCATACCGAACCGTTTTCCAAGATATTCAGCAGCAACGATGGCAACATCTCCATCATCGAGATGCTCTTCTCTACCTCTCTAGTCGCCCTCGTCCTTTCGCCCCGCCACCTGATCATCCAGAACACGAAGCGTGGTTCCGTTATCTGCGAACTAAGTTTCCCTTCTGCTGTCCTCGCCGTCCGCCTGAACCGCAAGCGTCTCTGTGTCGTGCTCGAGGATAGCATATACCTTTACGATATTGCCAACATGTCCCTGCTGCAGCGGATTGACACATCACCGAATCCGAGTGCCATCTGTGCCCTATCTCCGTCCTCCGAAAACTCCTATTTCGCATATCCGCTCCCAAAGCCGCGTGACGACTCCGTAGACAAGCGCCCACGCCATGCCCCTCCTGCCTCGGTCAGTTACGTGCCCGTGACTTCTGGAGATGTGCTCATCTATGATACGTCGACCCTCAAGGTCGTCAATGTCGTTGAGGCTCACCGTTCACCCCTATCGTGCATCGCGCTCAATAATGACGGAACTTTATTAGCTACGGCGAGTGAGACGGGCACCATCATCCGTGTGTTTTCGGTGCCGAAAGGACAGAAGCTCTACCAGTTCCGCCGTGGCACTTATCCCAGTACCATCTATAGCATGTCTTTCAACATAGCTAGCACTCTTCTTTGCGTCTCGTCGACCTCTGATACTGTTCACATCTTTCGCCTCCAACAACCAGGCCCAGCCGCTAGTGCCAACACCAGCGAGACTTGGTCGGATGTCAAGGCGCCGAGCTCCCCCCGCGCTGATCGATGGTCTCGGAGTCACAGTAACGATAGTGGTAATGAGTCACTCAGCAGTGCTCAAGACTCCGAGGTCGCAGACCTAGCTGGCTCTCCGCCGACTAGTAGTTCAACCGGCAATAGAAGACAGAGTGGGTCATTTAGCAGCCTGCTTCGTCGGTCTTCGCAGGCTATGGGTCGCAGCGTCGCCGGAGTAGTAGGGAACTACTTGCCGCAGACAGTTACCGAGATGTGGGAGCCCTTGCGTGATTTCGCCTATATCAAAATCCCTAAGAGCACAGTATCTGGTCGCCAAGGCACAGTCGCTACAACCCAGCAACTGCGTAGCGTTGTAGCCATGAGCAGCAGCGGCCCTCACGTCATGGTGGTGACGAGCGATGGCGGCTTCTACGTCTACAATATTGATATGGAGCGTGGTGGCGAGGGTTATTTAGTTAAACGCTTCTCGTAAGTTCAACTTCAGGACTTCTTCCGTACTCCCTTGGGATGAGCTAACATCGTAATAGGGTCCTTGACAGTGACGACAATCTCGATTCTTCAAATAACGGTTAGGAACGTGGCCAATCCTGTCATCGAGAAGTGAATCAGTGTAGGTTTCTTTGATGCGGTAATGGGGACGAGACATCGGGGAACTAGTGCATAGCTCAAGGCGTTTTTTTTTTAATACTTCAGGCACGGTTGTGGCACCTTTTTAGCCCTTTTCTATTCCCTTTCTGCATCTTTAGTTATTCATAACCTCGAGGCATAGCAATCTCTCGAGGAGCGGATTGAGTTTTTTTTTTTTTTTTCAATCTTTAACCTGGGCAAACTTCTTAAAGCATTAGCGTTGGGCGTCCTATGGGGTATTTTATTTATATCTCTGGTTTGGGCCTTTTTTTCTGGTTTTCTCTGTCTTTGCTGCTCGCTAATTTGAGGCGGTGTTTCTACTTTTCTGTAATACTCTTGCGAAGTATATGCCTGCAAATGTCAAGGCCAGGACAGATAGACAGACACTAATATTCTTAAATATGTAGTTGCGTGTCTATTGAAAGCTCGGTAGGAAATCTAGATTTTCTATACATGCGCGTTTGCGATGGGCTCGGGATTCTTCTTGTATGGACTTTTTTTTATTTTTGTTTACGTTGTCGAATTTGTGAATCATTGAATAAGGGGCTATGTATCATCGGCGGACATACGAAGATATGAGATGTTTGCGTAGTTAAGAAAGACACTGGCCTCCAACTATGCACCCCTATATGATGAAATCGTGTCGAGAATGAAGGCGGAGTTTCTTTAGACTTGATGGCTAACACAATAGGGTGCCGAACTACTTACCGTATGATATTCTCCCCATCGGACCAAACGGCGAGAAATGGTGTATGTACATCGTACTGGCGAGTATAAAGTCTAGGTATGAATGGACATAAGCTTGAAAATGAGATGCTTGGTTATAGGACGGGATCACTTCAGCCAGATTAGCAGACCGGCGCTTTTTATCGAATGGTGTTTAGCTAGTCGGGTGTCTATCGAGCATCCGAGTTGAGATCAATCGTGGATCTAAGTAGCTTCTATTAATCCTTAAAGTCAGGGGTTTTCGGGCGGTATCAACAGGACTCAGTTATTCACTCTTTGCTCTTCGACCTCCTCTTCTTTCACTGGACTTGCCACCAAGTTGTTGTTGTGCGACAGGCATTCTTTCTCAAAAGCACACTGCCGCCATGAGCCACAAGCCCTGATACTCCCAGGAGAGAGCATATATCACTGTTGCTTACCGAGGACCTAAAATGACTGAGTTGATCATTAACGTATTTTGGCAGTATTGCATTCCCTTGAAAAGCTTTCGGAACGCGGCGTGGAATCTGAGACTATTCGTAATCATTGATACGCTATGGGTGTCATAGTCCATGTGATCCATCCAGGCTACTCTCGATTATAGAGCTAGCCGAGATCTATATATGTGCCGGTATACACAGTATGTCAGTACCCGAGACTCAGACATCTATCAATAGGTCCCATATCAACAAGAGTTAAATAACTTCACTTCGATGAGTCTGAAAACACCACTTGTTGGCCACCAAGACCCGGCTGCCGGCGTGTTCAGGGCATGTAGCGGTTTCTTATAAAGCTCTTCAAGCTCTAGATCCTAGAAGGCTCCATTAGAGCATCTCCCATTCCCAAGAGCTCAGAAGTGAGTGGTGATTTTTCTCGAGATGGCATCCTAAGTTGTTCATCAAATCACCGCGCTCACTTTGACGTTGACTGTGAGGTTTTCGTAAAGTCGCCGGTGGCTTCACTCGTTTACATTGTCAGCCTCTCGAGAAACGCCGAGCCTCTTCTCATCCCAGTGATGGTTTCGTTTACGATACACATGCACATATTACACTTGCGAGGTAATTGACAAGGAACGCGGCAGGTCCATTCTTATCTTCAACATTATCATCAGCAGCAGGCCTAGCTAGCTCTGGTGTTGTCGCTAGATGTATCTAAAGCTCAAAGACATAATTGGGATTAGAGTAGAGCTAAGAAGACCGAAAGCTCTTTGTGCTTATGGCAACTAGGCCTGCTTGTTTTCGTCAAATCTTTCGCTGTCTATAGTCATCCCCATTGAGTACCCTACATCTTGGCTGTGGGATAATTCCTCGTGACGAGGAGAGCAGTCCAAGATATATGTCATAGTTATAATAAACAACGCGATGAAATTTATCGGCTTCGCAGATTGCAAAAATCGACAAGTCACCCTAGGCGACCTGATAACTCCAAGTGATCGTCTCTTGAAGCTTAAATGTCTGATTCCCAGAAATATGTCTGATAGCATATAAATGTATGAAACGCATCACATTGGCGCACCATCAGGCGTAAAGCTAAGCAGATCTCTAGTGAGTCCTGACATTTACACTTCTAGAAACTATCATATCATTGAGTCACAGTATGCCCATCTTCCACATTCTGTCGGCATTGTTGAAGTCCCGTACAGCAACCCCTAGGCCCAAGAGCGACCTCAATCGAGCAATATCTGCGAAAGCAGGAGAGAAAGAGAGACTTCAAATTTCTTTGCTCGAAGTCATTATCACCTGAGCGCTTTCAAGTAGCCCTACCAGCCGATCTCGTAGATGCGGCACAGCTGAAGATGGCGCTCGGCGACCTCCCTGTCGTCCGTCAGCCCGTCATCGTGGGGTCCGGCTCCAGACTGTCGGATCCAAATGTATGGTCCCTTTCCCGACATGCACGGAACTTAGTCTTAATTACATGGTTATGTTACTGTGTTCGGGAATCAGTGCATTGTGTTATACGAGACTCGCATGTTGGTATATTCAGTTCTCCAATGTGTATGAATCGCAATATAATATCGCGTCTTCTCTTTTCGAGCATAGCTGGGGCAACTGGTGAAGATGAGGCTATATATCGTGTACGCGTCAAATGATATCTACCGGATAATTGAGGCATGCTTTTCATGTTGCCAGAACCTTCCCTAAGCGTTAATGCGGCGGATGTTCCTCACATCCTTGAGACGATAATACTTGGTTTTTTTTGGTTTTTTTTTTTTTTGGAAGCGGTGCGCTTCGTCTCAACCCATGCGAATCCAACCTCCTCGCTGGACTAGCTCTCTGACTATGACACAAAACTATAGCCACGATTTTTTCGGTCCTATAATTTCGTTGAGGCGGGGCGATAACCCATATGCCTACACATTAGCGATACGCGTAAGAAGCCAAATTGGCGATTTCCAAACCGTATGACTAACCATCCAATGCCCACATCGGCCGCACTTGATGCCATATTTAAGTAGTGATAAGTATTTGAGATATTTCAAAAGTCGGGTGTTCAAGGTCAGCAGGGTCAATAGCTGCTTGAATAAATATAGCATTCGAAACTCGAATAGTCCAGTCTAGCGTGATCGAACAGAGCTCTGTGATTGCCAGACACCACAGGCTCACTCCACTTAATAGAACTCTGGTCCGTGTAACCGAGTCAAGGAAAATCCAGCAGGTTAACCTTAGAGTACAGTAGTATAGCAATAGCCTACCTACTATGTATTAAGCAATAGTGGCTTGAAAGGATGATATGCCAAGCGGTTCGGCCCCCCGCATAGCGTCGGGGCAAAAGATCACACCGGCCTAGACCGGTTTCTTACCACCTTACCTAGGTAAGTAAGAAGTTAAAAAGAAGATAAGTGAAGGGAATCATTGCTGGACGACGGTTGCGGGGTGGAAAAGAAAACAAGAGAAGAAGTCTAAAGATAGTGCTCTTGGATACCGGTATTTGATAATGCGTGGATAAGAAAACCCAGGGTCGCGGGCTAGGCAAACATATAAGCAACATCGGCGAGACTTAGCTTACCGTCCGCTTCGCTTGGTCAACGGGTGGCTTGCCTTCTTTAAACTACCATGTATGTGTAGCAACAAAATCTCGGATTTATCTCATTATGTGCTCTCAGTCCGAACCGAACCGATTTCTACCATTTGTTAGTCAACACTCCTATTCACGTAGCGCATACACTTTCGCTCCAGAATGGCTAAAGCGGCAGAATGTTTAAGCCAAGAGTTACAACATCAGGCGAAGTCTATGGTGACCATCCCTCTTGCACTATACGTACGTGATAACTAGAACCAAATTGCTATTCCTCATCGAATAACACATAGTTGATGTATAGGAAATACCTAGTTAAACATCACGAGTATTCTCTGGCGTTGTTTTTGAACGTAACACATGCTTCCTTCTAGTACAGTGATGTCGGCCTTTGGTATATACAAAACGTTGGGCATGCTCCCTATCGCCGATCTTTGATAACAACAGCGCGTAAACGTATCGCAACATACAGAACTAAAGAGGGTATCATAACATAACTAGCTGTCTAGGCATCTAGGTATGATTTGTGTTGTTGTTAGAGTAGGTATACATCTAATAATAACAGTGATAGTGGACTTATAAGTAACTACTAACTGTCTAGTCCACGGGCGCGACGTGGGTACCGAGACCATGTTTAGTTAGATACGAAATGTCACGGAAATCTCCATCTCAAGGTTCCCCTGCCTCAAGGTACGAAATGAGGTCACGATGATAGTGGGTGCTTTCATAAGAAGTTGAGGCGGACAACTCTCTGAAACTACACAGCTAAAAGACCAACAGCGGCAGCGGCGGCGGTCAAGTGGGCTGAAATCTGTTGTCATCCCTTCCCAGTTGGGAGGCCCGTTGAGACCTGTTGTTATTGAGTGTTCGATGATGCGCAGAAGAAGAGTTAGGGAGAGAGCAGGCAGTAGACCATATGCCTTTTTCCTTCTCGTCCTAGCCGTAGACCACTCACCCCTACATGCAGTTTTCGGTATCTACAGTCTACTGGGGCGGACTACAATACCTACACTATGGTAAAAGGGCCCTGGATAACCTGGATAACCGGCCAGCACAGGTAGCACGGCATACAACGCCATGGGCTGGCTAGATAGGGAAGCTTTGGAACGGTTCCTCCTTGCCGTACCGTTGGGCGCTTCCTGCAGATTGCCCTGTTGGGCGATGGGTGGTGTGGTCAGGTCGCATCAGCAAGGGTGTGACTCCACAGGCAAGACCAAGCTATCCCCAAGATGAGTGTGATGCATCCCCCTTCCCAGGCCCCGGCGTCCAATGTGCTCTCTGCAGCATTACCAGAGTAAGGAATTTCATCATGCTTGTACTCGGCGTGTACTGGCCCGGGTACACGATCCCCATCGAGGTACCTGCGATGCAGGGCCGCCTGCTTCTCTCAGCCGTGCCCAGTCTTTTTCCTCTACACACCCCCCGGTGGCCATAGGCAGCGGGCAGTGGACTGTGGACTGTAGACTGTGGACTGTAGACTGTGGATTGTGGACTGTGGGCACGATATCTCACCCTCCTAGAGTACAGTCACCAACGATCAAGGGCAGACACATTGCCTGGTTAGCATACTTGCCTCCTCGTCTCTGCTCGTCCTACCACGGCAGACCATGCAGTGTGGTCCATGGGACCTCCTCCGCTAGGGGGGACTATGACGGACGCATGTGAGGGTGTCCAATCTGCCTTACATACTACGGTGTACAGTCTTGACCTCGCTGCTACAAGTACCCGTTGTGAGGTCGGCCATCTTATTATAGAACCATACATATACATGGCCCTCCAAGATCCCCCGTGGTGGATGTTCCTGTGGGTATGGGCACGCTCTGTACCTTTGTTCCTATGAATCCCATCTACACTACTTCTTCCCTTCTTCTCGCCTAGAGCACATCGGCTGTTGGGAACTTTTGTGGTATATCTACCCTGTCACCCACCCCTCCATCGATCAGTGCTGTGTAGTTGAAGTATTGCTGTGTTATTGCATACCCGTCCAGGACCCCTTCCCAACTTGCCTTGCCCTGTGTTTGGATCCGGGAACTGCTTATATAGGTACGCCACGTCTGTGACATAATGTGTATCCAGTGACGGTCTACACTCCCCTGTCTGCGCCTCACATTATCCAAGTTGGCTTCTTGTTATAATAATTCAACGTCGCCTCGTCACGCAAAGCCCGTCTCTCGCCATGGATCTCTCACCTCCATCTCTTATCCGCTCGCCATCATCCTCCCGGAACTCAAACTACTCTAGGAGTCCCAGTTTAAGTGTTGATTATTCGCCGCCGGACCTGGTTGACCACTTCTACAAGGTTGGTTCCGTATACGAACAGTCTTGCTCCGCCATATCCTCGACCATGAACTCTGATAGCCCGCATCATCAGCGTCTTGATGCGACCACTTCGGCCGAATGGGCGGAGACAACCGTAATACACTCCGTCCCGTCTATGGTGGGACAGGGTATTGTATCCCAGGACTACGTCCCGTATGTCAGCTATGACTCCTCAATGCATACGCCGTACAGCCACGATTTGTACTCGACGCATCTGGCTCACGCTCCAGCACTCTCTTACGCACCGTCCCCACTCGCCTCCATGCCCTCTCGCTCGCCAGATCCGGCTTCTTCTAGACATCCACTCCCCTACCACAGCACGCCACCGATGCCGCGGATCAAGTTAGAGGGCGGGCACGACTACTCCAGTGGCGGCGAGGTATCCCAATATCCCTCGCCCAGGTCTGCCCACGCTCTAATGGCGGAGCCGAGCAGCTACGGGTCTCAGGCTTGCAGTTCGGGCTACCTCTCGGACGGCCCTTCCAGTTCGTGGCCGAAGTCTGAGTACCCTCCCATCGAAGGGGACCCATATTACGTGGGACCGAGCGGGAGCACAAGCTCTCTTGTCCCAGACCGACGACACCAAGCTCCGCCGAGGCCATCGCGGGCTCCAAAACGGCAAGCTCGCAAGCTAACGTCAAAAGACGAGGCCAACTTCCAATGCGAAGTTGAGGGGTGCGGGAAGCTCTTTAGCCGCAGTTATAACTACAAGGCGCACATGGAGACCCACGATAAGAAGAGAGAATATCCTTTCGTCTGTACATACGAGGATTGCAATAAGAAGTTTGTACGGAAGACGGATCTACAGAGGCATCACCAGAGCGTACACATGAAAGAAAAGAATCATAAGTGCGACTACTGTGGCCGCCACTTTGCTAGAAAAGACACACTTCGCAGGTAAGTTCTGGTGGGGTCTACATTTTCCTGATATTCAGTTTTGAACTCAGCTGATCATGATTGGACAGACATATGGAGGACGGCTGCTCAAAGCGGTTCGACATTGGCACGGTGGATATACGCGGCGCCGAGAGTTACGATACTTATAACGTGCCGATAAGATCCGTGCCTAGCTCTTCTGGACATATGGTGGCACCGACACCGCATCTGCCACCAATGACACTCCCACGAGGCGGCAATGACAGTGGCATGACAGACATGCCTTCGTTTATGAGGAGATAACAGTTTCCTAAGCAGCGTGTCAGAGGGGGGGAAAAGCATCCGTGTTTTCAAAAAACCGCAACCCAGCATTTTAGCGTCAAGGCATGAAACCTTTGTTTATTTACGGCTTATGTGTATTTTGAAGGCATACCCAGGGACAGGTTGGTTTTAGCCTCATTGGAAAGGAATCATGCATAGATGTTTTTTTTTATTTTTATTTTTTTCCGGCACGGCTACTATTCGGTCACGGGCATCATGGGAAATGTATTCTACGCTAAAGGTTTGGTATATATTTTAACTACGCAACACCTGGGCATCGGCACCGAAGCATACATACATAGTAGGTGCGGTGACATGGGACGTGGGCACCTCGTTACAACAACAACAACAACAACAACATTATTCATCTATTTCTATAGCACCTCCGCTCGTGCCTCCGCTCCGTAGCAACGCCAGGAATAGTCGTCAGGGTCGTTCTATTATGAGACGACAAGGGCATTGTTTCAATTTCACATAACGCCCTACATAGTAAGTATTTTCCATGTAGTCTAGTATTGTGCAAAACAGGGTTGGGACTTCTCGTGGGGTTAAATTAGGCTAGCGGAGGATTCAGGGTTTGGCGAAGATTATTTACGGTTGCTTGCGAGCCAGCCAGCCAATGGTGTTACACGGATTCAGATGGACATGGGGTGAAGTGCAAGAGTGAATTCACGACGAAGAGTGCCTAGTAATCATCTCTAACGAACTTGAAGAGCAACTAAAGTGCGGGGAACAAAAGAAAAGAAAAAGGGAAAACAAAAAACCCACCAGCAGGCAACGAAGCTCCGCCATGTGTCAAGAAAGTTACCATGACCTTCTGCCATGTTGGACTGTTGGAACGAAACGTTGATTTGACATCTTATGGTATAGTGCATTCACAGATCCTCGAGCGCTATAATTAACAACACGCCTCGTATGGACGAATAACGAGAACAAACGAGCTACCTAGATATCTCATCACAGGCTGGGGCTAGATCGACTCGGGCTAGCCGGGTGGATAGAACCGGGGGAGGAATGGATGAGGATGACGGATGGTTTATCTAATCCCTAGCTACCTGGCTGCCTAGCTGTCTAGCTGCTTCGGGCCACTCTCGTGGGCTTTGTGGGCTTTCGTGGGTTATGGCATGCTCGATATACCCACTGGATCTGAGATGCTGTATTTAGACACACACCATATTACCTTGATGATGACTGGGAACTTCGTGACGAGAAATTGCCAGGATCGTTCGGATGCTCGCATCCCAATTCCATACGGCAACTATACAGTACATACAGTACCCGCTCTACTATGCCTTAGTGAGGTGGCTAAGAGTAGGTTTGCTTGCTGTTGTGCATTTCTCATACAGATAGCCGTGATGGAGGCGGCCATGTGGCTTGAATGCGCCGCATCATACTTAGCTATGCCATCACAGTTTACGCATATGAGGTACCAAACCCGCCACTGGAAGAAGACCCAATTCGGGCCGGGAGATGCTCACGATAGATCGATAGATAGCCGGTGGATTATGTTTGCCTTGGCGCGTTGGGACATAGAGGCTATGGTATGACAAGATGAGGCAGTGTGGTCTGCGAGTTGAACAAGGGATGTGCCATACCCCACGGCCAACACTGACACCAACGCGGCGACGTTGGTCTGTTGGTAATCAGACCGGGAGTAACTAGTGTTACAAGTAATAATGAACAATGTGTCTAAAAGGAGGTGTCCCCGCCATCTATTTCGTTGTTGGTTTTCAACAAACATGAGATTTGCGAAAGTACATACATGCTCAATCTCTGCAAGCAAGTTTCGTGAGTCTCACAATGTCTGACTGTTCTGCTAGGGTTTTTATTTTTCCCTTTAAGAGCTTCGGTCGCCAAGTCACTAACACCTTTTAGGAGTTATGTTGCGCACCTACGAGAGATTGGCTATGCACGTCGATTTCCAACGAGCTACCAACACTACCATACAATGGTGCTTAGAAGAAGCTTCTTCTTCTTTGTTTCTCGGACCCGTATTGGTGGTGAAGAGTCTGCATAGCCAGCCAGGAGCAATTCCTCGGGCCCGGCTACATGTGACAGTGACATAATCCCGGTGTCCCTCGTTCAGCTCGCCCGCCCACCCGTCAGCACATGAACACAACTAGCCACGTTGATGTTAGGTAAAGCACCGATTTGGCATCTCACTTGCAGGCGCTTGCAGCGGAGGTACATACATTGACTAGGTAGAAGCCGACAACGGGCCCGACGTCGTGGCATGCTACCGATTGGGCAATTGTGAGATTTAAGAGATGTTGGTAAGAGGTCAGTCAGTCACTTCATAACCCCCAACCTCCCCCGGTGCCGAGGGTTGCCGACAACATCGCGACCCCCCGAGAAAAAGGAATGGGAAAAAGGGGGAAAGGGGAAAAGGAACCAAAGAGTGAGGAGCAGGTCAGCCACGCGGTGGCGGAGTAGGAGGAAACTGAGCGAATATGCTTACCTAGGTAGGTCGAGATAGAGGTCGTAGCATCATGAGACTTGCCTTAGATTGACACAAACAGCAGGTGTCAGAACAGAGACGGTATTGGTGCCTCATGTCTGACGAAGACTAAGCCAACAACGGGTAGCTCCTCACGATTAGAGCATCTGCGGCCGCACAGCCCCGTCACGCATAGTGCTGTGTACGCTTAATGTGGTGTAGTGTATATCTATGGGTGAAGAAGATGGCTCAGATTACTGTAGAGATTGAGAAGCTCGTTAAGCGAGCGATATGGTGTGAATGGCCCGACGCGATATCGATGGAAGATGACGCTGGGCCCCAATTGACGCCGGTCAAACGAGCGTGTAGTCTGGCAACTAGGTTCTTTCTTCTCTGCCGATGTGGAAGACCTCTTATTAGTATAGGTAGGTAGGTATATACAGTATACCGATGTGCCATGCATGTCATGTCGCGATTCAGGGGGGCCTATCAAATTGCACCTATATGGCTGACCTTTATGTCACATCACCTATAGGCCCAGCATATATTTATGGATATGAATTCAAAAGCATGCATTTGCATCATAGGCCAACGAGCGAATGGATAAATGAATCAATGAATGACAGGCATGAGTTGTGCTCGAATCGAAAAATTGAGACGTACACCATCTATCTGCAAGTGCCGTCAACGTCATCCGATGTTCCTGCAAGGATCTATCCCAGATATCGTCGGTTACTATTATGCCCCAGGTTTCCACGCGTGTGTCTACTTACGAAGTAGGCCACGGTCTCCATTCCAGCCAGTTCCTGCTATAGATTCCTTCAAATCCCATGAGGAATAAATCGGGCAGCTAAGCTAATTTGGGTACTACTCTGCATACCTATTATTAGATCATGAGGCTCCCGAGGGAGCTACTGAGGCTAGTAGGGTTCTGAATATATAGATGAACTGCAGCAACTTGGTATAACAACTTCAACTCCAACGCCCAACATTTTATTATTAGATGACCGACGTATGTATGTTGGTCGTCAACGATGGAGCAACCTTTTTCATCCTGCGCCATGTGTCTGCCTGTTGGTAACGGCGTGTCAGACTTCCCCCTGGCATCTCCGCCGCCCTCACACATTCGAGCCACATGGCATTCGGCCTGCCATGCAGGAACGCTCACGGTCGTCTGTTGGTTCCAGAGACTCGGCGTCCACTGCCCTGCAGCACAGCTGATGCTGGCGAAGAACTTTTGGACATAATCGCCTCTTGAAACATCTCGTCGTGGGCTACCGTGTGAAACACAGGATACGCCACGGCAGGTCTATCCACACACTACGATGCACTCTCTCGAGATACATCCCTAATAATATGCTCCCTACATGTAGCCAACGCCATCGTCGGCCTGCGAAAGGTAGGTACTCACTCACAATGCAGGGCCACTAAAACACACCCCACTTCTCTGACTGCATTCTTCGGGTGGTCACCAGATCTACACTACCCGCCCATACCTCGGAGCCAACTCCTGGGTTCCCGCTGGGTTCCTCATGGGTTCTAAAACGGGACAGGCGGGTTAGGATGTGAACCCAACTGGCGCCGAGCGTTTGAGCCAATCCGCATGACAATTCAGCCCTACTTTGAAAGAATACGTGGAGAATAGTACACTACAAGCAATGACTGGAAACACCAGACCATGCTTCAGGAAAATATTTGCTTGGGGAAAAAGAAGGTGCTCATAGGGCTCAGATCTACAGCAGATCTACACCGGCTACTTTCAGCTTGCCTGCAGGATTTTAAGCTCTTACACTGCACTGCCTACATATTCGCTACCATTCGAGCGACAGCAATTATTGTAGAACTGATACTGCGTGTTCAACTATAACACTATGCAACATAACGCAGTTATAAATATATATATATATCACAGTGCAATTTTAAAGTGTATGGAGATAGATGCCAAGTCTTCTGGTCTATAAAACCAGGGTTTGAAACATAACGACAACAGAGATGTACTCAGACAATGAGAAACATGAACACTACCTATAAACCCTCGGTACCTACACTGCTTATATTTCTGTTTCTACTGATATGAAGGCGAGTAAGTATGTGTTCGGTAGTCAACACGTATTTCGGTACAGAAACTTGATCATTGATACCTCTGTCGACGCCTCGGCCAGCCCACATTTGATAGCTGCATACACCCTGGACTATCCACCCTGGCTCTTAAACCGACACCCTTCTAATTCAGTTTTCTAGACCCCCAGCTGTGGACTGGAGGCTCGCAGGGCCATACAGTCTTCTAACCCAGGTTGGAGAGCAAAGGTGCATACTTAATACCGGGTATCTTCAAGGGGACCCAATTTCCCTGGGGCACGCTGGCCAGGGTACATACAATTTTTGGGCGGAAAGCCGCTCTTTTGCTGTCGCAAAGCCGTAGCAGAACTACCCTTTAGCTGGCTTTTTCGGCCAAGAAGAGCGGTCAGCTTAAGATTTACGTTCTTGTGTCGATAAACGCTGGTCCATTATCGCTGATTCGACGCTCAGTTACACATTCTCCGCATTCCAGGCTTGACGGCCAACCACATCACTCCCCATCAGCTCTTGGCCCATCTCGCGTTGATCAATGTGACACCAGACTCTTGGAAACCATCATCCCCAGAGACTCGTTACGGTGAACTTGGCAGTTGAAAAGTCACGGCGCAATTCCACCCGACCCAGCCCAGCCTAATGCTGCTAGTGCTAGCAGCCACAGGCATAGAATGCGAAGTCTTGTGTCAACGGCAAGACATTGCGAGCTACGAAGTACGAAGCAACATTGACCACAAAGATAAAAGGATAAGTAGACGGTCGCTACCAAAGATCTCAGAGTACCGTGTCGTCCCACACTTATGCCAATGAATAAATAATAGGGAGGAGAAGCCATGTCCGCTCCACGTCCGCTCTATGCACACTGCCTCTTCCATTGACAGGATCCTCTTGCTCATATCCATCCAGCTTCCCGACTTTTCATGGTGCCAGTCTCGTCACGTCCACCCAGAACTGGCGCAATGTCTCACACACTAACTTTGCAAATTTTCAATTTAGGTAAGAGTGATCTTTTTTTGATTTGACTCAGGCAGGTCGACATGCAATACAATGGGTCCTAGACGAGCCGCCCTGTCGTCATCCCAGACTGTCTTGACAAAAGACCCGTGAATGGCCTTGACCTCAAGAAATCAATCATCGATTTTGCCGCTCAATTCCACTTCTCGCGACTATGGAGTGTGATAGCCCCTCCTTTTACATGACTGCCGTATTAGCCGCAGAAATGATCACGCAGCCTCGAATTGGGCGGCTTCTACGCAGGTGAGTTGGTTCATACCATCTACTCTCTATATACCTTCTCAGGCTAGCGACGAAATCATAGGTTCTCAGATTGCCCTCAAGCACTCCATTGTCGTGAGCGGTTGATAGAATATAGGGTGCCTATCAAGTTTCTCTGGGCCAATTACGTCCCCTTTCCTCGGTTATCCTGCAAGACCCAGACAATCTGAATCGTTCGAAGGCAGGGCCTAAAAAAAGCACTGCCACGCGTGCTCTCTTTCTGAGGCGGTGGCATTCCTCCCGTATAATGACCAGTACATGGGAGAGATTGCTCAATACAGTAATTAAACTTTCAATCAGTAATTTACCCTAGTTGATGCTTGGATCACGATATTGCATCTTCTTACCGGCACACTAGGTAGCTCTTACTACACTCGCAAGATCAGTACGAGAGTAGTAGCTTTGAGCGCGTGGCTTTGGATGATTGAGTATCTGAACTAGCGGCTACTCTATCATTCCATTCGCTGATTGTCACACACATCTTACCTCCGCCCCTCCGCCAACTTACGGGTCATTTGGGTATCTCCAGGCTATGCATTATCATGGTCGAGTTAGCTACATATGGCTTCGTGCGGAAGCAAGTGACGTAAAACACTCCGTCATGAACTAGGCAGGCTGTGTGAGGCGCTAGGTGAGTAGAGGGGAAATAGACGCGTTCTGCCTTACCTGCAACATCTACGCACGTACGAGAATAGAAGTCATCGTCAGGTTTAGAGGCTAGGCTAGTGTTGCCTCATGCTGACAACGCGTAGAAGTGACGACTAGGCATACCCGGGTAGTTTAGTTCCTTACCGGTGGCGAGCAATATTTTCCCTCTAGTGTCTGCATTGTGTCTCATGAGAATGAGAAGATACCAGATATCTACGACAAATACATCGCTTCATGGTTCGATCATCTTTGAAGTGTTACATATTATTGTCTTTAGTGTAGTTTCAGCTTTATATCAATACAGATCGAGTTACACCAACAAGTCTGGTCAGTATGCTCGCGTCGACGCCGCCACTTTTGTCCCGGTTATACAAATGTCGTGTAAATGATACAGAGTGTCACTCGTCTCTTCCCTTGGCTAGCAGAACCAACAGAGGTTCATAATTACACGTTCGAATCACACGGCTGAAACACCATTACACGGCAGTCGAATTCTACGCCACCTTCCACGCCCTGCTGAGGCGGGCGTCTCAGCCAAAAGCGCCATCTAATCCAACTGGTCGGTTCCGGGGCCATGGAGCGATGGAAGATAGGCATTACCCCCAAACAAACAAGCCATACATGCAAGGGCACATAGAAGTTATAGCGTCGACCATCATGGTAAGCACAGAAGTACGATGTAGTCTCGTTCCAGTACATAACCCTTGCAGGTAATTCGGACTTTAAACTAGGTACCTAATTGCCAAAAGGGATGGCACAGCAGAAATAAGCTTCGTTGGCAGCGGACTATTCCTGCATAAAATTACCAACTGACGCGTCTTCGCGGCACAGAGCCAGAAGAAAGGGCTTTGCGCCGGTCCGCATGACGCACATGAATGATGCCTATCGTACATACATGATCTACCAGTCTTATGCGTCCTTATGAATATGTATGCATTAGATGTAACTGTCACCCTCCTCTCTCTTGCGTGGGAAGAGACTCGAGGAGATCTCTTGACCTTGAGAGCTGTACACCAGCGCTTACAGACGAATGAAACTTGGCCTATCACCGGCCGGTGCGACTACTGAAATATCAGAATATTGGGCTATGGATTCTCGTGAGGTAGACTTTTACATTACTAGGTCTAGGGATGTAGACAATTACGTATCGAAGTTGAGTCCCTGATAGTCTAGAAGCTGGTCTCTTCATATATTCACTCCCCGATTTTGTTTCACATCTGACAAAATGATCACCGGTAGCTGCACGCAACTTTTACCCGTCGGATGATGTGCGGGATATACGGGAACCAGCATGACGATATGCTCCGTTTGCCACGCTACGCGGAGGATGAGTGAAGGGGGGTGGCCTAGAGCCGAAGACGAGACAGCATGAGCCCGTTCCCACATGGATCCTGGTTACCGGTAAGGAATGTAGTCCCTGCTAAGTCAGTCATCGAGGGGGACTTTGTTTGTTCACCAGAAATCCAATAGCCGAGGACGCTACCAAGCGCCCATGCGACCACCTGTTTTCTTCTGGGCAGATCATCACCCCTAGGTGTGTGAACAGTAGAGGAGCAAGAAGTGACCATTCATATGGCTTCATACATGAAACGGGTGACATATCTCGCCACCAACCTGTCAAGTCTGGTGGGATCGAGAGGTGGGAAACAGGGTGGGTGCGTGAAAAGGCAGCAAGTCAATCTACTTGGCTGAATCCTGCAACCACCAACCACTAACCAACATCGTCGCTGTCGAGCAGGGTGTTCCGAGTCCCGGTCGAATAGGATATGACGAAATGTGAATCTGGCCAGGGTTAGATGGATTCTTGGTCGCTCCTAGGGCGGGAAGTGGTTGGCTAGATGGTGTCTTGCCAATACTATCCTCCTAGTAGGATTGTACTGTACATACAACGCGCGCATTGGTTAGGGTCGCCACCATAAATAGCCTCCAGCCTTTCTGTGTATACTTGAGAGGTACAAAAGGAGAACATGTCTGGTACTTCTGAAGTTGACTAGAAACCGCACCGTTGCGGCTGGTCTCCTAGCTTGCAAGGCAGTACTCATTCGGCCGAGTGTAAATCCAATTCACTACTCAACCCCCTATTCTTTCTTAGCTGTATATCTGAATCATCACCATCAGCTGTGATACGAGATAGCAGGCTGTCAACGTAGAAGATCATACCAGTAACACACTCGGTGAATGATAAGCTGGTACGGCCACGAAAAGCTTACAAATTGCACAACAGAGGGTACGAGGTTCCTAGGCCAATACGTAAGAATAGCAAGGGAAAACTCACGCTCACTCAAGCGTGAGCTGTGCCTCACCGACCCAAGGCAGAGGGGGCCCACGAACCGCCCTAAAGGGTGCACAAGGGCGGCACAGCCAAAGAATACCCAACCAGACAACGGGGACGGCAGAGAAGCCAGTTCGGATCCGTTCTCTAGCACTGAATAAGCGCTATCATTGCGGCATTGCTCCTTGAGAAATAAATACAATATATATGTATACATGGTGTTTTTGTCAGCGTTGGGTGGAGACGACGTGTCTGTCAACACGTGGGCGATTATAAAGGGAAGGAGGCCCAGACCAACAACTCTAACCCGCTGGGAAATTATCATGCGCCTCTGCCATTTCGAAACCAACAATGAAGAATCGACCTGCATGCGGTCCGAGAATAACCAAGCCCGTTCCCCGCCGTTACGTGCGTAGATCCAACGGATAGAGCGGCTGGACCTGCGAAAGATGCTCGCGGCTGCGCGATGTTCTCGCTATCGACACCCCTATGACCCTCACCGGCCCTCGAACAAATCCCGAGATGCCAAAGGGGTATTTGAGAAAGATATCCTCAAGGTACGGGAATGCACGGCGCAAATACCGAGACTCTTGGCGAGGAAATCAGAGCTACCTTTGCAAATCATCCGTACGGATAACAAGGATCTAGGCCTGCTAAGTGAGGAGGTGAACTTGGCTTCAATGGGACAAAAATCACAGGTTCTACAGCTTTTGAAACCGGCAAGACGAGCAAGTTTCCGTTGGTGCGAAGTTCGCTTCGGAGTTAAACGTATTCGTACGGCAGGAGTGCAATAAGGGATGACTGCCCATCTAGCAACTCGTTGCGTGAATAGATCCAGCATTGCTGATCAGATGGTCACTAGCCCATCTTGTTTGGACTGTGTGGGAAGCCGTCGAGGCCACTAGAGGGTGAAGCACAGGGGTTAGTTTTCTATAGACAGCTATAGCATAGATACAAAGGCCATACCATAAGCTTGCGCAGCGAGATGTCATAGGTACAGACAGTACCATCACAGTAGCAATCATGAGAAGGTATGTACTCAGACTTTCTCGCCAGGTTTCTCTTTGAATGTGTAAGGTAGCCAAGTAGTCAGTTCACTCGGCCGGACCCCTCCGGCTTGAAAGTATTCTATCACTGTGAAAGAACGAAGAGAATATGCCAGGCACTTGACGAAGCAAGGGCTTAGAATTAACGATCTGTTATTGCATAAAGAAAACTGGTGCGAATTCTCCTGCCCTTCGTCATGGCTTGAATTGATGATATCTTCAAGCTTGAGAGGCGACCTTAGTCTCTATACCGTCCCAGGGGTAACGGCGTACGAGGTTCCTCTAAATTATCTCTCTCTCAATCTAAGATAGAAATACTCCAGTAATAAGAAACTCATATCTCACACATCGAGTCAGATGGCACGGGTAAGAGTCAAATAATTGCTGATCGGATAATTTCCAGTAGCCCCAAACACACGTAGACACTCATACTGGCATTTCTAAGCCTCAATGCCATGACTGAATAGCCGCAGCTTAATTACTTTGAGCTTGTGTTTAACTGTTCACTAAGGGCTGTTGTTTCGCACGTATGAATTGTATGTACAATAAAGAAACTGTGTTTCTGTACGTTGATATATGACTCTCTGAATCAAAGGGAGAGAGAGCTCAAGAGTACTTGCCACTTCTCCCGAGACTTACACTCATCGCCCTATGCCGAGGTTTGTGCTCGCGATTGAAATCAAGAGCAGGTAAAATAGCACACAGCTTGGACTGAACTGCGATTCCATTAGCAAGGGGTATGGGTTATGTCTTAATTGAGACATAATCACTCGCATCAATATTATCAACGTAGGCTCAGAAAGCGGTGTCGAGATAACTTCAAGCACGAAGAATCCGGTATCTATTTAAAAGGAAATATGTTTGCACTATGGGGTATTCGCTGTCTATATACCTAATAAAGCCCATTCAAACCCACACTTTAAACAACGCCTGTGAAATAGAAGCAAGCCAGTTTTAACCCATCATCCAAGTCAGACCGTGGACGCAATGGCTCGCTTGGCCGCTTTCACGGCCCTAAGCGCAGGCAATGTATTCTCCCGGCCTGGCTTGCGTCCAATTTCCTGACACAGCATGCGCATGAGATCGTGATTGACCCAATAACTCGTGTGAGCGCTGAGCATATTGAGGTATTGTAGTTCCAAGGGCCCACCACCTGATCTCAGAAAGTAATCTATCTGTCCGTTGTCGTTCAGAAGAAGTGCCTTCCTCTCGGCGATTTCCTCGCGCGTGAAGTCGTGGACTTCGAGCTCAAGCTGTGATGGGAGACGCATAGTCGGCGGTTTCGTCAGGGCTGGGTCCGTGGTGCTTGTCGATATAGTCGAAACCCCTGGCACGAAGCCTCGCATTGCGCTTCCCATGGATTGTAGAAACGACGGTGATGCACTCGGCACGTATGCAGTTTTCAAGCTAGCTGCGAACATGGGGTCAACTGTACCGTTGAGTAGATATCCGACCGGATCTTCACGAGCTAGAATGTTATAGATGTTATCCACAGCGAGGCATCCGAATGTCTCTACATCGCCAACAACGTCACTCGACTTGACGTCAGTTGGATCAGCGCCGGGCTTCAGCCGGCCCCGTCTAGGCAACAACGCGCCCCTTTCCAGCAATAGGAAAAAGGCAACTGGGCTGCCGAGAAGGAACAGGTTTTTCGTGTCGAATTCAAAGTGTTGTGTCTGAAGCGGCTTGTTGAGTTGCAGATTGGGAATAGAGGTTGGCTGTCTCGACAAAACCTCTACCGACATTACGGTTCCCAGCGAGTGACCAATAATGTGGACGCGTCCTTTCTCTGAAAACCCTGGGTTGTTTCGACACCACAATCTGTATACGCGATTGGCTTCCTTGACCATAGCAGCTACCATCTTAGGCTTATGTTGCGACATGTAAAAGGGAATATCAAACATGACGTCTGATATCATACTACGCACGGCTGGAATGGTCTTGGGTTCTATATCTTTCAGGCCGAAAGCTTCCACGGCATAATGGGCCTTGTCTTCTTCTCTCATGGGGCCTCCATCCTCAAAGGATAAATCCTGTCGCCAGTTGATGGGAAGAACCATGATGCCATTTTGTCCCTCGCGTAGAACAGCCCTAACTGCGTCGTTGTTCAACTCTACATTGATGGCCCGCCGAAATGCATTGATAGCATGCGTGAAGTGATAGTTCTCCACACGTTCTGCCAGCTTCTGGCCAATTCCGTGGACAACCAGGACGAGACTAGGCAGAATTAAAGGTTAGCTATGATACATATGGTTGAGAAACCGAGAGATCAGAACTTACTCAGTAACTTGGCTGCGATCCTTTTCAGCTTTGCAGGCTAGACATTGTTCGTTGCGATCTCTGCCATTTGAATGAGAGGGAAAAGAGGGTGCCCGGGAGGCATTCTGCTGCTGTGATTTTGTCTTTTGATGTTTAGCCTTCCACATTTTATAATCGAATCCTCGGACAACTGGAATGCCTATGGTCATGCCTCGCACTATCTTCGCCACGGGTCGACGGCCATAGTATGCTGAGGGCTTTAAACTCGGTTTCAAGAGAAACGCGTTCCTTTCATCTTTATATATGACGTGGTATTGCTCAAATTTCTTATGAGTCTGAAGTGGTGAAGAGTTGTCCTCGTTTGCACTCGGAATGAGAGTGCCTTCGGCTGCTGCCTCGCCATGAAAGCATCGAGCAGCACAGAACGGGTCACTAGATAATATAGGGTCTACCATGTCATCACCCCTTTTATTGGATGATTCTGGCGTCTTCGGCCAGAGAGGGTGTGAGACCTTTTCTTCCCCCAAGGGGCCAACTTCAACAGCGCATCTCAGTTCATCATTCCACGTTTCAGTATGTGGCTTCAACTCTCGATATCCCGCCTCGAGCTGGTTAGCAACACTAGGATCAATAGGCCTCATATCATCTCTAAAGAGGGTTAGTAATATGTCTAGTAAAGCGCGATATATAACTACTTACCGGTAGAACCAGGTAGCCCGAAGCACAGTCGCAATATCATTGACTGGAGACCAGTAGATGGGTTTCATCTGCAAAGCTGGGAGGGTCACCTCATCTATGATTTTATGTCAGTAACTCGATGTAGCAAAGCTAAGATTCGCAGGGAAAAAAAAAAATTGGTATCGAGCCTGACATGGGGCGAGCGAGGCCAAGAGCTTTGATTCTTACATACGTAGTCTAGACACACCGACTAACACACTAGTAGAACCTTTTCCGAGCTGCAGATCTGTAGCTTGGGAGGACTGTATTCTCTCGGATGGTAATATGTTTACAACCTTCGGCTTGGGCTGTGTAGGTGTCGGGGATAGTGGATTTGTTTTTGAAACAGAAGATGGCTGAGAGAAAGTGGCAGTTTCCGGCGTGCCAACTCGGATGAAGGGCTTCCCTGTAATTCCGTCGTCTACAAGCGATGACTTGGCGGGTATGATTGCAATGGGTTTACGCTCGTTAGGGCGAGAGCCTGTGTTGCGCGGCTGTATTCTTGAGCTACTGCCCTCTTCAAAACTCGAGGGCTTAGAAAAACTGTGAGTCGATCCCGGCAACTCATGCATTAACCCAATCTGTTCACTGACCAGGGATGCCGATGGAGCAGTATTAGACCTCCCACGTTGTTCCGTGATGGTACCAGACGACTCAACTCGCATTGATTGCATTTCTGAGAGAATGTTTTGAGCAATCTTCTCAGGATGTAGCATGCGCTGTCTCCGTCTCGCCACAACACAGAAAGAGTTGCGCAGAGCAAGATGAACATCGACTAAAAGATCCGGGCAACAAAGGGGAATGTTATCATCCAATGCGTGTGCAGTCCCATCCAAAGCTATCATAGAGTCTCGTTTAATGCCTTCCCGAGCATGCTTCTCGGTGTGCCTCGCGGCGAGGTCGTGTGTGATGGCGGCTAGCTTGGCGGCGTTTTCTCTTGCCAAAGAAGGGCTCGGACTTCGCTGACGACGAGCGTGGTCATGGTTTCGGGAATACTGGTCGGCAGCGAGACCGAGCCATGCAGATTCCAGGGCATTGTTGTCTCCAGGTGAGAATGGCTGCAGGGTGGCTCGCAGAGACCTGGGATCGTTGGTGGCAGCGATGGCGGCGAGAGGATCATCAATGGGAATGGGCGAAGAGTAGAAGAATTGTGCCCCTATGGGAGGAACGGTGTCATTCGCGAAAGGATTTCTAACAGGAGCGAGGCGACAGTGGCGGCCGAAGTTGTGTGGTGATGGAGGCTCCGGGCACGGGAAGCCGGCGACGGTGGACGGAGGCATGGCGGAGGATAGCGGAGTGGTGCCTGCTTAAGCAGGTGACTCAATCGGTCAAGGTGGAAGAAGACGAAAAGGTAGGAAGACAAGGGCGGCGGCGGCGATGCTAGCGATGATGCTGGACATGATTTGACCCGAACGTCTGTCTGTATGTTCGTTTCGTGTCTTCTTTCTTTTTCTTCTTTTTCCTCGTTCCGCTTCTGTCGTAGCTACACGTTGTTGTCGGGGTGAAGCATGCACATAATTACTGACGAGGGGACATGACTGGGCCCGGGTCCATGTATTACATGTGTATTACATGTACACTAGGCTTCTGCAGGACAGCACACGTCTGGCAAATTGTGGTTGCCTGTCTACCGATGACCTGTGAGAGCTTCAAGTGACGCAGCGATGCAGTTTCGGCTGATGACGTGGTTCCTGTAGGCTGTCCTAGGTAGGCGGGTTTCTAGGGGCCCTCACCGCGCTGTTACCCCCAGTGCCAGGTACCAGCCTCGCCAGCGACCCTACCTACCTCTACTGTAAGTAAATCCCCTACGCCGCCCCCCAGGCAATACCTACCCCAAGGTACCTACCTCACCTACCATTGTGGCGTTTTTGGCCTGTGATTGCTTACCTAAGGCATCCAAAGTTGCTGCCACAGACTCTCGCCCACAGACCATCCCACAGACCAACGCACAATGCACCCATTGGCAATCTACCATGGGAATCTAATCCTGTTGATTTCAGCTCAGATCTGCCAGGCACCATGAGATGACTCAGCTTTATATTGCATGAGCTGAAGTCAAAGCACGTTGGTATGAACCACTACGAAGTAAGGTACCTCTTGAGTTGATTTGTGCTACCTACATGTACCTATCTATGCTGGCCGAACGTGGATATCCCTTCTCCTAGTATTCTACTTTACTATGTAAACTACAACAAGCACGCATGCTCCCGTTAGAATAAGGGTTGACGCTTGACTAATTTAGCAGACATTTAAAAATATGCTTGAGCTACACAGTAGGTAGGTTGTACCTACATACCGGTACTTCGCCCACTCACATTACACAGACACAAGCTGGATGGGGTCTACCCGGACCATCACGAATCCTGGACCATGTGAATGTATGTGATTATCTCTAACCAGTAACTTGTCGATTCAGAATCAGGACTTGGAATTCCCCATCCCTGAATATGTATAGTAGAGGCTAGGTATAGGTATGATAGTAGTACAGCTGCTTAGTGTACTTCATATAGAATGCTATCTTCCGAGTGGTGGCAGATCAGTTCAGATGAAGGGTCAACTCGACTCGGACAAACGAAACAAAAGCAAGACAGGCGAGCGAACGAACAAGCGATCGAACACTTCCCCCCCTTGCCAACTCCTCGCTTTCGATGTTCCACGTAGCACCTGGCACGGCTGCATACGACACTACACTGTTACCATGCTATACACACTACCTACTTGAAGTGTGATGCAGGTATGTGCAGTATACATGTAGTATGGGCATGGGAAACCATACCTACAACTCCGCCAACAATTCCACCACGGATACTACCATATCACCACCAACCCATACTTTTTGTGTCTCTTTATGTCTCTTTGTGTCTGTTTGTGTATAGCAGAACCCATACCACCAACACGCCACACCAATGAGAAGAGCTGCTGCCGGTACACTCGACACTGGTGCCGGACAAGGACCAGACAAGGATATGGACGTTACAGTGCACAATGAGCTAGCCCATTGGCTGTGTTGACGTTGCCTGGGTCTCAGACCCGTCTTGACTGGCCCGACGAAACACTTTTGAAGACGGCACACATGCCGTGGCATTGGTGGCATTGGTAGCGCCTAGCCGACTGTCCAATCCAGCGCCGGCTTGTTGTTCTTATCTGCGGCCACCATGGGCACATCATAGCGTCCTAGCAGGGTGACAAGGGGTTCAAGAGGCAGGGGGGAGGTTTTGTGATAAGGCTGCAACTCCACGTCGTCGTTTCTTGTCGTTTCTTGTCGTTGTCGACCCTCTGTTTTGCCCCTCGTTACCAATATGACTTGCCATTACTCGGCTACATCTAGGTAGTATAGCAGTATAGGTAATCTACACAATTGCAATACAGTCAGCGGTCGCTGTGACCAACAGTACCTACCTGCTGTTGAATAATAATGGTGTATCTGCTGTATCCAAGTCGTCGCGATTTACCTGGTTTTGCTGTCGCTATGGAGGTGTGCATCAGACTATCAAGGAAGTTACCGTAGTATATGTAGTGTAGGTAGGTAGGTACATGTAGTACCGGTAAATATCTCTGAATCCATATGTATATCCTCCTCGTTCTCTCTACCTACCTTCTCTCCCCGTTCTTCTCCCTCCTCTCATATTCCTTTCACTTTTCTTTTCCTTTTCCTATCTTGCTGCTGCTGCTGCTGCTGCTGCTGCTTGTCTTGTTCTCTTCTCTTATCCCCTCCACTACGACGTCTTGGTCTCTGCCGATCTCCCCTAAACCAAGGACCAAGCCGATCTTACTGCTTTGTGCAAAGGGAGCTAGCTCTCCACACTCCATCTTGGAGGACAACCAACACCTCGGTGTATGGGCATACTTAGCTCTTCAGGCTCGCAGGCCACCTCAACTGCCCACACCATCATCAACGACAGACACACTTGCTATTGCGCAATACTATCTACCTAATCTACAATACCGGTAGATCTCAGGTAAATCCCGGGGTGAGACCGCGAGACAGAGTACAGAGGTGAGTAGTCGTTGCTTTTCCCCCTTGAGCTGCAGAGCAGACAACCAACAGACAGCCCATATCGACTACCTAGTGTCGCCACTACGGTCTTGTCATCCATGCCACCCCCTGCCAGGATCCCACATTCCCGTCTTGTCACGAGCTTCCCTCTACCTGCTTCGTACTTCGTACATTAGCGCATCATTGAACGCTACTGTTGCTTACGGTACTTGTTCAACAGCCGTCTGTGTCTGTCCATGTTGTCGAGCTCGGAACTGTACGTAACCTATTGCTAACTGGGTGGGTGGACAAACGAGACAGACTCTCCCGTTCTCTCCTCTGTCATCATCGAACAACGCATCGGCATACAAGCATACAAGCATCCTAGTATACATAGTATAGGCACGCACTGCATCGCATCACATCATTGGCAACCTTCGCAACGTCGTGCCCTGCGCCCTGTCGCGCGAACTCCACCCGACCCTCGCTCACCCATGCTCCCGCGCTGGTCCATCTTCCCCGCAGTTTGGCAGCCAGGCCCTCCAGAGCAACCCACCCAAGCTCTCTCCCTCGCGTCTTTAGCCGCCCTTGGTCTTCTTTAGTCTCAAACCTACCTAGACTTCCATCACGGGCGTGCATACAGACAGACGGACTGACTTAACGTTAATACCTCCAAGCACATTTGACAAGACAATTCGCAGGACATCGGTCAGGAGTCCTTCTGCTTGGCCTCTTCTGCATACGTTCATCCTACTATTGTAAAAGTAGTAGTATTTATCTAGTACATGAGCATCAGGTTATTGAGGAAGCTGGATGAGCTGCTGGACGTCTTCGGCACGCCTGCTTTTCGTCTATTCTGGTCGTCTACATGTGCTTTCCATGATACCAAATCTGTTTCCGCGCTGTATTACTACAAGCATCCGCTTATTATTCTTGCATCTGTACTAAGTGAGATAAAGCTGCTGCTACTGTCTGATATCATCTTTATCTCGTCCCGCTGCATGTTTCGATAATGGCGACAATTGCCCTGCCTCGGCCAATCGCCACCCACCGCTCTTCAGCCGACATAGTTGACCTCAGGTCTCCCATTTCTCTCGAGAGTACCATTGACGCCCAGCAGGCTACAACTTGTCCTGCGCCCGTCCCTAACAAGCACATTCCCGCTTGTCCTACTGGGCCGGCTCTCGTCCAAACACCTAATACCCCTCCACCCTCTCCTGGTCGTGACGAAGACGAAGACGAAAACGCCATCATCAGTAGCCCTCCCCGCCGTGAGAAGCGTCGTTTGTCCTCGTTCTTGCACCCCCCTGACAAATTTACTCGATTGAAGCTGGGCCCACTTTCAGTCTTCGAGATTGACGCTGATGATGTCGCCGCTGCCATTCGTCACACGGCCAAGCAGCCTTTACCAGATCCTTCCGAGGTCTTTCCGTGGTTTCATGGACTCCATCCTGGCAACCACATGCAGCAAGCCTTCTTCATAGCGAGGAAGAAGAAGGCATTACGGAAGACGCCATGTTGCTTGCGTGGTCTTACCGTCGTCAAGGCTGACGGTAATCTCTGCGAATCCCGCCTCAAAGGGGCTATCTCACCCCAAGAATTTCTCCGGCCAGGTGTAGAGGGAGACTTCATCGAGATGGACCCAAAGGAGGGGTTTTCCGTGAGAAATTTTCACATACAAGCTGCGAAAACTGCTGTTACCTCTGATATAATTGTCTATGGTGACGATGCCCAAGCCGTTCGTATGATGGGCTGGAAAATTGCTTCTGCACAAGCTAAATGGCGTGAGAAGCACCGTGTTCAAGGCGCCAAGATCCAAGGCGCCAAGCTTCCCGAGTACAATACCTTCATCTGTGTAGCTCCCTTCAGAGATTTCGAAAAGAGGTACAGTGAAATTGTTTCGGTTGATTCGTGCGGGGTGCTGACTGGTGCTGTCCTGGACTTCTTTTATCAAGAAAGGAGAGAGATGTATACCATGACAAGGGCGTCTGAGATCTCTAAGAATGTGTGGCTGGGTCCCACGCCTGAGCCAGGCAACGACGACGAAAAGTTTTACGACGTTATGATTGAGTGTAGTGACCTTGGACGGCTAAACCCGGCGGCGTTGGAAGCTATCGCTAAGGGATCCTACGACAGGGTCAAATGTCTTGACTTAGATTTCCCCTCCTCCGGAAGCATTCCTGCCCCGACGTGGTCGCACGCCCAGGCTGACGGTATACTGGACACCTGTCGGTGGATATGGCACCTTGCTCACGGCACACTGCCAACAGACTCCGACGCGGACATCGATGGTGACATCAGCATGTCAGATACACCTCAAACACCAGAAAAGGAGGACCGGCGACCTTGCAAAATTCTCATCCACTGCGCTGATGGCTATACAGAGTCGACAATGTTGGCTATCGCTTATTTCAGTTATAGTACAGGTCGACCCGTAGCAGACGCCTGGCTGGACCTGCACACCGTCATGAAGCGCAACTTCTTTGCATACCCTACCGACGTGTCTCTGCTCTCATCGCTCGCGCCTCGCTTGCTTCGGGAATCACCAGTTGGCGCAGACAAAGACCTTTCCGAAATTGCGGATATGGTTCGGAATGAGCCTAAATGGTTTGCATCGCTGGATGGGTCTTTACCGAGCCGGATTTTGGACTACATGTATCTGGGTAACCTCGGCCACGCAAACAACCCTGACTTGTTGAAGGCTTTAGGCATTACCCAAATCCTCAGCGTCGGTGAGACAGCGATGTGGAGGGACGGCGAGCTAGAAGAATGGGGTGCAGACAATGTGCTAGTGATTCAAGGTGTCCAAGATAACGGTATTGATCCATTGACCGATGAGTTTGAAAAATGCTTAGATTTTATCGGTAAGTGCACATAATCCACTCTTATGGGCTCGGCGCGAATGGAAAGGTGCTGACGTGAGGACGACTAAATTAGACCGTGGGCGCCGGAACGGTACAGCGACCTTGGTTCACTGCAGGGTGGGCGTTTCCCGCAGCGCGACCATCTGCATCGCCGAAGTCATGCGCTCACTTAAACTATCCTTCCCACGAGCTTACTGTTTCGTGCGAGCGCGACGATTGAACGTCATTATTCAGCCTCACTTGCGCTTTGCTTACGAATTGCTCAAGTGGGAAGAGCTTCTCCAATCGACGCGTCAACAGGACAATTCCACTTCCGAACTCGAAAGAGCTGGCCGCGAGCTTGAATGGGGCGAAATTACCAGAGAGATCGCGCTTATGAACCGACCTTACGCTAGATAAGCCCTTTGCTACTAGCATGCGAGGATTATTATAGTGCTACTAGTCACGAGCTGGCTATACAGGTTAGTGTCGTGGTGATCAGGCATGCGTGCGTAAAGTGAACGGGCCACGCGTAGTGCACCCTAATTACTTAGCACCTTGCACCCATCCCCAACCTAGATATTCCTAGTTGAGGTTGGAGGTCTTCATCCGCACGAAGGAGATCGCAGCTCACTATACAACGACGTTGTCTCCTTCGTCTGTGACAAGATGAAGAAAAATGGATCAAGCGAGCTGCGAAAATATGAGTTAAGGTGTAGCTTTATACGCTTTATCTCCCTCTCACCGGACGAAAGCGGCGGAGAGGTATAATACCACGATGTATCAGACAGTAAGATGCGAACGATGAAACAAGAAAAAAGAACACGAATGAATAGGAACATATACGAGGGATACGGGAATAACGATGACGATGACGATGAAGACTTCGGCTGCTATTGCTACACATTCATTCATTACCTACATGCTGACGAATTTGCTCGAAGAGATACCCACCCCCCAAAAATCAACCAGCAACTGAACTTAAGGAGCAGCACCCTTGACTTCACACCATGTTTTTAATTTGTCTCGTTCATTCTGGCCTTGGCTTTCATACCTTACTTATCTTATCCTGCAAGCCTCTGCTCGTACACCAGATAGGGCAAAACTATGCCGGGACCGGAAACCAGGTGGTGTTCGGGCTTTTTTTTGGGATATCCGACTCCTTTACGGATTTACTTACTTATCTATCCATCTTATTTATCTGCATATGGATGCATGTATCTAACATTTTTATTTGGGATTGTGATCTTAGGGGGAGATATACTTGGCTGCTGCTGGTTTACATTAACAGGGTTTTTTCTTCTGGGGTCTGAGTACTCATCTATGTACTCAAGGAAGGGACATGGACAAGGTATACATACAGAAGCAATGAACAGAGAAATATATCATATAAGTGTCAGATGTCGTCTCGTTTATAAAAGACTAAGAAATCACATAGCTGGTAGTATGGCATGATGCTATGTAGCAAGGATTCTCGCTAGCCGACAACTCGAGCGCCGTGAAAGCTGGCTGGAATGAGCAAAGTCGAACCCAGGTAGCGCGGGGGCCGTCATAGCGATAATTCCAAAATGAGGAATGAGTCAGCAATAGGGACAAAAGAAGAGACAAGAAGAAGATTATGAGCGAAGGGTGAGATAGATTTAATCTAATCTAAAGCGGTTGGTAGAGGCCGGCTCACCCGTCCAGCAGCAATAGCTGCAAGTGTAGACTTGTGTTCTGGGAGGTATTGCGAGAACGCCCATGCCCTCTACTTGACAGCAACCTTTTAGATGAAGTCAAAAGCGGTAGCGATCAAATTTACTGCGTCTGGATGACTGATGAGATACATCTACGGTAGGTATCTCATTGGAAGTTCTACCTACTTCGTAGACTCGTAGTACAAATGGTCTAGCTGTGGCTGGTGCTGCACAGCGCCCTGACACCGCCACTTCTGCCTCCTACCTAGGTACCTAGCTCTAGGCATCATTTAGCTGGGCCAATAGTGCTTTTAGAGGCCTTAGGTAGCTTTCTTTCTTACCTCATCTGCCAATTCAACATCAAATATCTATCAATCTGCGTGCCTCTCCAGCATCACTTACAATGTGCACCATACAGTTCGTTCGCTGCTTGTAGGCCCAACATTTCATAAAAATCAAAAGGTTAACACACGTAGCCAAGTATAATCGCGATTAAGAACTTGTACCAGATCGTGGTATCCTCTCAAGCCTCTTGCATGCAAACTTGATGGGTAACGTTTTTGAGACGGCATTAATGCAGAAGTGCTATACTTAAGTCTATCATCATCACCTACCTACCTACCTACCTACCTACCTACCTACCTACCTACCTATAATCATACACATCCAACGCAACGGGCTGGCGGGCTGGTCTACCTATCAATCTATTGTACCCTAACGAAGCAGATGAGCTCTCATCAATCTCGTTCGTCATCATCACCTTAGCAGCTCGGGGCTTCACGTCTGGAGCCCTGCGCGTAGAGCAGACTCTGTACGTAACAGCATCCAAGATAAAGCCGTGACAAGATGAAGTTCTTCATAGACGACCTTCCGGTGCTCTTTCCGTACCCTCGGATATACCCCGAGCAATATGCCTACATGTGCGATCTCAAGAGGACTCTCGACGCCGGCGGCCACTGTGTCCTGGAGATGCCCTCAGGCACCGGCAAGACCGTTTCACTGCTGTCTCTCATCGTCGCCTACCAGCAGCATTACCCCGAGCATCGAAAACTCATATATTGTTCCCGTACCATGTCCGAGATTGAAAAGGCCCTGGCTGAGCTGAAAGCTCTCATGAAGTTTCGCGCTGATGAGCTGGGTCATGTCGAAGAGTTTCGCGGCCTTGGCCTGACCAGCCGCAAGAACCTCTGCCTGCACCCTTCCGTCAAGAGGGAAAAGAGTGGTGCTATCGTCGATGCACGTTGCAGGAGTTTGACTGCCGGCTTTATTAAGGAAAAGAAGGATAAGGGCGAGAGTGTTGATACCTGCATATACCACGACAACCTTGACCTTCTCGAGCCACACAATCTCATCCCCAACGGAGTCTGGACCTTCGACGGCTTGTTGAGGTATGGAGAGCAGCACAAGCAATGTCCCTACTTCACTGCGAGGCGCATGGTAAGTTCTCGCTTGGCCTAGACACACCTACACGACATGCTCAGTTGACACGTTGAAACATGACTAGATGCAATATTGTAACGTCATCATTTACTCCTACCATTACCTTCTAGACCCCAAGATAGCCGAGCGCGTCTCCAAGGAATTCTCTAAAGATTGTATCGTCGTGTTCGATGAGGCCCATAACATTGACAATGTGTGCATCGAATCCTTAAGCACTGATATAACGGAGGATTCTCTACGCAAGGCTACCCGGGGTGCCGTTAATCTTGAACAGAAAATCACTGAGATGAAAGAGACGGACAGGGAGCAGCTCGAAAACGAGTATCAGAAGCTCGTTGAAGGCCTTCGCGATGCTGATGAGGCTCGCCAGGAAGATTCATTCATGGCAAATCCAGCCTTGCCCGATGACTTGCTCAAGGAGGCCGTCCCTGGCAACATTCGAAGGGCCGAACATTTCACGGCCTTCCTAAAAAGATTCATAGAATACCTGAAGACTCGCATGAAGGTTCGGCAGGTTATATCAGAGACGCCGCCATCATTCCTGTCTCACTTGAAGGAACATACATTCATCGAGAAAAAGCCACTGAGATTCTGTGCCGAGAGGTTAACGTCGCTGGTAAGAACATTAGAGCTTACCAACATCGAAGACTACCAACCTCTTCAAGAAGTCGCAACATTTGCCACACTGGTAGCTACCTATGAGAAAGGCTTTGTTCTCATTCTGGAGCCGTTTGAATCAGATACAGCTGAGGTCCCTAATCCCGTTCTTCATTTCACTTGTCTCGATGCCGCTATCGCTATCAAGCCTGTATTTGACAGATTCAGCTCCGTCATCATCACGTCGGGGACAATGTCGCCCCTAGAAATGTACCCGAAGATGCTTGACTTCCCGACAGTTGTGCAGGAGTCATATACTATGACGCTAGCAAGGCGATCGTTTCTACCGATGATCGTCACTCGTGGTAGTGACCAGGCGCCAGTTTCCACCAGTTTTCAAGTCCGAAATGAGCCGAGTGTGGTCCGCAACTATGGCAATCTCCTAACGGAGTTCGCCAGGATTACGCCTGATGGCATGGTGGTCTTCTTCCCATCCTATCTTTACATGGAATCCATTATCAGCATGTGGCAGGGCATGGGTATTCTAGATGAAGTATGGAAGTACAAGCTCATCCTAGTCGAAACGCCCGACGCGCAAGAAACTTCTCTCGCCCTTGAAACGTACCGCACAGCGTGTTGCAACGGGAGAGGCGCGGTCTTGCTGTGCGTCGCCCGCGGCAAGGTCTCCGAGGGAATCGATTTCGACCATCAATACGGGCGAACGGTGTTGTGCATCGGCGTCCCGTTCCAATACACGGAATCGCGCATCCTCAAGGCACGCCTCGAATTCCTGCGGGAAACATACCGCATCCGCGAAAACGACTTCCTCTCCTTCGACGCTATGCGCCACGCGGCGCAGTGTCTAGGTCGCGTGCTCCGAGGCAAAGACGACTACGGCATCATGGTGCTAGCGGACCGCCGGTTCCAGAAGAAGCGCCCGCAGCTGCCCAAGTGGATCAACCAGGCCATGCACGACGTCGACAGCAACCTGAGCACGGACATGTCCATCATCACGGCGCAGCGGTTCCTGCGGGACATGGCGCGGCCCTTCAAGGCCAAGGACCAGGAGGGCATCAGCATGTGGAGTCTGCAGGACCTGAAGGCCCATCAGCAGAAGGTCGACGAGGAGAGGATCAAGGAGCTGCAGAGCCGGGACGACGACGCCGTCATCGCGGCGCTGCGCAAGGCCCAGGCGCAGAAGGCGTTCGATGACGACTACGATATGGACGACGACGACCTCGATGAGGAAATGATGCAGCTTGATGGTGCTTGAACGCGGTTTGGGTAATTCGTAAACCTAAACTCCGCTCTTGGTATCGTATCTTATGCCTGCATCGGGGAATTTGAAGAAAATGCAAAACTTACCTGTGGGTGTTTATGAAGGGTGCATATAGCTAGATTTCTAATCCATAGGTCAATCAGAGGGGAACGGGATTCTACTGTCAAGATTGGATGAATGCTGTCAACATGTAATCGAATACGTAGACAGCAGATTAATTTATTCTTCTTTACAAAGTGTTTTATTCTGAAGATAAGCAGACCCGTGTAACGTCTGGTCACTGTGCGCTATTGATTCTTATGTAGTAGATTTAGCCATGTTCCAGAAACTCTCCAGCTTTGCCCTCGATAAAGCCTGCCGGGCCTCGGCATCCGTCTCGCACACGCGCGACTTAAAGGCGTGGAAGGCTTGCGACTTGACCTCACCCTCGAATAACAGCTGGCACTTGTTGAGAGCTAAATCTTTCAACTCTCCCTTCTCATCCTCAGCCCTCAGCCAGTCCCTTGTGCCGTCATTCTGGGCGGTCCTGTCCCTAGGCGGCGCATTCTCCGTCCAGTCGATACGGTTGAGCATCAGCTTCTTGTATTGTCTGATGCTGTGCTCGCCGCCCTCGACAATGATCAGGTTCTGCTTCGGGTGCATGATGACCAGGCCCTTGAGGTTATGCTGCTCAGCGTTCTTGCTGATCTTGAACCGGTGCTGGCCGTTGGCCAGGCTGTTCACCTTGAATGCCAGCATATGTACGCCCTTGGCTACATCCTTCTCCTGGTTTCTCGCTAGTTTCTCGTGTTTTTGCTCCTTCGTGAGCTTTCGTTCTTCGTTAGTCTCTACGTGCTTCGTGTGTCGGTCGGCGATTTCCTTGTTGACTCGGGCCTCCACAGCCGTAGGGTCTTTCACGGCCTCTTCTCCCAGAACGCGCATAAGATTTCCCTTTTTAATCTTGGGCGGCGGTGCGGGAACCAATCCCACTACGGAAAACCATGTTAGTATATGCGAATACTCGAAGGCTAGGTACACGACCAAATTTGTAGCGGAGGTATCTATAAATGCGCAGAAAAGGTAATGCTGGGGGAGACTTACGTCGTATCTTGGCCTGCTCTTCCTTCAGGTCAGCCATACGGCGTTGGCGACGTAGTTTGGCCTGTTCCTGCGAGGTCAGGTACATTGGTTTTGGTGCAGGTAGATGTTGGTCCTGAGGCGGCTCTATGGCAACGGGATGTTGAATGTAGCTCGTGATGATGGTGTCCTCAGTATCGATCTTCACAGCGCCGGGGTCATCGATATGATCATAATCGCCCCCAACGACAAGACCCTCATCCCACCACTCGATTTCGGGAGGGGCTTCGACTACAAAGTTCTTCTCGACATCAATGTCCTCGTCTATGCCGGCCTTGCGAGTCTGGGCTGCGATCTTCTTCTTCAGCGCCTCGAGAGCAGCCTGGCGACGCAAGGCATTGGCCTGCTGGATGTATTTCCCCTTCTGGTTGAAGATGAGTTGGCGGGACTGCCGGGGTTTCACGGTAGGGGCTCCGAGATTCGCGTCGTAGTATGGATTGCTCTTGATCTCCTCGGCTGAGGGACCGGATAGGTCGAGAGCTTTCTTTTGCTTGGTCTGGTTGGAAGATGGCTTGAAGGAGGGTTTCGAATCGCTATCGCCTGACTTGCCGCCAGGTTTCCACTGGCCGAGATCCTCAAGAGCTGGGTGAAGGCCAACATTCAAACCTCCCTTGGCCTTACTAGAGCCTATGGCGGCTGAAACACGTGCCTTGAGGGCTGCTAGTTTGGCGGCTTTGTCTACCGCGGTCTCGGGTTTCTGAATTCGAGATGCGCCATCGTTACGAGGGCCGAGGCCCGGTGAGCCGCGTCGCTCCATAGCGAAAGGCTCGTTGATGTGGGTGGTGGAGAGATGATTTGAGGGATGGAAGACGAGCCGGTCGCTAGCTGGATGGTTGGGTCGCGCCCCGGAAACCCACCTCGAGAGTGTGATAGAAGGGGAGGTCGCGTAGGTTGTACTAAGACTTTATGTAGCTTTAGAGATTTCCGGGACACAGCTGTAGTCCCATCTCAGAATGCCGGCATAACAGGTTTGATCTCGTGTCAGCTGCAAACAATCACGTCAAGAATGCAGAAGGGCAAGTTAATTGTTAATTGGAAGAACATGTAGGTAAGAGGTACTTTGCGGGTAAGTACATCATTAGCACCATTAGCACATACATGAGCTGGGCTACCTATGGTTAGTGGCTGTTGGAGGTGGGCGCGGGAATGGATCCAGGTCCTTATCACAGAGACGGTACTTGGCTACCAGGTAGATGTATCTAGCCTTATCTTGGCCGCGGCAAGCTGCGATTCTGCCATTCTACGCCGCCAAAAAGTCGAGCTTCAATTTTCTATCCATCTATTGCGACCCCCACCACCTATCCACTGGCGATATACTTGGAGTCTTGCTAGTCGCGTTCCTCTCTTTTTTGGTTCTGTCATAGTTCAAGCTGATCACTTTCATTTTCATTGCAGTCCTCGCTGGAGGATTGCTAACTCAGTTGGCATCATGAATATCTCGCAACCCATCTCGTCCGCTATCGACAGCGTCGACTTCGATTTTCTGACCCCTGCTGAGATCCGAGCTATCTCGGTCAAGAAGATCGAAAACCCAACCACATTTGATAGTCTATTGAATCCCATACCAGGTGGTTTATACGATCCAGCTCTGGGATCATGGGGCGACTCTACGTACGTCCTGTCACCAAGTGGCTCCAATCAATCCAGGCTAATCAAGAGCTTCAAATAGATGCACAACATGCAACCTTCCTCAGCCGAATTGTCCAGGCCATCCTGGTCATATCGAGCTTCCCATTCCTGTATACCATCCTGTTTTCATGGATCAGATCCTCCGCCTCTTGCGCGCTCAATGCCAGTACTGCTTCCGGTTTCGCATGCGAAGAGCCGATCTCAACCTAGTCGTCTGTAAACTACGTCTGCTTCAGTTTGGTCTCATTGATGCGGCCAATCACATTGATGATATTAGCTCAGAAACGACCGATATCGAAGTGGACGATGAAGATATGTCTTCGGATGAAAAGAACTCCGTCATCGACAAGGTTGTCCGCATGAGAGAGGCCTACACGAGGCAAGAACTGAAGAAGTGCCGGATAGCAGCTGTCGACATAAAAAAGGGAAAACATGAGGGCGCATCTGAAGCTCGGAGGCAGGCGTTGAAGGATTTCATGCGCGACATGACTAAGGGAAGAGCCTGTCACACTTGCAACGCCATCTCCCCTAGCTTCCGAAAAGACCGTTTCGTCAAGATTTTCGAGAAGCCCCTAAGCAACAAGGACTTAGCCAAGATGGCACAGGGAAGGCATAAACGGAAGGATGCTATTCTTGTACGGCAAAGGGCCAAGGCAGATGCGTCTAAGAGGAAACCCGACTACGATTCCGACGAGGGGATAGCCGACGTAGACTTACCTTCAAGTGAAGGGGAAGAACATGATAGCCAGGAGGATGAGGAAGAGGGCTCCGGAGAAGAACTCGACGAAAATGGCGACGTTGTCATGACCGATGTGAGCACGAAAACAGCCAAAAAGAAGCAGGACAATAGCAAAACAAATGCTCGATATGTCAGCTCAACAGAAGTACATGCTCGGTTACAACTCCTGTTCGAAAAGGAGCAGGAGATACTGGCATTGGTCTATAACTCCATGCCCAATGGCAAAAAGCTGCCAGCTGACAATTTCTTCCTTCAAACTATCCTCGTACCGCCAAACAAGTTCCGTCCAGAGGCGAGACAGGGGGATGGTGCTATCGCCGAAGCCCAACAAAACTCCTTGTACAAACTTATTCTCAATACATGCGCGCAGATTGCTTTGGTTCATAAAGAGATTTCCCAGGCAGCCGATTCCAACGCCTCCGCCCCCGCTAGAAAGCGAGAGATGACTGAAATGTACGAAGCCTGCTGTAAACTACAAGACGCCGTCAATTCCTTGATCGACAAGGATAGGAATCCCATTGGTGGCAGAGCAGGTATGAGGAATGAGGATGGCATCAAACAAAAGCTCGAGAAAAAGGAAGGCCTTTTCAGAAAAAACATGATGGGAAAGCGAGTCAACTTCGCAGCCCGAAGCGTTATCTCCCCTGACCCTAACATCGAAACGAGCGAAATTGGTGTGCCGCCAGTTTTCGCCAAGAAACTGACGTATCCTGAACCTGTAACAAGTCACAACTTCAGGGAAATGCAGCAGGCTGTCATTAACGGTATTGACAAGTGGCCAGGCGCTGCTGCTATTGAAAATGAAAACGGGCAGGTCATTAATCTAAAGAACAAATCGGTTGAAGATCGTGTCGCATTGGCAAATCAGCTATTAGCTCCTAGCAGTCATCATTACAGTCGCATAGGGGGTAAGAAGGTCCACCGGCATCTGGGTAACGGAGATGTGGTGCTCATGAACCGTCAGCCTACTCTTCACAAGCCTTCTATCATGGGACACAGAGCGAGAGTACTGCCCGGCGAAAAGACTATTCGCATGCACTACGCAAATTGTAATACATACAACGCGGACTTCGACGGCGATGAAATGAACATGCACTTCCCCCAGAATGAGCTTGCACGAGTTGAGGCATTGCAAATAGCAGACACAGATCATCAATATCTTTCAGCGACAGCAGGAAAGCCCCTGCGTGGTTTGATCCAGGATCATCTTTCGGTTTCGGTGGCTCTGTGTAACAAGGATACTTTTTTTGACAAAAGCGCCTACAATGAGCTCATTTATAGCGCGCTGCGCCCCGAAAGTGGCCATATCGTCTCAGAGAGGCTTGAATTAGTCCCTCCAGCTGTATTCAAGCCATTTAAGCGTTGGACTGGTAAACAAGTCATCACGACGATTCTTAAAAACATCAAGCCCGCTGGGTGTGGAGATTTATGGATGACCGGAAGGACGTCAATCAAGCAAGACCCATGGGGTAAATTCAAAGAAGAAGGTGACGTGCTCTTCAACGATGGCGAGTTCATTACTGGCATCCTCGACAAGTCTCAATTGGGTCCGAGCGCGGGTGGCTTCATTCACTCGATACACGAGATTTGGGGACCTGAATCAGCGGCTCGACTGCTTAGTTGTATGGGTCGACTTCTAACTAGGTTCCTAAACATGCGTGCCTTCACTTGTGGTATGGATGATTTGCTACTCACTCCCGAAGGAGAGAAAAAGAGAAAGGAAGTTTTACAAGATGCTGGTAGCATTGGTCTCGAGGTTTCTGCTAAGCACGTAAGTCTCGGGGACCGTTCTGATATCAATAGAACAACCCCAATTCTTCTTGAACGCCTCGAGGAGGTTTTCCGTGATGGCAGTAAGCAGGAAGACTTGGAGCATATGGTCAACGCCGGATGTCAGCAATTATCTTCCAAAGTAACCCAATCATGTCTGCCCACTGGCCTGGTAAAGCAGTTTCCCAAAAATCACATGCAGTCTATGACAATTTCTGGTGCCAAGGGTAGTCCCGTCAACGCAAATCTCATTTCTTGCAACCTTGGGCAACAGACTCTAGAAGGAAGAAGAGTACCCATCATGGTTAGCGGCAAGACACTCCCTTGTTTCCGCCCATTCGAAACTCACATCCGAGCCGGTGGATATATCGTAAACCGTTTCTTGACTGGTATAAGACCGCAAGAGTATTATTTCCATCACATGGCTGGGCGTGAAGGTCTTATCGATACGGCCGTCAAAACTTCGCGATCAGGATATTTGCAGAGATGTCTCATCAAAGGCATGGAAGGTCTAAAGGTATCCTATGACACATCAGTACGAGATTCAGATGGCTCCATGGTACAGTTCTTGTACGGTGAAGATGGTTTGGACATAACGAAACAGAAATACCTTGTTGATTTCGAGTTCGTACTTCGCAACCAAACTTCAGAGGTTAATCGCCTTGGAATTGCAGAGCGAGGATGGGACCAGGATGTTTATGAATCCAAGGACTATGCCCAAAAATACCAAAAGAAAGCCATCAAACAGTCCGCCGCGAATGACCCGAAGAGTCTTGATCCTATTCTGACAGAGCTCAACCCTAATAGGCATGCGTTTGCCACTTCAGAAAAGTTTTATCAGAAGGTCACAGACTACATCAAGAAGAATGAGCATGGATTGATCAAGGAAAAGGGTGACAAAAGTAACAAGACCGTCTCGAAGGCTGTGGTGCCTCGCAAGTATGCCGAGAAGATTTTCCACTCGAAATATCTGAACTCTCTTGTAGAGCCAGGCGAAGCTGTGGGTATTGTCGCAGGACAGTCGGTTGGTGAGCCATCCACACAAATGACGCTGAACACCTTCCATTTGGCAGGCCACTCTGCCAAGAACGTCACGCTGGGTATTCCTCGTTTGAGAGAAATTTTAATGACAGCTAGTGATCATATCTCAACACCGTCCATGACGTTATTGCTGCATCCAGAGCTGTCTGAAGCGGAAGGCGAGACCTTCGCGAAAGCTATCAGCGTCCTACCCGTTGCCCATGTCCTCGATGAAGTAACAGTCAAAGAGCGAGTCGGTAGGGGCGTCGGTCACCGGTTGGCCAAAATGTTCGATATCCGTCTGAAATTCTTCAGCTCGAAGGAATACACTCAGACGTACGCTATCACCACATCCGATGTATTAAAGACAGTGGAAATGAAGCTGTTGCCCATGTTGGAGAAATTCGTGAGAAAGGAAATCAAGGCTAAGCAGGACAAGGAGAGCGCAGCAGTACCCGAGGTTGGCGTAACCACCGGCGTTGTGGAAATGGCCGCAGCAGCCCCTGGGGCTGGGCCGCGAGACGAGGATGATGATGATGATGACGACGATGGAGACGACGATGCAACCAATGATAAACAGCGTGCCAATCGCGCCCAAGCTGTCTCATATGGTGCGAATGACGACGAGGACGACGAGATCCAGAAGCGGTTAGAGCGTGAAGCGTCGCCCGAAGAGGAAGACGAGGAGCATGAAGACGAAGGTTTCGGCGGCAGCCCACCTCCTTCAGGGGATGAGGACGAGGAGACAACGAAGAAGGTCAACCGAAGCCGAGAGGAGCGTGTCAAAGAAAGGACACCCGTCGTCTCTCGATTCGAATGTGACGAGGCTCGAGGAGAGTGGTGTGACTTCACGCTGGAATACCACGCTGATATACCCAAGGTTCTCATGCTCAGTATTGTCCAAGATGCAGTCCGCAAATCCCTCATCCAGCAAATTCCGGGAATACGTAGCTGCGTCTATGTGCCAGATGAAAAGATAGAAGACATTTACACTGGCGAAGAAGTACGGAGGGCGGTTATACACACTGATGGTGTGAACCTGGAAGCGATGCAGAAATACGGCGACTTCATTAACCCCAACGACATCAAGACCAACGACATTGCAGCTGTTCTGCGGGTTTACGGGGTGGAAGCGGCGCGACAGAGTATCATCCTCGAGCTTGGAGGTGTATTCGGTGGTCACGGTATCAGTGTCGACAAGCGTCATCTGAACCTCATCGGCGACTACATGACACGGAATGGCACGTTCACTCCATTCAACCGTAACGGTCTCAAGGGCAATGTCAGTCCGTTCACGAAGATGAGTTTCGAGACGACCTTGTCCTTCCTCAAGGACGCGCTCCTCGACGGGGACTGGGACGACCTCACCACACCCAGCAGTCGTATCGTCATGGGCCGGCTTGGTAAGATTGGAACGGGCGCGTTCGACGTCTTGACCAAGCTCCATGTGAAGAACGGGAAGAACCACGTTGGTTAATCATGACGGTTTCGCGTCGCGACAAGAAAGTTTACCATGATTAGGCGTTTTCGGAATTACGTATCTGTGGGAACATGTAATGGCGTCTTTGTACTGTTTTGTATTGTGTTGTTTCATAGGAGAGAGTTAATCGCCATCCCGTGTAGAATCGCATGGAAATAAAGTTCTATTTCATCAAAGGACAGTGCGAGTATTGTAAAATTGGCCTGTCTAGCCTATCTATCTAATTTGTTTGGTTTGTGATCCTTACGGATTTTATGAGATGGCACGAGATGCAATGTAATTTCTCCTGATCGATTCGTACTCTCGCTACTGTTGTGTGAATATAGTGTTAATATAGACTATCTTGATCGATAAACGTGAAATACGTCGGCATAGCACACATAATCTCATGAATAGTCGCGTTTCGAATTCTGTCGAGAAGGGTGTGTCTAAGCACCGCGAGACCATGTATTTATTGAATTGAATGAACTTGAAATAGGTCCTTAGCAGCAATGATGAGCGAAATGAGTGTTTAGATCTTGAAAACGTATGCATGATGTGTGGTAGGTAGGTTTTATCCGAACAGCTGCTACGGAGATTTTGTCGGTTCTTTCGTATATAGGAAAATGCATCATGTCTTGCCCTGTCTTGTGTTTAGTTGTACATTGCGCAAGGAGCTATGGAACAAAAGGGATGAGGATATGAGAGCATGCGAGCAAGGAAGCAAGGAAGTAACTGCTGTTGATGCGATGAGTGAGTGTATGATGGCAGCGTATGAGATACTAAACTGAGGTGAAGGGATGCAGAGACAGACAAGTGGAATATTACGGAGTATAGAGCAGGGCAGGATATTGAGGATCTATCTCTCGAGGCAGAGAGGTACCTTTCTCGTTTCTGAGGCATCGGCTGCTCGATTGAGATGCGTGTAGATAGTGAAAGAGTGTAAGCATGTCAATGATCATTGGGACATGGGTATTAGGTGTGCGCGCGGTAGGGTAAGTTGAAGCTTAGAACACCACGATTCGTTATTATATTCAATTATATCGAATCTAGGAAGTGGCTACATACCTAGGTTACATTAGATCCCGCCGAATCCAATACTACTATCATCATCATCAACAACAACAGCTCCCAAACAAGAGGGGAATGGAAATGTATATGCTTGAGAGAACTAAATGGGCACAAGGCGAACTCAGTAGGGAATAGACAAGGGCGTGTATAAGGACATTGTATGGTATGATGGTAGAGTATCTCTGAGTTATGTGTGAGGCTTAGATAAGTACACAGGCACCTGCTACCTAGCTTTCCTCAACATCAGCTGTTCACCCCGACCGTATTTCGCAACAACACGCTCGCTGTGAGTCATACATACACCCACTCCTTATTTAAGTATCCTTCCCATGTTGGCTACTTAGCCACGATAGAAGTATGGGTACCCCTAGCACGGGTTATATGCTCTGGCCGTAAGAACACACTACCTACTACATGAGGGACCTAGGTCCATTTTCTATCTAGGTAGAGTAAAGCTTGGCATGGCGGAGTATATACAATGAGTACGCTTAGAGTTTTGAGGGAAATCAAGAAAACAAGATATATATATGCCTAGCCAACATTAGTCAGTCGGTATTGGCATTGGTATTAATATATTTATTGTATTCTATATATAGGAGATAAAGTTCGATTACTTACTCCGCAATGTACATTGATATCTGCGCTCTCATCTCCTGGAGCTGACGAGCTACATACATACCTAAGTAATGAATCTAATCGCGACGTGGCATGCGGTATATCTATTTTTCAGCCTGACTACAGCTAAAACCAGAGAATTAAAGAATAGAAATAATTCCCAGTCGGAAAAGGTAAGAGAAGAGGGGAGATAATGAAAGAAAGACAAACCATAGCGTAGAAAAGGATGGTATATATATCGAGTCGTAAGAAATAAGCCAGACGAGGCGAAAGAGGTGAATATGTGTAAGTAAGCAGGAGAGTGAGTGAGAAGTAGAAAATACAAGACATTCCATTTCCCATCCCCTATATTTCTCTCTTCCTCTCTCCCATTATCTCTCTTGATCACCCTTCCGCTCCTCACCACAATCTCAATATAAAACAAGTAACACCCTAAAACGCCAACACACATCGCAGACTAACATTTACTTAGCATCAACCACTACATCAATTCCTCTCCCACCGGTTCCCTCTTTCTATACCCCCAAAGCAAACTCCACAAGCGAAATACGAAATCCTCGGAAACACGTCAGTCATCTCATATCCTGAATCACACTTCGATGTATACATAAATAGCACAGGCTCCTCAAAAGGTCGATAAATCCCGGCGCACGACGCGTGCGAAGGTAAGTAAGTAAGTAAAGGAGTAGTAAGTGAGGCCTCGCTATTGGAAGAAAACCAGAGCAGTGTTTAGTTCGGAAAGTCGGAGAGTATAGTACATATGTGATTTGCTGAATGGTATCATAGGACTTGGAAGCATGGTAGTAGGTATGGCGAGGGTATCGTCTTGCGTGCGCTTTGGGGATGTAGCGGTAGAATATCATGTGAAGATAGAGTGACAAGAAGATGCTATCATGGTGTGTAGTACTAGGTAAAGTCTCTGTTGAGCCAAGATTACTGCTCAACCACACCCCGGGATAGTGGCAGGCAACATCCCAGGCAGAAGCCCGCCTCGAGCGCGACAGGGACTTGGAATGAAATACCCGTGCTGATCAAGGGCAGCTGACTCCTTGTGAGCACCAGTAGACGAATGTCACAACCTATCACGAAGGCAAGATGATGAGGACGATGTGTTTAGTTCATTTCATGTTCAGATTCATGTGTTCAGTATCGCAGCGCTCTGTGGCCTACTGCCTTAATCACTGATGTACAACCCATGCCTTTAAAGCAATGCAAACACTAACGCCACGATTACCCTTTGCCCTTGTAAAAACCGAATCGTCATGCCATCCCAGAAGTATCATCAATCACAGGTATCATATCCTCCACTTTCTGTCGAGTCTATGTGTTGCTAGAAGGAAAGCGTCAAGCGCTCTAGTTACGCTCACCACGGAGACGACGAGCGAGCTGGATGTCCTTCTGTAGTGGTTGTTAGTGCATCTGTGTTGAAAGGATAAGGTAGATGAATGTGTATGGGAATACTAACCGACTGGATGGTGACACGCTTGGCGTGGATGGCGCACAGGTTGGTGTCCTCGAAGAGAGAGACGAGGTAAGACTCAACGGACTCCTGAAGAGCACCGATGGCTGAGGACTGGAAGCGGAGGTCGGACTTGAAGTCTTGGGCGATCTCACGAACCTGTTCATCATTGTTAGCACGCGTGTTGATTAAGGATTGGGCGCGGGGTTGGGTGGAGGGAAGACGCGTCGCGTATCCCGCCACGGTCGGTAATGTGACGATCTCAGCGATCGCACGATGCAGCCCGTGACACTCAGGCAACAGCGAGGTATAGTGAATATGAAATGAAAGACAATGAGGTGTAACAACTTACCAGACGCTGGAAGGGGAGCTTGCGGATCAGGAGCTCGGTGGACTTCTGGTAACGACGAATCTCACGGAGAGCGACGGTACCAGGCTTGTAGCGGTGAGGCTTCTTGACACCTCCGGTGGAGGGAGCCGACTTGCGAGCAGCCTTGGAGGCGAGCTGCTTACGGGGAGCCTTGCCACCGGTGGACTTACGGGCGGTCTGCTTGGTGCGAGCCATTGTGATGTATGTGGTTGTTGTGTATGATGGATTATGTGATGATTGATGATGGTGGTAGTGGCTGGTTGATGGAAAACAGCAGAGAGCAGTGTGGATGAGTGGATGGAGATGGGAGTTGTAAGTGGAAGAGTTGAGGCGGGTGGGGTGACGGGTTTAAATAAGTGAAAGAGAGCGGGCGAGTCTCAGGCTGGCTGATTGTGTGTGTGCGCTGTTGCAACCGGGGTAGGCAAGTGCTTAGCTGCTCACAAGGTAATGACTGCCCAGGTGTCTACTTAGGTACTTACAGTACTGTAGGTAGGTAGTGTAGTGTGGCGGGAGTGCAGGGGCACTGTGCTGTTTCGGGCTTAGGTAGTTGTTGCGGGTGGGGCGGGCAATTGCCAGTTCTGCTGTGTTGTGTTGATTATTGTGATTTTTTTCGGGGGCAGACAGGGGTGCGGTTTCCCGCGTTGGAGTTCTTTGATTTTCGGTGGCAGTTTTTCACCATCAACACCGCTGCTAATTTTTGATTGGCTGCTGCATCTGGCAAGGTGCGTCAGGAATGCCTCATGTGGGGCCCGCCCAGTCCAGCCCCACCCCAATCATCAGACTTTGTCAGACCTTGACAGAAGCCTTCTTTCTATTCCTATTCTAGCCAGTCTCTGCCACAGTTCATCGATGGGTAGTGTAACCATCTTAATAATTCCTGCCAGATATTCCAGCATCGTGCGTACATTGTATTCCTTGGTCTTAGACGGATGTGGAAAGGTAAGTGGGCTGCCGTCTCTGCGTCACCTAACGCAAGCCCTCGCAAGGCCCAAAGTACGGAGTGACACGTGATCATGAGGAGAGTATCGGTACACGATCCAGCCCATGCCATCGATTACAAACTAATTTCCTAAGCTAAATGGAAAGAATCTCTGAATACATAGTACAGGTATTATGGGACTCTGTGCTTGTCCGATACCTAGAGACTCTGGAAATCCAACTGTTCCAGTGTGTTCATTGGCCGGATAGGTGGCTTACTGTAGTGAATATAAGTGGCGAATATCAAGAATGTCTAGATTTCTCTCTTTTTTTCGACGTTGATTTCTAGCCATTACCATATGTCCAAAATCAAGATGACTGCTTACATACTAGATAGATACCTTAGCTAATGAGGTCCAAATATGATGAGGCAGCATGTTTAGGTATTTGATTGCATGTACCCCCATCAAGACTGGCCTGGCCCATTGCGGATAACCTTACAGTAGCAGGAGGCTGACTGCACTCATGGGTATACACTACAGTACATTAACTATAGTTCCTTTCTAGGTTAGACTTACAAGCGGCAGTAGTGGGTTGTGTCAGACCAAAAGGTTGATAATCAATTAAGGTTATCGACATCAGGTGTTTGTAGGACAGGCAGACAGCCAGCCATCTTGAGTGCGATGCGAGGTCTCGTCGATGACCTCAAGGATTCATTCCACTTAGATAAGCCTTACTTAGGCTGGACACTAGTGTGTGCATGGAAAGGATGCATGTGCTGTTTCTTGACAAGCCCCATTTTGGGATGGGAAATAGAGGCATGCAAATTGATGATTGGTTGGATCGGAAAGACGACGTTGCGATCAGTTTGTCCCGGAATGGAATAGCGCTACCGATCCCAGCTGCTGGGGGCTGCTGCTGCAGATATACATGTACCGAGATACTTAGAGTACGGTACCTTAAGTATGTAGGTACTTATCGTGATGATGTGTACATACCTAGGCATATACTGCACTGCAGGAGCTTGTATACTATTGCAACGGCATGTGTAGTAGATAAGATAGATATATAGATAGACATCTGTATTGATTGACTGGAAGAATGTTGTTGTGTTGCATTCCTCAAGTCTCCAGTGTAAGTAAATAGATATTGTAGATATTGTACATGAAGTGTAGGTGCGTTTACCAGCTTTGATGGAGGTACCTCCGTTGCCTCCCGCCCTATCTCGTCTCCACTTTGCCGAAATCTGCAAGGCCCAAATTGTGCTGGCCCTTTGATTTCTTGGGCTGATTGATGAAATTGATCGCTGCTCTGATTCGGATTCCAATTCCCGCCGGACGAGCCCCCCAGCCCCCAACCACCAAACCCCCCGGTCCCCCTAGCGAGGCCCACCAAGGCACGCATGTAAGTCAGTGAGTAAGTATGATCCACAGCGTCAACATGTCGCGCACCCGCGTTCTCGCGTGTGACACCCTTTTGTCAAAGTACCTCGTCACCCATTCCAGCCCTGTCAGGTACATACATACCTCCTAAGGCTGTTGTTTAACCTGTTAGCTCTCCTCCCTCTTTGTGGTTGGCACTGGCTGCTGGCGCGGTCTCGTCCGGGCTGATCTGATTTCGGCTGCCCACTCCACTCGTTTCCTATTTAACAACCCGTTCCTCTTCCCCACGTTCTTCACAGTCTTTCTTGAATCCCATTTCCATCCACCAATACATCCATCCCATCAACAACCACCACCCACACTCAGCCTCATCCGTCATTGCCTTGTGCAATCTCCAACCAACTACACCCCACTACATTCTTTACATTAACCCTCTATCAACATGACTGGACGTAAGTAGCTACATCCTCCCTCCAAATCGCGTCATCTATGCTCTCGACCCGTTGCTAACGCGTCTTCCCTCTACAGGCGGCAAAGGTGGCAAGGGCCTCGGAAAGGGTGGTGCCAAGCGTCACCGCAAGATTCTTCGTGACAACATCCAGGGTATCACAAAGCCCGCTATCCGACGTCTCGCTCGTCGTGGTGGTGTCAAGCGTATCTCAGCCAGTAAGTTCCTCCAATATCTCATCTACTTCGCAATACCCCGCGACAAGCATACCTAACACGATGTCACAGTGATCTACGAAGAGACCCGTGGTGTCCTCAAGTCCTTCCTCGAGGGTGTCATCCGTGACGCCGTCACCTACACCGAGCACGCCAAGCGCAAGACCGTCACATCACTAGACGTCGTCTACGCCCTGAAGCGACAAGGCCGCACCCTGTACGGTTTCGGTGGTTAAGCGGAGATCACGTTTTCTATTTTGGTTGTTGGGAATGGCCGGGGGGGCCTGGGGAGTTCATGTCTGTTACGAAATGTCATTTTTCTTCCTTCGCAACACAACACGCGCATACACACTACATAGTACATTTGCCACAGAGCATGCGTCGCACTGGTGGTTTTGAGTCATGACGATCTGGGAATTGGGGTTCTTGCTTTTTACAATGGGGTGTTTACATGTACCATAAGGGCTACGGTGGAAACTATCGGAATTCCCCTTGATGAGGATAATCAATGAATCCGTCGAGGAACATTTGTGAAACAACTTAACTATGAGTCCCCTTCTCGTGATTATCTTGTGTCGTGTTTTGAACTTGTCGCGTCTAGATTTTCGCGTGGGTTGCAAGTCTGGTGTGCGGTCATCGCTTTATCACGAATGTGAATGTCGCGTTCAGTGTACCTCAATGTCAGCACTATTGAACACGAATTGTGCATTGAGGCCTGGGCTATCCAATACTTCTTCTGCCTTTCGTATCTCTTGTGTACTTGGTTCTCGTTTGCCGTGCGGCAAGCTAGGCTCATGCTAGATACGTGATATGTAGACTTAGTCATAATTAGGCACCAAGTCTCGACATCTGTCTGTCATATTCGCATGAGTCATACGATGGAATCAGAGATGTGCACTCTTCGTAACTTGGTACACCGATCCGCAATGCAAATCTTCGAATCGGCATAGAACGCGTGGAGTTTCTGATCCGTATGACTAAAGCTAGGTAGTGTTGTCTGCCGATAAGTGGGAACTCGGGCGGTGGGGGCCGAGAACTGTAGGGTAGGCTCTGCCATTAGGACGGGCGATAACTTGCTCTTTTGGATTGGCAATTGAATTTTCACATCGTATGTTAAGTAAGAATAATATTCTGCGTTGTTTGGTTCTATTTTAGCTAGGTGTGCACTGATGTCGTGGTTGATCTGGTGTCGGTCCTTAAATTGGTATATTCATTGAATTAAAATCAAGTCTGAGTCCCAAATACCATTTATCAACATACACAATACATCAAGTCATATTCCAAACAGGCTATATCACGACGTGTAGAAAACCATGATGATAAAATTCTGTACTGAAATCAGGATCTGACGGCAATCGGGGCGTTGCACTCGTTGACAGCTTAAGATAATTAAGCCCACCCACCACCTAAAGACCCAGCCCCTCTACGAACCGGCTTTTCCCATACAAAATCATTAAAATTAGCTAATTATAATTAATTAAAGAAAATAGCTAGCTTAATCGGGTTAGTATTATAATTTTCTTTAATTTTTTTTATATTTATATAAAAAGTTTAAAAAGAAAATATTAACGTTATTATAGTTAATTTAATAGTTTAAGTTTAAAAATTATCCTTTAACATTTTTATATATAAAATGTATGGAAAAGTGTTAAGGGATAAATCATTAAATAATAAATTATATAAAATATATAAAAATAAGCTATTAAAAGTTTTATATATAATAAATATTAAAGTAATTTATTTTTATTACTATATATTTAAACCTATTTTCTTTAATTTATTATAGTTAAAAATATATATTATATATATAAAAATATTCTCCACTTTTATTAATTCCTTAATAATTAAATTAAAAAATAAATATAAATATTTAATTAAAAAATTAAATTATATGTTATTTTTCTTTATTTATATCTTTTAAAAATATATATATATATATTTTATATAATTTATTATTTAATGATTTATCCCTTAACACTTTTCCATACATTTTATATATAAAAATGTTAAAGGATAATTTTTAAACTTAAACTATTAAATTAACTATAATAACGTTAATATTTTCTTTTTAAACTTTTTATATAAATATAAAAAAAATTAAAGAAAATTATAATACTAACCCGATTAAGCTAGCTATTTTCTTTAATTAATTATAATTAGCTAATTTTAATGATTTTGTATGGGAAAAGCCGGTTCGTAGAGGGGCTGGGTCTTTAGGTGGTGGGTGGGCTTACACAACAAAAATAATCACCACTGCAACCCGCCAACTCCAAGGTTAGGCGGGACTGAAATCCATCGGAATATACATACACATGCTCCACAATACCTAATAACTCTGATCTCACTTAGTCAAATGCACCAGTGTTGAATCTCAGGGGTGTTTAACATAAATAAGTGAGTTTCAACATGTAGCCGGCAACAGATAGAACCCCATCTACCACTTTCATAAATTGCACACTTCGTAATGCCCACGATGCCAGTCCATAACTGACTAGTCTAAACGGACGCGTTGATAATATGATTGCATCGCGTGGAATTGGCATTTATCTACGCGAACTCCATGTGCCCGGCCAATATCACTATAACTAGCATGATAGGAAGGCGAAGGAGTTAGGCGGTGAGTATGAAGCTCGTTGTGATGATGGGGGGCTTAACTCGAATAGTATATACTACATGTATTACAGTTCCACGGTGGTTTGTATACAAGGGTTTGCTTTTTGGTATATACTGTAATTACGGTACAGCTCAACTGAGTTAGTGACACTGCGCTGAGAAAGAGCCACGAAGAAGCCGAGAGCCACAGGGTGGACATGTACACATTGGTAATGACGAGTATGCAACAGGCATGTTGTGACTGTTGAGTAAAAGGCTCTCTAAGATCACTGTTCTGGCTCGGGCACCTTTTGTGATATATATACATGGATACAAACAGAGTCAAGTATAGTCACATCTGGAACTAAGGTGGGAGTATTTTCTACCTTGCCAACTTCTTGTTGATACAACTATGTAATGTTTAAATGCGTCAGGTCTACTACATAGTCGAACACCCTCGTGAGATATGCAGTGACTCAACCTCGGGGGTATGATTCACCAACTCCGCTGTACGCCACCGAGCTACTCTGCGCATCGGCAAGGACTGTAAGAAAGACATAGTAGATTGTCAAAGCACCTAGGTTATTTTCAGTGCGTCTTAGAGGGCGCTCGATGAATGACGCCGTTTTGAGATGTTAACACACTAAGAAAGACAACTCACCATTCTCTCCAAGAGGGGGGCACCTTGCTCATCTGAACACGCACATTGATGTATTTCTGGTAGTAAGGAAACCTGTAAGCTGCGCCTAGGATTCAAGAGTGCCTGATAAAGTCTCCAAGAACACTTGCAGAATAATCTATACGCACACACATATGCGTATAAACCATCACAGCTACGGCGAGACATATACGCGACCATATTTGTCAGCACAACAACTACCTTACTAGTAAGTCTCACCCACCTGGGTATCTAATTGGACCTAATTCGGTTGGAAAACCAATAATCGCTAATTTATTCGCGTGACAGGGTATAAGAGAGCCACGGAATCGAGCGCTGGTGGTTTGATGGTGTCTAGGACATGTTTCTCAGGCACGTACCCACATGAACATCGCATCAAAAGTTAGCTATATATGTTAAAACAAGATGATGAGTTAACACATACGACCATAGGATCTGGAGAACGCGGGGTCCCGTCCGCTCCCCCTTAGCTAAGCCAGATACCGCCAGATCAGTAGTTGGGTCGGTGACGACCAGCGAATCCCTGGTGTTGTATGTACCTTTTCCTAATTTTTTTTTAATTTTTTAATTTTTACATCTTCCATCCTTCACGGTAAGGGTTTCAAAGTAAGTCTCTTTCTTTGGTGAGCTGGTAGCGTCTCTATTAAAAACTCATGAATGCGTAGTAAGTGTTATACATTCATGTATAACCATTAATTGTACGGAAGTTACGGCCAAAAGTATTCATCATCCTTGGCAACGCAACAGTGTGTAAATAGTAAGACACTTTCACTGATTGAGCCGTAAGCTAACCAAAGCTGTTGATTTTTGACAGCTTAGTACAGTTGGTAACAAGCTGGTCGCGGCCTGTTAACGGTCTGTAAGCTTAGTATGATACTTAGTTTGAGCCGATGGCCGTCTGGCAGACTCGAAGCCTTGAAATCCTTGCACTGTAGGTAGGCAATCTAGTCAATGATGAATACTTTTGGCCGCACCCTCCGTATGGTGACGAAGTAAAGTTTGACTTCCAAGTCCTAACCTTCGTCGCAAGGCTATATAAGCGGGTGGCCCGAAGGGTCCTCAATAGCCTTGAAGGGCGATGTGGCCTTCTGGCTGTCTAACTGACTACCTACCTAAATCTACACACATGGGCCATATGGTCTTTACAGCCAGGAGCCGTAACTCCGATCATCTACACACGCCCAATATGCCCAGTACTATACACCCCATTATCAGCTGTATCACGACCTTTTCCTACACCATGTCTTTCATTCGTCATGTCATGTGCCTGGCGGCGAGTCTACCCATCGCCTTCCTCAGCAAGTCGCCGGTCTTCAGGGCGATTGCTCTTCTATGCGCCATGACTACCTTCTACTCTTTCCCTATGACGCCAAAAACGGCTCAAGTCATTTGCACGCTCAGCTTTGTGCTAAGTACTACGTTATACTACATAAATGGAGGTATTCCCCAAAATCAGGAAGATAACGATATATTCAGTGAGTCTCTCTCTTCCTCTACCTGAGTTGTTCTGCTAGATTCTAATCATCGATAGCTCTACTCTTTATTCTTTCCTTCAGCAGCCACAAATTGACTCCCGAGGAGAGCATGCAGATGCAACGTCCGAAGGACATTTTTCTTCGTTGCGTAGAGAAGAGTCCACTTTCACTAGTAAATTACTTCTATACAGTTATCGTCACTGGCAACTCTCTCACATCGGGGCTTAAGCCAGGAGCATGCTTTTTCGTCTTTCTTTGGCCTTGGGTAGTTACGCCTTCTATAGCTCTTTATCAATCGTGGTGGAGACAGAGAGACGACGCAAGCGTGTGATAGTTGTATGACATAAGATGGAGATGGAGGAAAGAACGATGCTGTAACGACTTTTACTTCCTCTAAATAATCGAGCTTGGATTGGACGACCGAGCACTAATAACTCCACCTGGCCTATTATGATCCCTGCGTCGGAAGCACTCAAGTCGAGAAACAATTTGCCGGCGTGGTATGATGAGGCGTTGAGTTGGCCGCCTCGAATAGCTCCGACACTACCATTATGAATCATCGAATGTCCCACCTGACCTATCATGGTCCGTTTCTGAGAGAAGCCTCAGATCGATCACTTCGAATTCTTTAGCAATTCTGATCACGGAATGAGCCGTGGCGGTAATCGTGCTGTAAGTGCTTAACTATAATAGTATGCGGAGTCCTGCTGACACTGGGAACAAGCAAGATGTGGTAGCCCTAACGAGCGATTTCTCCATCACTGTAACCTTCCAAGGTTGACTGGCTTTCTTCGCTACTCCTGTCCATTTTCTGCGGCATTTGGAGTACACAACGATTACTGATCCACGGTCGCAAACTTGTTCCTTGCAAATAAGCTCTGCTGCCTTCTGGTGTTTCCTGCAGTAGACACTACCACTCACTGGACATTACCCTCTGAATTTACATTCGGGTGATCTCTTCCACTTTACTACCGGAAGACATGAGCCCGTGTTGCTTCCACACCAGGTCAACTCTGTTCCAGCATGTCATACTTCGAAGAAAAATCATCCAGATCAGGTGGATCACACACTCTACCGCTCTGCTGCTCTGCCGCCCTGCCAGGGGCTGATTGAACCCGAAAACATGCAATTCCTTATACACACTGCTGGGCTACACACCATTTACAGCGTTCTTGCGTGGAACAGGTTACGGAGACGGGCTCGAATTATTTTGGGCAGTGGATGAGATACGGAAGGCTATCGTCCTTGTTGCAATGCGATCTCCAAACAGCAACTATGAATCTGTGGGCATAGCCGTTGCGACGTTGTGTCATCGAGGTTAGGATAGTCTTGGAGCACTCGCACATTGTTGGAAAAGTTGGTTTCCATGGAAAGGATCATATTCTATCGCCATGCGGGAGTTCTTGGGCGAGGTCTTTATCAATACTTGACACACAACATTATGTTCCACATATGTTACAGATTTTGAGGATATGAATGAGGTTCTGGTTCATGACGACCATTTAGGTCAAGATCAGCTCACTGGTGCAACAATGTCAGATTGGTCTGAAGTAATGAAAAGTCTTGACCCTTTCCTTCATCTCGTCTATTCTGACAAAGGAGAAATTTGTTCTGTAATTCAACTAGATGCAACGCCTAATGCTTGCCTGCATGCATTATCTCCTTCCCAGCGGGTTCAAAGCACATAATAGAAATTGAAAGTAACATTTCTGTGCAATTCTTCTTTACGGCATGAGAGCCGATTACATTGAGGTATTGCACTATATAATTAGCACGTCGTTATACCGCACTGCTACTGTGGCAGCATAGGCGAAAGACTGGCCCGAACTGCGGGACGTAGGCTCATTATTTATGCCACAGAAATAAAAGAAGCACAGGTCTACTTGCGAGTTCCCCGAGCGGGAGAAGCATGGTGGAATGAAATATATTTGTATGTCACGACGGACAAATCTGGTAGCATCGAATTACAGCCATGTGAATAGTCTTACGGATTATCAATCTACAAAGACCGCTCATACGGTGAGCATTTAGAAATCCTCAAGGTTAGATACACCTATCTGTTTATAGGGCTGTACGCCATTAAAAAGACTGAAACGGCCTTGAGAACTTCTGTGATATTATACTACTGGTAATGCAACGCCCTGTGTACTCGCATGGCACTCAGATATCGGCGTAGTGGTGTAGAAAGGAAACTCTTAGGTGTTAATCTCAAGGGATACTCACAAGACGCCGCACTCGAGACTGTAGAGGAGACCTGTCACAATAAGCTGGTTATGTAGAGCAAAAGCCGTGATTGCAACGCTTATCACAACCCGCAGTCTGTTCTTGCGAACGGCGGCAATTGACCAGCGTAGTTCATTAGTCACACATAGTCCCATGAGCCAGTTGCTGACAAATGGGAGACAGGAGAAAGTATCCACGACGCCCTGTGCGTGTAGCAAAAAACGCAACGTGTATAGAAATAGGGATGCCTAGCGAGGACGCCCTAGGGGGACCTCCGCGCAGCGAAATGATTCGTAGCCTTACGCAAGGTATCATTGACGACGGTACAAGTGGCTGGCTCAACGAAACACATTGACAACCTATCGCTTACCTCGAGCATTAACCGTCTGACCATGGCTAGTATGATATAGACAGATCAACCAGGGTTCATATCCATTCAGACTAGATGTTGTTCGAGCAAGAGTCCCGGTCTCGGGGTGTCCGTGTGAGGCCAGAGCATTCATTCGTCGAAAGGGTCTGCCATGCAACTCTCCTAGCGAGACGTCGTCACCAGCGCAGCTGGTTTTATTCCTTTTTCTTCCTTCCCCTTCTCTTCACCTCACATTCCTTCCACACATCAATTAGCCACCACAATCAGCTTGGCAAAGTAGGCAGTGATGCGGACATAGCAAATGCGGGTATAGGCGGATGCAAGAGGTCGCGTTCGCATGCGCGAGGGAGCCGACGCCGCGACGTCACAAAATGCGTTGTCTAAACCTGCTGCGAGCCAATGCCGGCAGTGGTTTTCGGCATCGGAAGTTTCGGAGATATCATGGTTGAACGGCATCGACGTTGCAGTTCTGTGGTCCCTTTCGGCTGCCGGGCGCGCCGCCCGGGCGCCACAATTGTCATATGCTAGTCCTGGTAATCTGTAGCGAGTATACTACATATACATACTTATACCTAGTAGTAATGTACCTCAAGGGTCTGGTAACTGGGGATACCGTAGGGGCGTGATTCAGCCCGACGAGAGACGGGCCGCTATTAGGCACAGCTAGGCTACAGGTATGCAACGATCTCACGTCGACTCTGGCTGGGTGAGAACCGTAACCAACGAGACGGTACTGCGAACAACCCAGGAGACTACCCTTCCACGTGGTGGCGTCACCACCGAATCTTGGATTAGTACATGGTGATGCCAGCGCTGATTGGGCATCAGCGATCCGTGGCGCTGTCGCTGTCGCAACACCCCTCTTGAATGCACAGATCGTGGTGGCTGTGCGCATTTGTGCGCCCATGTAACGTCTACTCTGGTGTACCTACCTAACTCTAGTAGCATGCATGCGTATTCGTATGGTATTTCCATGCTTTTCCATTCAATGCGAATCGCCTTTTCGTTTAGTTTCGGTGCAAGATTTGATCCCTAAGTAGGTGGGCGCACGAACCGCGGGATGACAGGGGCGTGTATATCCAATGATCTTACTTAGAGGAGTGCTGCGCATCTTACCCTACGCACGACAACCTGGTTAACGAGATAACCTAGATCGAATGCCTACCTATCAATTCTGACTTCTCGTTTGCCCATTGGATTCGCGAGTGCTACCCTTTATTTTTCAATCACATGATGGGAAATATTCTATGTACAGTTGAGAGATGAAGTAAGAAAGGGCTACGCACGGGTCACGAGACCTCGTGATGACTAACCACAGTTGACTCATTATTAGGTATCCGCGTTAAACTTTGGGCGGCCTCTACCTGACATCGTGCCTCGGCCCAACAAGTCTTTATCGCCACACCCAGCGTGCCGGTATCAGTTGTGGTCCTGTCTTCAACAACATACAATTCCACTAGTGTCTCGAAATAGCTCGAAGAAAAAACAAAGACAAACAAGGACAAACCTCAATTCTACAGTGATACTGCATACAAGGGCAATCCGAAGCCACCTACTAGTCAGTACCAACAGCCGGTCTGGCCGACCAGTGGGATGCGCCGAGTCTTTTGAAACTGCATGTTTCAAAGATGGCTTGACAGCGGAGGGATTGGGTAACCTGCCATCTTGTACGGAGTACGGAGTCTGTACGGAGGAAGGAAAATTCGCGCACAGCCACATCTTGGCAAAAGACAGGAGAGACAAGAGAAACAAGCGCTGGAGGGCGGCAACCACCGCGTCTGACCGACCGCGCGGCAGCGAGCGGCATTGGCATCGACAGGGTTTACTATGTAGGTAGTACCTAGTGCCAATACCTACCTACAGTGCACTAGGTACTCGGCCCTTCGAGTTCCACAACAGTGTTCGGTTTTTCTTTTCTCTTTTTGCTTTTCTGAAAAATTTTAGATGCGAGATCCAGATCCTCGGGTCTCATGGGCCCGCGGGAACGCGGCTCGTCTGACAGCTCGTGTACAACTAGCGGCAAGTCTAGGCTCGAGAACCCATGCAGGCACCGGTAGTGGCACTTGGTCTGGCCTGTACCCCTTCCTCTGCCCCTTCGCACAGCTCTCTGCGCTGCGTACTCCAATCCGGCATGCACCGTACTCACGTGCTACTTACATCCATAAGTAGGTATCGTGTATCACATGTGAAATTGTAGCGCATAGCTGATGGTGGTAAATACTTCCTGTAGGTGTATCAGCTGAGGACCATATGTCTCCGCCTGGCGAGCATTGGCGGATCTTTTTCCAGCTTCCAGCTGGCAATGAACCTTAATTATAGTGTATGTGCTGTACTTTGAGTCCTTGTACCCATCGTCTCATTCACCATCACTAGTACCCAATGTAGGTATATTACTCGGTTATATTGTTGTTGCGTGAGTAATGCCTCAGTCAGTATTGGTCAAGCAGAGTCATCTTTTAACAGCGGGTTCGGACTGTTCGGTCTTTGCTGGAAATGCCGGCCGGCCGACGAAAGAGCTGCTTACATGTACAGCGCACATGCATGCGGGAAAATCCCCGACCGGAACTACGCATAGGTACCTAGGTCAGAGTAGGTTGAGTTCTTTTCTCCTTCTTGCTGGAGATAAGGCCGGAGCTCAACTCCGTCGGCGTTTGGATAATTTTTCCCCCTCTCTTCCTTTTTTCTGCTTATGCACTCTACCTACACCTAAGTCCTACACGCCCGCGGCACCTGGCTCCGAATTTCATGAAAAAAAGTCGAGATTCAAGTCCTACAGCACCTGAAAGTGCCATGCACCACCACACTAGGTGAGACAGATGGGACTAGAACAGATGATGTGCACTCAATTACCATTGACAATGCATTCCCCATGGTCAGACCGCTCGTATGGGAAATCCCCCCCAATATCGGGTTGATGGTTCGTTCTCACCCACTGCTGCTCGCGTCAGCGTTGGTCAATTGTTTTGTCGCCTCGTGTAACTAGGTGCTACTGATTGATGGGACAATACCCTGCTGTTATACTAAATGTCGTGTCTACCATCTCACGAGAGCCGCCAAGGAAATGCTTTGTAGTCACAAGCACAGATCACGAGGTGCCATGCAAATTTGCTAGGATCAAGGCGGTTGAAATAGGCGAGTTTTATTTACTACTACTGGATACTTGTCCAAAAGCTGGGGCTCGGGTGCAGCCAGCAGGCAGGCAGACAGACAGACAGATAGATGTACGGACGACACATGTATCGGAGAGAAAAGAGGACAATGATGAGATTGACCTAGGGATACATGGAATTGAAAAATTCATGACCGAGACCAAGAGGCACACGAAACTCGGCGTCCCGAGACTATGGGCGCTAATAATATCCAAGGTGCCGTTGTTTGGTCGAGAGCCCGGCTAGAAGGTCTAGATACGGCGATCGGGGATCCCGCTGCACTGCAAGATGCACGCAATCTTCGATGCAACGTCGCTGTTAACTTAGATAAGCGACAATTAAATTTTTTCCCACTCTTCGCCGTTACTTTTTTCCTTTACACACCTCTTTTGGCCGGCCCCTGTGCCGCTCGTCAATTGAACACTCATGCCGAGTCACCGAGGAGAAGTGAAGATCGATCTCGATAGATACCTACTTTCTCTAGAGTACCTAGGTACTACGTGCTCTCGATAGGTAGGTAGCGTGGGGTTGGTTCCCCATCGCATCGAGGGACGTCAGTCAGACTACCTAAACTATAGTGGTGTCTTAGTGGCGTGTTAGTATCGTGATGTAGTGGATGAGCCGATGGCCGTGCGACACCTGTAGACCAACACCACCAATACCACCTCACCACTAGATCTACCCTCAGAATCAGATCTGAAGGAGGATAATGACTATTGCTACGAAAGAGGGTGGTTTGATCAATAATATGAGGTAGGTACTCACGAATATTGGTCGGGCTTCATCGGCTTTAAGATGAACGGCTGATTTCTGGTTTCTTCCACGGAAGCCTAGACTCAGGTAATCCGAGTCAATTCTCCAACGGCTGAACTTTCTCGATAAAGAAGCAGGTCAGAGTAGCGACATACGCAGCTGACCAAACAAGCTGACTCCGTCCGTTTTTCCCTTTTCCCTTTCAGCATGGATGGCATTGGCACGTGGCCGTGCGTCAGGCCGGTAGCGAGGCAGTCAAGTAGCGGAATATAGTCAGCCCGCCGAGTCAATTGTTGAGTCAATTGGCACAATCAATCAATGCAATATTATCATATACCTATGTGAATATCTAAACCAATTGGGTATATTGGGGTTAGTACAACGGAGAAGTGCTGTATGATTAATGATCAATGATCTATGATTAATTGCCAGAGATCGGACACGATGGATCCAGAAGCCCGGAGAAATGCGATGCCATTGCGGCCCGCATTCTCCCTTTCCGCACAAGCGCGCACAATCGCGCACGATAGGCGGCTTGCCAAGGAGGGCCTACTATGTTGACAAGTAAGTTTGTAGCTCAGCACGGTACGATGCACCTGAGGCCGTCTGTCGGACACCGGCGATATGGCCAAAGCCGTGGCTCGGTGCCCCAGCCGGTGTGTGACCAACATCGAAGCTACCGCCATACATCAGGTACTATGTATAGTGGTAGCTACGAAGCCGAGCATTTCCGAGTCCTGCCCGAAGTATCCTTTCCTTTCCAAATTACATGTCAACCTTCAGCTTGTTTTTGAATGTATACTAGGTACCGTTCACAAGTGGTTCAGTTAGAGATATGGTAATCACCAAGGCCAACCTTAGTAAGTAAGATTAATGTTATGGTTGCATGCACCCAGATGCGGAAGCAAGATTGTAGGTTAAAGGAGCAATTAAACGCTAAACGAATCTAAAGCTGCTACTCTACTGTACCTCTACCTCTAGATTCATAATCCTAAGGTTACATATGTATGTACATTATTTTTATTTCGTGCTTCGCCCAAGTTGATAGGCTGGAGTGCATATACTTGATTGACCTCTACTTATATACCTAGTATTACCTGTATGCACCCATGTCGACCAAGGTTCTGCAGGGTCCCTCACCTTGGCTGCAATCTGTACCTTCCAAAGCCACCACCAGAGAGGAGTGTAGAACCGTCCAGTAAGTATAGGAATAGGAGAGAGCCCGAGAGAGTTATTGCGTTGTCAGAAAAGGTCTCGCCGTGCCCAGACTGGAGTGTCTCGCATTCGTAGCGAGGACTCCGTGGCCGATAAGTCCAGCCTGCTTGGCATAGATGCACTGCCTGCGTGAAGATACTTCGATTTGTGCTGTGTTGGTGCTGTGTGCCGAGGTACCTGGAGCTCTTACCTAGATAGGCATAGCACTAGCTACTACCAGATATATGGATGGATATGTATCTATGTAGGTATCTCTCTGCTGGTCCGCGGTAGGTTTAGTAGAGGGCCTAGGTGTACACGCAACTCAGCGTACAGTGGAAGACCCGTACATCTGGCGGTACCTAGTACACACCCCGGTTGCACTTATCCCAAAAGAGAGCCAAGGCTACGTCATCACACGTCAGGTTCTCAGGTTCTCAGGTTCTGGACGCCCAAAAAAGCGAGCCAGTCTTCTCGAAGCTCGTCTAGACCCCAGCAGATCGGTTCTTCTTCCCACACCCCTCCCCCCCCTCCTCCTCTCTTCGCAGCCCTATTGTCTGTCTGTCTGTCTGTCTGTTTGTCTCTCTGTCTCTGCGTCTGTCATCGGCTTTAGTCTCCTTAGCAAGGTTCAACAGCAGTTTGTCATCCAACCTTCATTCAATGTTCGTCGTGCCAACCACCATGTATCTACTGTACCTACAGTATCTAGTGTACCGGTACCTAGGTACACGGCTGCCCAATCATGAAAGCAGTGCTGCGGCTCAAGCGATGCTTTCTTTTGGTTACGAGGTGATTACAGTAGTCACGTATGGGCATCAAAGAAAGGTAGGGCCTCTCGTCCCGAGCCCGAGATGACTCTCACCTGACTTGGGTCCTTTCCATTGTCTCCGGATTGCTTCTTTCACCCAAAGTTCTTGATTACCAACAACGGCGGCCGTCCATGCGTCTTTTCATACCTAATTACTTTATCATTCCTCGTCGAGTTCCTCGCAGAGTCAGCTCTCGATAAGTAGGTCAAAATTGAGGGACCAGCCAACGCTCGCTCAGCTTTAAAAGAAAGGGCCAAGTTATCCATCCTCCACACTTCTCCGTCTGCCGTCCAGTATCTTACAGCCATCGGCCCACTTCTCGCTACACTCACACCACTCGGGAGATAGACCTATATATATCTCTTTAAGTATCTGTGGGGATCCCATCCTTGCCAGGGTATACCTCTCACTCTACCGTCTCTGCCTGCAGCCCGCATGTACATGTAGCGTCACTTCATATATGATCCCTACCCGCCGTCTACGTCAAGTTGCTCCCTCTGACATACACCTCGCAGAGACCTCGATCCAATCCACACCCACCTACCCAAGGTAGTGACACACAGACACAGACACACACTACTCAACAGCCATATACCCAGTACTCTTTATTACCAGCTACTGCTACCAGTACTAGCAGATACGGAGCAGCATAGCCGTCCAGTCTACTACTACCATCCCTGATTGGGACTACTTGAGTATATCTAGACTCGTTCGCCACCTCCCATCATCATTGCTCTTCCCTCCCCCCCCGCATGACCCTGACAAATATCTACACCCTACCTCGAACTTCGTAATCATCTAACCACCTGTTATGATGCTTGCGCATAATAATTACCTATTCTACCAAGGACACCAACAACAACCACAACCACAACAACAACAAGTTCATCATCTACAACGATTCGGCAACCAACAACAACCGCAACAATTCCAACGACAACAGCAACAAGGTCCTTTTGCCGACCCGAACCCAGCTGCTTTCTCCACTACTCTGGATAACTTGCCGACTGCCGCCGCCGCCTTCGCCGCCACGCAGCGCTATCACGACGGCCGGCCCGCCACCTCGAGCAACCAGAGTATAAACTCCATGTCCTCAAACTCGTGGATGTTGCCAGGCCAGCACACACCGAGACAGTCCCAGCAGTTTGGCCACCAGCGAGACTCTTCTTTGTCGTCGGTGGGCTCCAACCCCCCCACGTCACCGTTTAACGCCAATACTGCGAATCCTCAGATCGCCGTCAACGACACCATTGGGGATGGCTTGCACGAAATCACTGGTCCTGGAGACAACCACTACACCTTCGGTCTCACAAAGCCCATGGCCATACCCAACAGCTTTTACGCTGGCCCGATAGGTCCATTCAATAATGGCCACAGTGGCGGTGGGATGAACGGCCATAACGTAATGGGGGACATGACCACGTCTGACGGACTGCCTGCCCTGACTGGAGCACAACAGCAGAGGCAAGGGGGCTTGGCACCCGGCTCTGATATGCCGGCATCTGGTTTGCTCTCGAGATCCCGCCCTGTGTCGGTGGCGAGTTCGATAGGGGGTGACTCACCCGCGACACCGCCCATTCATGAACACGAGGACGAGCATAGGAGGCCCAAGAATGGTGAGGATCCCGATTCTCCGGTCCTATTCCCGCTCGACTCAGACTTAGACTACGTCTATGATTGCTTACATTTTCCTTTCGATCATTTAGCCTATGCCAACGGTATCAACACACCCAAACTGAATCGCACGATGACAGATGTGTATGGAGACGAACTCTACAGCCCCAACTTCACCATCACTTCAGCGTCTCCACCCCCGGAAACTCACATGGTCATGTCGCCGCCCAACGACTTGTTTTCACAGAGGATACAGGCTGCGAACAACCAACATTTCCTCGCAACTCAGTCTCCCGTCTCGAACGACTCAGGCGGTCAGTCCCCATTCACTCAAGGCTCACCGTATGCTTCCTCAGCGAACGAGTTTCCCAAAGTGGGCCCTAATCGAGTACGTTTGGACTCAGCCCAGCAAATTCGAGAAAGGAAGCAAGCCGAAGAAGCCGCAAAACAACTGCAGCGGCAGATGGCGCGACACTCTCAGCAAGGGCAGGATCAGCAACAGCACCAAGGCACGCCGGCTACAATCTCTCCGAAAGATGCAGTCTTGGAATTCAACGACCCAGGCGCAGAATCGAACTTTCCACTTTTCCCGTCACAGGAGACCAGCACGTACGGCATGGGACAGAGCGTTAGCAGCGGAGATATAAGTAGGGCGCCATCACAGCAGCAATCTGCGTCACCATTTCAGTCAATGTCTACGACGCCAGTGCAAAACAGCTTCGATTTCTCAATGCCGTCTAACATTCAGCTTCCACATCAGTATCCATTCATGGCTCGACAACAGACGCATCAGGTACCTCAGCAACAGCCACGCCATCAACCACTGACCCCATCTGCATCGACATATTCACGCATGAGTTCAGCAGAGGCAAGCAACACAGATGGTGGCAGCACCAGTGGCCCTGTACAGAGGCCGGATCGGACAGCTGCAGACGGCGGCACTTATACTTGCACTTACCATGGCTGCACGCTCCGGTTCGAAACGCCAGCGCTTCTTCAAAAGCACAAACGAGAAGGGCATCGGCAAGCTAACACACTAAACCACTTGCGAAACCCGGGCATGATTGGACAAGCGGCAAACAGCGTGACCAACAGCCAGGCAGGGCCTCACAAGTGCGAGAGAATCAACCCGAGCACGGGCAAGCCTTGCAATACAATCTTTTCGAGGCCCTACGATTTGACAAGACACGAGGATACGATACATAACGCAAAGAAACAAAAAATGCGATGCGATATCTGCACGGAAGAGAAGCTGTTCAGTCGTGCAGATGCACTTACGAGGCACTATCGCGTTTGTCACCCGGACGTTGAAGCTCCGGGTAAGCACCGGCGACGACAATTGATGGTGTAGATTGCCGAGGGATGGGATATCCATTGGTGCACCACGTGTCAATTCTACCGGCTTTACGCGCGAACGGGGATCTCCGTCGCGATACCACTGCGTTGGCTTGTGATACTACGATCGTCGTCACATCACGTTGCGCTTCGGCGGCCTCACTACGCCACGCCATGCCACGCCATGCCACGCCCGTATAAGACGACTCCACATCTTGCTATTCTCAGGCGGGCATTCGTGGTGTTGCGTCGATGGTGGTAGAAGATTCCAAGGCGTGCGATGCACGGACAGTCGGACTAGCGACTGGATGAGGGAATTCCCAATGGGAAAATCAGGGTCCAGCATCGATAGCTTCATGCAGGGACCTGTGGGGGCGTTCCCTGTCTGGCGTCTGTTTGGAGGGGAGCTCTGGAGAGGGGCTCGAGGGGTCGCTGTCGTCGTCGTGGTCCCGCAGCACCCCTAAAACCAGGAACAGCACTAAGCCGCTCTCAGACGAGTGCCGAGGCTCGCTCTCCGGTTTTTGCGCCCGGCCAGGCCTCCCCATTGGCCCAGCCGCCAATCGATGGCATGCCTATGACGTTGGCGCTCCCTCCCATGTGCATCATCCCGAGTCACCACCTACGTCATGCTGCGCATGCCCCCTTCCCTCGCCTGCCCAGCTTGACGCCATACGATGTATGTCCATGAGTCCATGACATCCCACAGTCTCGTCACAACCGAACCCTCTTGATCTCTTCGGTCCCCTTCGTCTGGGCGAAAGCCAGCGAAACACCCTAGTTCTCGCTGGCTAATCTCCCATTGTCTTTCAGTAGACGAGCCTTGGTCACTGCTATGGCGCCGCCCTTGGTCGCAACCATGTCCCGCTTCTTGTCCCTCCATGACAATCTACCCTGAGATGGAGGGGTGTCGTTGCAGCATCATGCCATTTTGGCGTTCGCAAATCAGGATTCCTTGCATATATCCTTTTGTTTCCTTATTATTTTTCTTTTTTAATCTAATTGTCTACGTCATTGTTCGTGGATGTGGTATTGGTGTCCAACCCAACTCGGGAATAGACGCTTTCGCTTCTTTCGCATTGGCATACATTTTCTTTCTCCATCTTAGTGTAATTTTACCATTACATGTATTTCTTACCAATTGTACCTTGTCACGCCAGATTTCCACTGATGGGACCATGTAACGGTGTTGTTTTGACTTTCTTGTTTGACACATTATCATCACGAGGCGCATCAATCCCTGGACAGAAACGTTTTTATCCGAATTTTACGACATGCCATATAAAATATTAGACGATGGGACGAATTTCTTTTTTTATCTAATCCTTTTGTTTTTTTAAGCGAGAAAGACAAACGGAGTGAAGAAAGAAAAATTCTGTACGATAAAAGGCTATACCCAACCAAACAACCATAGACGGGCAGGGCCCAATTGCAACAAGATCAAAAAAGGGCTGTGGATTTCACTGCTTTATGGGTGTACGATAAAATTACTTGGCATGAAACGAGTCGACAGTCGATTGGCTTTTTTGCGCTTTAGACGAATTTTTGTTGGATTGGTTGGGAGGAAGATTGTTTGGGAGCCCATCTTAGCTTAGCTAGATGAGCAAGGATGTGGTGAGAAGGTGGGAGGTGGAAGTATTAGAAGAATGCAATATGACATAATCAGTCAGAAATAAAAAATACGAAATTTACATGAATTTAGCTGAATATCTCTTCTCTATTCTATCTCCCTTGATTAACTCTTGGTGCAATGTCATGTCGTGTTTTTTTTTGTTTTTTTTTTCCTGGTCGGCGCATTGGCGAATCAGGAGATGAATGGATGTTGAGCGATTGGCTCCGTATTGTATTGCTAGGACAAGTAAGGAAGTAAGGAAGTATCTCAGGTACATGGAGTGGGTGGGTAGGTATGCAGGCATGTATGCATCATTGGCTTGGATCTATTACGTCGTGTAAATTTTTAATACAAGTATGTTTCGTTTTTCGTAAGGGACTAAGGAGTAGGGAGAAAGGCTCCCGTGGGGATTTCAGAAGGGGGTTTTCCGGGGGTAATGAGATAATTATTTCTTTATTTAGTTACTTGAAGTATCTACTTGCTTGCTTAGGGCAGCTACTAGATCTGTGAATTAAGTCATTATTGATATACTATACTATACTATACTATACCATACCAAGTAAATGTAGATTGCACACGTTTGGCTTCTGGGATTGGGATTGATGTATGTGAACTATTCGATTAGGTAGGAAGGTAAGTAAGTACGTAGGTAGGTCATGTGCGTGGTATGATGCCACGGTGGGACGGGACGTTGATACCACCCTGTCCTGTCCTGTCCGCCTCTCCCATCTCGCCGGGTGTCAGTCATACCTAGCCTAGTGTAAGTACCTTACTCATCCCTCCATCCCCAAATGTGTAGAATTAGCGTTTTTTTCATTCATGATACTTCTAATCCTTTGCAAAATAGTCTTATTGTTCGGTTTTCATTTGTTCAAATACTAGGTATATGTGTCAATTGAAATCGACTTAAAAGCCGAACTGATATCATCTTACTAACCCGGTAAGGCCACGAAGTCTCGCGAAGTAAGGAATAACTTATGTATGGAAGAGTCATGTATCTGTAAGAGGCCCTCGTGATATCGACGAGATGTAGATCCCTCGCAGTGTGCGCATCCCATGGAATGACGTAGTCTTGGCGTGGACGTAATGTGGTGAGGAAGGCCGGTAAGTCAACTTGGATTGTGTAGGAAGAGCGAGTACGTAGAGTGGCTCTAGATGGATGTACGGTGCATAGATAAATCAGTGTGGGTTTGGTACAAATCGAGGTACGCTTTCGTGGTGTGCGTATCTACATATCTACGGTGGGGGGTAAGGTGAGAGAGTCTGGACCTAGGAATTGGCCTGGGATACGTACATACAAAGGCTAAGGATAGAGAGATCGAGCAGGAATATGGAACGGCAGGTTCAGTATAGTCCTCGTGATGCTTCCAGGCGACGGCATATAGGATTTCACGAAATGCGTATGTTTCGAGTGCCACGTTCATAAGTGTCCGTTATTGTAACACTTGGCCGATTAGATACAACTTGGAAGGTGAACATAGTCAAGGGCTTGAAATACTTGGGTTGACACATACCATAATATGGACTACTTCAAACATACAAATGATAGATAAGTTTCTTTAGATTCTTTATTTACTTATTTATTTTATCTTCCGACGGGGCCTGTTCAACTTTTTTCTTTCCCTTTCTAGATCTTCCAACGCGTAATTCCAAGTTGCCATAATTAGATATTGTTGAATTATCGATTTATACCGGTAAGGGAGTACCGAGAGAGAGGGAAGAGGAGTATTTACTCGCCCAGTACTGCTGCTCGCGCATCTGAGAAGAGAGGTGTGATGCCTGTCCAGAGTTGGAACTATAGAGCAAATTATCAGTAAAACAGGTTTTAAGATTGAAAGTCTGGTTCAAAGAAAGATAAGCACATACCTGGTAATATCCCTGAGACGTAAGCACCTCGAGACCTGGGATCGTGATCCAGCCTGAATCCTCTGCAAGTCCCATGAGCGGAGTGTGTCGGGGCTTGTACGCCATCTCGAGGAAGATGCGACTTCGCCCTGTTTGCCGTGGTTGCCTCAACACTGACACCAACAGCTCTCGCATTGACGTGTCAACGGGTCGGTCGGCCGGCACTGTGCTGATGATGACGCTTGGCAGTTGGCGGACATGGCTGGCGTCTTCTACGTGCACGAGGTTGTAATCCTGCGGGAACGAGGAGATGATCTCCTCAACCGTGCTCTTGTTTCGCGCCACGAGATAGATGGGGCTGAAGCCTAGCGAGTGTTGCGCGTAAATAGCCGCTCGCGTGGTGCCACCAGATCCTACTACCATACCGCTAAAGGTTTTGTCTTCTGAGTTAGCTGGCAACATGAGTCCGGCAGCACGCAGGGAGTAGGCCATGCCCGTCCAGTCGGTATTTTCACCAACAAGGCGAACGTTGCCCTCTTCAGACCGTATCGGTATAATGGTGTTGACGGCGCCAATCGTTTTGGCACTATCCGAAATCTCATCTACTAGAGGCATGATATCGAGTTTGAGTGGTATCGTGACCGATGCGCCACCAAAATCGGGTGACCGGATTAGATCCCGCACATCGTTTGCAACATCGGTCTCAAAGAGAGAGTATTCATGTGGCAAACCCGCTTGTTGGAAAAGAGCGTTATGCAAGGCCGGTGACCGTGATAACGAGATTGGCTTACCGAATAGGTAGAATCTCTTCTTCTCTAGTTCTCCGACCAATGTTAGACCACGGCGAATCTCGGCCGCTGAGAGCTGCCCAGGCGCTGCCTTAAAGGGGAGGTCGGGATGTGAAACTGGTGTAAGGAAGCTGTTCAGTATGCGGGACAGTTGGCCCACGGTGCCCATGTTGAGAGCGATGATGGGCTTCCCATGTGCTGCGAACATCCTGTTCCTGAAGTTGGCAAGGGCGAAGTTGTCGTCCATCTTCTTTGCTACGCCGACGAGCTTGATTACGTCGCCGTATTCGAGCGCTCTATTATACCATGCTTGCCAGCCGCCATTCTTCCAGGAGAGCTTACCCTCCGGATCGTGATGGGAGGCAATAACACGTGTAGACCCTCCGCGCAACTCCAATATTGACCTTATTGTAGCATCAGAGAGACCCATCTCCAGATCAACGTACTCGACGCCAATACGCATAGCCGTCCTGTACAGAGGAAGTATCTCCTCCTCGGAATCATAAGTGAACCGGCCGCCCTGGGATTTAGATCTGACAGTGAAGACGATGGGCAATTTTGTTGCCGAGCGGAGAAGTGAGATTTGGTTGCCCACCGATTCCAGTGATAGATCATCGAGTAGATCGACACGGAGTTCAACCGCATCAGAGCCAACGCAAGCTCTTGGAATTATGTCGAGCCCGGAAGACACATTAGGCATCGTTAACGAGACGAAGAAGGACGGCTTCTTCTTCTGGACATCGTCGAAGTGAGTACTCTTCCCACCGATGATCGAGGCAAATTGCACCAAGTCGGCGGGTGGCTCAAGGAGACCGCCGGATGGATCTAGATAGGGGCTATGGTACTCATAGTTGCTACACGCCTGAAAAAATGGTTTGCGCCTTTCGTATACGCCACGAATCTCCTCCGTGTATGCCGGACGAGTTTTATCCCGCATGAGATATTCTACCATCTGTTCAAGATCACGATGGACGAGGAGGACTATACCACCGTTGCGATGATGAGAGATGAGCAACTCCCTCGCCTCTGGAGTTTCAACAATACCGCCACCGCACGAAAATACGTGCCCTCGGCCTTGCTTCTTCATGACATCTGCTAGAAGCGCAACTTCATCTTGCCGGAAGCCTTCCCACCCTCGTCCGCTCTCACGGATCATTTGCGGTATCGTCATCCCGGCTCGTCTCTCGAGCTCTCCGTCAAGGTCGATGAACGGTCTTCCTAGAATCTTTGCCATCCAACCACCCGTAGTAGTCTTGCCTGCGCCACGCATACCGATGATAAAGACGGAGGGTCCTATATCATCGGCTTTGGAGGCTTTGGTATCATGGGCCTCAGTATCGTCGCCAGCTAGTTCTACCTTGAATGACTGCGCTAATACGTCCCACCAACCTGGCCACGTCTTGGCAGTGCATTCACGCTCAAGCACAACCACAGGGTGTGGCGACAGCACAGATAGCACACTGAAGCTCATGGCAACGCGGTGATCATCGTAACAGTAAATGCCTCCCTTGGGCTCAGTCAAGTCTTGATACTTTCTCCCCGAGACGATGATACCATCTTCAAGCTCCTCACATTGGACGCCGAATTTTGCCAGCTGTATTCTCATGGCAGCAATGCGGTTGCATTCCTTGACGCGCTGGTTGGCAATGCCGGTAATAGTAGTCTTGCCCGATGCCACGGCAGCGAGCACCGATGCTGTGAGGAAGGCGTCCGTCATGGGCTCCATATCAACCTCGATACCCGTCAGTAAACCCGGAGCAGGGCCAGTTACTGTGGTCGAGGTGGCTGTCTGCTCGACGGTGCATCCCATGGGCCGCAGAACATCAACTGCAAAACGAGCATCACCCTGTAGAGAGCTGGTGCCGATGTTGGGGACCGTACACGTAGTTCCAGTTATGGCAGCGATGGCTAGAGGGTATGTTGCTGAGCTAGCATCACTTTCAACAACGTACTCAGCCGGGTTTTTGTAAACACCTTGCGGAATATGGTATGTATGCGGTTCGTTCTCGGACTTGGTCACAGCAATGCCAAATTGTTGCATCATGGCAATCGTCATGTCGATGTACAGTTGAGAGATGGGTTTCCCACCAACGAGGCGGAGCGTCACGGGTTCTTTGGCGTAAGGAGCACACATCAGCAAAGACGAAACATACTGCGATGATATTGTCGCAGCCAGCTCTATAACACCACCACCTAAACCACTAGAAGCGCCGACCTGGACAGGCAGACTGCCAGTCTTTTCCAAGTACTCGACATTGAGACCATTGGATCGGAGGGCATCTACGAGAGGCCCGATAGGTCTAACCTTCATACGCGCATTGCCGGTTAAAACAGTTGAGTTGGTATTGGAGGGGTTGCAGAGAGCCACAACACTTGTTAGAAATCGAGATGCTGTACCAGCATTTCCAAGATAGAGCGGCTCCCCGCTCGCCTGAAGCTTACCACCCTTTCCGGTGACAACCAAAACTTCTCCGGCATCCTCCCATGAGTACGTGGCACCGTTTAATTGGGCAATGGCCGACAGCATGTACTGTGTGTCATCAGAATGGAGGAGGTTTTTGACTCGACAAGTACCTTCTCCTAGTGCAGCCATGACGAGAGCACGATTCGAGATACTCTTGGAACCAGGAGGCGTTACTTGTACGTTCAGGTCCCGGGGAATACCAGGCGTGACACGAACAGCTGGTGATAGCGCTACGCGGATGGCACTATCTTCAACTACGCTGGCTTTGGGCTCGTAGGTCTTGCCAATAGCAGAAAGAAGCACAATTTTCTTTTTTCTTCCATCGTTTTTCTTGTCGACGGCCATCTTATCCAGGAGGACATCAACGGGACAGGGTTTTCCCGCCGTCATTTTAACTATACGTTTGTCTTGGAGCGAAGTGGGCAAATCGAAGCTCGCGATGCATTTGGTCAAGCGGGCAACGGCACCAGGCTTCAAAACACCGAGAAAACGAGCCAGCTCAGCTTCCCTGACCATACCAATAGCCACACACTCGCCGTGAAGCACTTGTGGCGTAAGGATGGCCTCAATGGCATGACCGATGGAGTGGCCGAAGTTAAGCAAGTTTCGTAGGCCACCCTCCTTCTCATCCTTAGAGACAACCTCAGCTTTAACGCGAGCAGAGCCTAATACGATGCGTTTGAGAGTAGAGCGGATAGGCCGTAGACGAGCGCCAGGGTCGTCGGGGGTACTGGGGGCTCGGAAGGATTCCAGGATATTAGCAGCATTTTCCTCTAGGAAAACGAATTCTTGCTCATCCCATATGGCAGCCGTCTTAACGACCTCGGCCATGCCGTTGATGAACTCGCGCACGGGCAGAGACTCGAGGAAGGCGAGGTCAATGTAGATGCGGCGGGGTTGCCAGAAGGAGCCGATGAGATTCTTGCCCATGGGTGTATCGATGGCTGTCTTGCCGCCGATGGACGAGTCGACCATGGACAACAGGGTTGTGGGCACTTGGACGAAGCGCACACCGCGCATGAAGGTAGCGGCGACATAGCCGATCATGTCGCCAATGACACCGCCACCGAGGGCGATAATGACGGTATCGCGAGTGCATTGCTGGGAAAGCATCCAGTCCTCAATCTCGGCCTTGGTCTCACGGCCCTTGGAAGTCTCGCCTGGCGGGATGGTGTAGGTGAGCAGGCGGGACTGGACATTGCGCCGGGCGACGGCGTCGCGGAACTGGGATTCGAAGGACGGCACATAGAGGGGGTTGATATTCGAGTCGGTGATCAGAACGTAGGTGGAGGAGGAGAGGTTGTCGAGAAGGTCATCGGTTACGAAGGTGCGCCAAAGGCCATGGTCGACGATAATGTCGTCGCTACCGAGAATGCTCACTCGGGTGGGGCCGGACGAGCCATTGACCTCGTGTGCCATGATGCCTAGAGTGTCTAACGACTCTTGAATGGACAACCAGAGGCGTATAGGCGCGTGTGTGTAGGCGCGTAATTGGAGGCACCACGGCGTGTATAGGTTGATACGTCACCCACCGACGTGAAAGTGAGTATATGGTTGTGCAGGTACTAGCGTAGTGGATGTTTCGTTCTATAGTGGCATCCTGGAAGAAGCACGACAGTCCCGACTCGTTTTAGCGGTGCAATGCCTCGCTAGAGCTGCTCGCTATTCCTACAAGCAGAACGAGCCGATGGGGGTATGTGAGGATGTGTCACTCAACATCTTTTGCGCCGTGTGAATTTTGCCTGGTGTTGCGATTTCGGAGTGGTGAGCTAGCCTGGCGAGCTGGGTCCATTGGCCAATCACTTGGCGCTTTACAGTGAGGCATTGTACCTATTTAGCTGCCCCCGATCAGTCCTGGTACTACCTCATACTTTCAGAATGTAGATTAGGTACTTACATACTTAGTATCAATTGAACAGTGAATGAAATGAATGAATGAATGAAGAATACATACTACCTCGTATACACATACTTAGTACCTAGGTAGGATAATTGGTAGGATACTTTGGTAGGATCCTTGGTAGGTAGGGAAGAATCAGCAGATGAGGTCGTTGCTGCTAAAATTAGGTTGGTGGTACCTTCCCCTTCCCCTACACAGCATGCCGATAGTTGCTTCCAGCTGAACCAGACAGATAATATGTACCTAACCTCCCATCGACGGGCCATCGACAGGGCCATCGACAGGGCCATCGACAGGGCCATCGACAGGGCCATCGACAGGGCCATCGACAGGGCCATCGACAGGGCCATCGACAGGGCCATCGTACGCTGGATACAATTCCAACTCTGTTCAGTAACTCATAGCTCGCTCATAGCTTATATGTACTACTACTATTGATATACAAGGGAACCCCAATCTACTTAATCGCCTTGATACGTCTTACTCGACGATTTGCTGGCTGACGTTCGCCTAGAGACGCAAGACGCGCTCCGTATCATACTACCTATCCCATTTGCTTGATCTCCGTCCGAGCGCCTCTGAAATGATAGATCACAACAGCACGCCGCCGCTAGATCCATCGGCCTGCCCGGGGTTCACGCTGCCATAGGATGACTGGCGCCGCGGCACTAACGTACAAGTCCGGAACCAGGACACCTTGGGTGCTGCTATTGAGATGGGACGAACTCTCGCTTATCCACCCGAGCTGTCGGTTAGTTGTAATCAGAGAGATGCTGTTTTGTGCTTTGCCAGCGATCAAAGACCCGGTAGTGGCTATACTGTTGGTCCTCTCAGCCAAGAGGAAGTCATATGTTATCGAAGCTCTCTCTCCTTGTCATTACATAACTGGCTTTACACCCGGCACGTTGTCTGTATACGCTCCTCAATGAGCACCGGGCACAAGCTTCTTGTTCCTGCAACGCCTCCTTGGCAATTACCCGTGGTGAGCGTCATTAGCATAGTCGCAATCGATAAACCCGATCTCGTAACAGATGATTCGGGTTTAACAGTTTTCAAAGGAAAACCTTCATTGTTTGGTGACCCAATTCAAGATGCGTCTGGCATTCCGTACCGCCGCTAATAATAAGCACGAGCTACTGGTTCCAGGTGCGCTAGGATGCGGTGGCTGCCAGAATCCACCTCATCTAATAGTTCGATACTGGATTTCAGTACTTGACGAGCCAGAATTCCAAGGATGGTGGAGAGAGATTGTAAGTTGGTCCAAAGTTTCTGCGCTGGAACAATAAGGATATATCAACAGGATGTTGGCGACTGTCGAGCATAAATCCTTATCACCATTCACCTGTCCTAACTCCCACCGTTCATATCGGAAATCTTGTTAGCGTTGGTGAATTGAGGCCTCACTAACATTCAATGCGGATAGTGGTTTGCCATCATAGACCAAGGAAGCGAAAACAACTTTAATATCTTCTACGACTATCTCGATGAATATTATATCGGAGCTCATGATTGATATCGAAGTTGTGAGAAACTAGACTAGAGATCACCCAATGCAACACTGTAAGTTCTACCCATGCATATCTGTTGGCTCTAAGAAGTTCAGAAGGATAGAACCCTACCTAACAGGATCAACTTCCCCGCTATTTCTATGCGCTATCCATGAACGAATCTGTCAAAGACTAAGAAGAGCGTCTCCGCATTTGTCGTATGTACGAGCGGCGCTTTCAATTTGCGATGTAGTCGACATCGCCTTCTTGTGGCAAAGCGAGGCAAAACCGATGTGCTCAGGAAATAGTTCCGGCTACAGTCAGACCCTTCTGATAAAAGTCGTTTGGAACTAGCTAATGGATCCAGTTGTCATGAAAGGACCCCTGTCAAGCATCGGGTCAATTGAGGGGCTCAAGGTTGCGCTTAATAAGTTGCCGTGGCCCAGAAAAAAAGGTTGGGTATGATGTGTTGGTCATAATGCTACACTAGGCTAACCAACTCTCGCCTAGAAACCCAAATCCGTCGTCGGAATTAGGACGTATGAGCAAGGACTATGATTAATTCGGTGATAGCTCGCTGTAACTATGCGGAAACCGAGGCGACAATTACTAACGCTCCGCGTCTTTTCGTGCTTGTATAATAATCATTCCTAGATTCTATAGAGAGTAGCTTTTTGAACGCAACACTAATAGCTATTGCTTCCAACTTCAAGTTTTTGAAACTAAGATACAAGAGCCCATATCATCCTCACACCTCTTCGGTCGTTCCTACCCTGAGCACACGAATTACAGACGTGAGGTAGCTGGATGCTAGCTGCCAATGACGCATATGGAGGACACAAGATCAGACCTCAAACATGAGGGTGATCAAGCGGCGATGTCGGCTAGTAGAGAGGACGTGGAATCTCACTCGGACGAAACGATTGAGCTTGGCCCAACTCGCTCCCAGAACGGTCACGGCTGCGCAGACATCTCAGACAAGGATGATGAGGGGGATCCCTTCGAGGTTTCATTCGATAGTGATGAAGATCCCCTGTGCCCGCGTAGCAGTAGGTCACAACATACGGTGCTCCTAGTCTATATCGTTTCAACATGTCGTTTTCTAATTCGCACTCTCTTAGTGAATATTGCTCGCAAGTGGTTGCTTGTCTGCATAGTAGGATTAGGTAGCCTCTGTGTGTGAGTCTTCATTCAACCTTTTTCATCCCCCCGTGCAGAACTTGAAGCGCTGATTTCGATTCAGAACGGCTACGAGTTCGATATATACGGCGACCTATGCCCAGATGAATCCCGAGTTCCACCAATCCGAGATCGTGGCTACCTTGGGACTTTCAACATTTGTTCTTGGCAGTAAGTTATAACTATTTCGTTATGCTACGTTACTTTGAAGACTTTTGCACTGACTAAAGTCGTTGTCAGTTGCCCTCGGGCCCCTTTTTTTAGGCCCCCTGAGCGAGTTTTACGGACGGAGGCCGATTTATCTGGCGTCGTGGACGATGTTCGTTATCTGGCTCATCCCGTCTGCTGTGGCGCACAACACTGCTACTATAGTGACGGTACGTCTCCCACCTTATTCGGGTGTCCTTGATGTGATGTAATGAGGGAGTGGTCTCTATATGAGACTATAGTTATACATGCTCGTGTGAGCGGTACTGTAATGTTCATTAGCTGACTGACGGTAGACGCGCTTCATCGACGGATTCACTGGAAGTGCATTCCTAAGTGTTGCCGGCGGCACGGTTAGCGATGTATTTCGAAGGGATCAAATTCAGGGGCCAATGACGATTATATCACTTAGCCCCTTCATTGGTAAGGCTTGAATGTGGTATGGATCTGGAAGCGCGGCGAAACTAACTATCTTTGTGTTCAAGGCCCAAGTCTCGGACCTCTAGTAGGCGGATTCAGTAAGAAATCATCATTCTACTCCCAGAGATCTTCAAGTCACTGTAACTAACCTGAACATAATAGTCAACTACTACACGAACTGGCGGTGGACATACTATGTAAGTTCAAGTAACCTACATTTGGCCGAGTCTCGTTTCTCTATGTCCAAGCTTTTGGACTAACGTGAAATTTTTACTAGGTTCTCATCATCTGGGCCGCTGCCCTCCTGGTGCTGATGGTCTTTTGTGCACCAGAGACTTATCGTCAGTAATATCGTTATTTTGTACGCAAATGCAGGCATGTTAATGAAGATGATAGACCCGATTAAATTGCGTGAGAAGGCTCGTCTCATGAGGAAAGAGACTGGAGATGAAAGGTGGAAAGCACCCAGTAAGTAAATACGCGCCTTCATGTAATCCGGAGCTCCTGATATTTTCCTTCCTTCGCGTTTCCGAGTCTTCCAGGTAAAGATCATTGCTAACTGATTGCTCGCGACGGTTACAGTGGAGAAATCTACGAAGTCGATTCCACGCACAGTCGGCCTCTCACTCCTGCGGCCCTTCCAGCTGCTATTGCTCGAGCCCATGTGCCTCCTGCTATCATTGCTCTCGGCTGTCTTGTTAGGAGTAATCTACCTCTTCTTCGGGGCGTTCCCGTTGGTTTTCGGCAATACATATGGATTCAATCTCTGGCAGGTTGGCCTCAGTTTCCTGGGAATCTTCGTGGGCATGCTAGTAGGTGCTGCGACCAACCCGATCTGGCGGAGCATCCATCGTCGGCTTGTGCGTAAAAACCACGGTGTTCCTGAGCCTGAATTCCATCTGGCGTCTTCTATTCTGGGTGCCGTGATCGTGCCTATTGGGCTCTTCTGGTTTGCGTGGACCTCGTTATCACATTGGATCTTGCCGATTATTGGGTCTGGCATCTTTGGCTGTGGAACGCTCCTGGTGTTCAACGGCATTTTCACTTTTCTCGGTAGGTTGTTACCTTGATACGGGCGTGGCGTTTGGGGTTCATCCAACCAAATTTACGACTAATTACGATGACAGTGGGCACGTATCCGTTGTATGCCGCATCGGCTCTCGCGGCCAACAGTTTTCTTCGCTGTACTTTTGCGGGTAAGTGGACTAGTATAAAACTCTCCAGAGTTCTTCTCGTTTCCCGCGTGTGATTGAGCATGATAGCTGACATGGCTCTTTAGCTGCGTTTCCTCTGTTCGGGAGGCAGCTGTATGAGGCGGCGGGCTACCAGTGGGCGTCAAGCGTGCTTGCTTTCATAACGTTGGCTCTCATGCCGTTACCTTACGTGTTCTTTCATTTCGGAAAAAGACTACGAGACAGGAGTAGGTTTACGGCGACTAGCGTTTAGAGATAGACGCTGACAGACACTACCTGCTGTATGCGATCCCAATAATGATCGAGCGGAATCTTGTATGGACGGGATAGCATTGTGGGGAACTCTTCAGCTACTTACTTAGCTGGTCTTCCATCACTCATCCAATATAGCATCATTCCAAACAAGACGTGAAACGTTAGAGCGACCGGCCAAATATGGTGAATTGGGGCCGAGTATTCATGATGCCGCAATTCAACTGCTCATATGTGTATCTGCGCCTTGGTTTAGGCCCAGTATGGCGACTGTCACCATGCCAGGTCAAGCCAGGCCAGGCCAGGTTTCGATCATACACGTACATATTGCGTACTGTATGCATTCTTTGGTAACACACGGCAGTATGTCGTTTGCACAGCTTCGCTTCGGAAGGGGCACATAGCCGAGTCCGTGAACATATACCTACGTATACGTACCGTACTCTAGTAGGTAGGTAGGTATGTCAGTTACTATCTAAGTACTGCGTGGCCAAGATGAAAGGCTTAACTACTGGCCCATGCGAAGCGCCAAGCGCCGTCTCCCCAGTCGAAACCCAGAAGTGCAGTCCGCCAAGCGTCTAGCCAGGGGTTCTACCAGGCTCCCGATACAAGACCAGTTTCACATCTACAACGCCCCCTCAACCGCACTTGGAGATCGACGGGGCCGAGTACGCTCCTGTAAACATACGCGATATCATTTGCTATGGATGGTATTTCTTCCCCGGCCATGGCTTGCTCTGTCTTGCCCTCGCTCTCCACGAGTCCACGAGTCCACGAGTGCTGGCCTGCCTCGCTTCTCTTGTAACCATGTTTCGTAACCATGTATCTACGGAGGTAGCAGTACCGTATGCAGCCCATTTTGGCCCTGCGCTAGATAAAACGCGACAGCATAATGAGACCAGACTCGCGAACGACGTGATATATGCTACCAGATTCGGTCCAGCCCCTATGTCTTCCGTTTCTGGTTGGCGCCCTCTGAGCTAGATGTTTAAGTATACCCAGGCCCCATCCACGCATGACCATGCAGCTGTAGATCATACGCAACTTTCTTTCGTTTCTTTCTTGTCTCTATATATTCTTTCCAGCGAGGTGTTTCGATCTTCCAGGTGCCCAGCTCACCTTCAGCCGCTCCTTCGAATCCTTAGTCTGCTTCTTCGTTCGCCCTCTTATTCATTTCTTCCTCGGCTGGCCGAATTGCCGTGTCTTAGACAACCCAGTTTCTCACCTCATTCTACATTCTCTTTACGACGACAGCGTGTGAAACCCGTTATCCGTAATCATGCTCGCTTCCATCCTTCTCTTCTCCCTCTCCGTCTTCACGGGAGCTGTGTCGGCGAGTGCTATCCCTCAGCATCAGCAGCACGGATTGGAGAAGAGGCAGAACACAAATACAATTCCGACATTCAGCTATGGCCCCTCCAGCACTGTCTACCTAGGCGGCGGGGGGGCTTCTACGGGCGTCTCAAATACCTCCCAAGAAGCAACAGTGACTGCTACTGCTACAGCTACTGGTACTGATGCTGGTAGTGCCACTGCCACTGCCACCGCTACTAGTACTGCGGTGGAGTCTGGGGATGCGACAACGACCACCGCGGCGAATACTGCATCAGCAACGGGGACCATTCCCACATACAGCTTCGGGCCATCCACGACGATTCAAGTTGGCCCAGGCGCAACGGACGAGCCTGCGACCGGCAACGGGGATGGCAAAGGGAATGGCGCTGGTGATGGCAAGGGCAACGGTAATGGGCGCGGAAATGGCCGTGGTGGCCGATTTGGAAACGGGAATGGAAATCAACGGGGCAACGGCACCGTCCCTGACAACGGCGCCGGCAATGGCGCTGGCAACGGAGCAGATCAGAAACCGGGGAATGACGATAAAACCAACCTCGACAAGCTAACCAGTTTGTTACAAGGTCTGTTAGACTTATTGCAAAACTAGACGCTAGACGCCCTCATTCATCTTTCGTTGTGGTGGTTATCTCCTTGGCTGGCTGCGGCGTTATCTGCGAACACAAACATACATACATGTGTCGGAGACGCGGCGCAAAGAACTGTTTATAGAGACACTTCCAGCCTTGCGCATTGTATATTGTGTTCGTTCTTATACCTGTTGTATACTGAATTGCGAAGGGCGGTATGGTGCTGTGTTGTTGCTTGATTAGCTATATAGTTGGAGCCACAGAACCTGGGAATGAGATAATTGGTTCTGGCAACCTTGTATTGTCAGCTCGGTAGTTGAATTAGTTGAAGAAAGGTATCTATGGCCGTAATTTAACTACATAGTACTGAAACACTCTTAAAGCACCTCTATAGATGACATCTATACAGGCTGTTTGTACCCTGTACCCAGAGACAGTTTCTTGATATAGCAAGTTCTTGGTCTCCAACTGCGGCCTGTGATTCTGTATCCAGGGTAATACTACGGCAGTATTGGGAAGTGAGTATAGTTTTCTCTTCATTTACTAAAGCACGAACACATCAAATGCTATGAGGTGGAAGCAAGCATCTAGGGTACCCGTATTCTTAGCGCTTCCTAACTTGCAATGTAGTTCGAGCTGAAAAGAGATAGGAGTCACCATCCAATCGCAGCTCTCATGACCTTGGCGGTGGCTGGAGCAGCAAGCCCCCGCATCATTTCAGCTCAACAACCCCTCAACCGTGAGGCGAAGTGAAACATCTTGCCTTGAAGCGGCTCTGGAGCTTCATATCTCGCGAATATGCCTGACAACAACAGCGTCGCCTTACAAGCGGATGTAGTGAACCTCGCCTCCATAACGCACTTAATCACAGGGAGGATATTGAAAGCCTTGAGCGATGGTGGCGTCGATATATATGCAGTCGCAGCCTCGATATGGCTCGGGAAACAGTTCAAAGTTAAAAGGGCACTGGAAAGCACTGTTCATTCTCACCTAGCGTCACGTAAGGGCATCAATGGATTTCTTGCGAAAGCCTTGCACATCGGTTGGGGACATTCCGAGGTTGCAGTTGAGATGTCGCGAACGCGGGCCGGCACGAATGCGCTGCTCCTTATTGGCGCCCTCTCGGTCGGTACGCCGTACTTCGAGGCTGCGCGTTGTCTGTCGGAGCTGCTAGCTATCTCTGGGTGTGAGCCTGATCGTCTACCCAATGTCGATGTGCTGAAACCCATGATTGCGTACCTTGGTCCTTTTATGGCGGATATAGGATTTGCAAAAGTGCTGCAACATATCACGACTACTGCCGAACATGCCTCTATTCGTTCACGGTCTCATAGTCCGAAAGGCCTTCAAGCAATAGGAGATGCTCCCGTTCTCGCGGGTGCAATAAAGCAGCTGATCGTCACCTCGGAACGTAAGGAGAGCATATATATGGTTGCGCAACAAAGAGGAGCTTGGCTTGCCGCTTTCGCGAGCCATATACTCGGCATGTCAGTTGAATTGATATATGACGAAGATGTTCTTTGGGCGAGTGGTGGAGATGGTGGTCACGTCGTGCTCCAACTCGCGAGTACATATACCGGCGGGACCATCCAGCGTAGTTCTGACACACACATTCAGATTATCAGCCCGCCCTCGTCCGGCGATGCCACTAAACACTTATCAATCGATTACGCGCTGTCAGACGCCCTCGAAGCGGAGTTGGGCCGCTACCCAAAGCTCACACCAGATATGATTGCAGGTGTGCATAGAGCCATATGCCACATGACTCATGCGATTCTAAAGACCTTGCGAATGAAGTCCTCTTCAGCCTATGAAACTACTCATCAAATCAATGGTCCGTTTGAAAAACATGACATTGTCTTGGAGACATTCGCTCAGTTCAAGATCCAGCCCCCCACCCGTACGTTAGGACTAGAGCCGAACCAGGAGGGATGGGCTGGCTCAGCAATCGAACAGAACGGGCTGAGATTCTTAGAGTACTCGGACGCAAAGAAGTTTCGAGAAATGTGCCACATCCACAAGCTCGGTGCTGCTCTCGGGAGATGCACCTGCTGCCACATCGGAGCTCTCATCCACGGCTTCGCCTCGAGCATCGCAGCGCTTGTGCAGTGCCGCTACGAGCCTGACCAAATCCGTGTTCAAGTTGATATTATCAGGGGGGCTGCCTCGACCTCTTGGAGCCGGGGCTGTATTGGCGAAATACTAACTATAAATAGCCGACAGCTCTTGTCGCATATATTGCAGCTCGTGGGTGGGGATGACGCAGACGTGGTCCAGGAGAACAGCATTCTACAGCTGACTCCTCGATTCGAGATACTTGGGTTGTCTGGAGGTGCCTACACTATCTTTTATGCCTGCATCTTGCAAGAAGACTGCTATGACGATTCTGGACGCATCTTGATGCTGTCTCCTGGGCGCGTGAGTGTGAATGGGACCATGCGAGGTCTCATAACAGAGCGCGTGCCCAAATGGGACAGTGATCAGCCAACAGCGTGGCCAGCGCCATACGACCGTGACGTCCGGGAACGCAGTGACGACAAGTTTTCCGTCCTTGCAGCTGGCTCTTACATCGAGTCCCACTATGCGCCGAGTCGGTATCATGTAGTTATGCACGCCTTCCTCGCGGAACACGACATATTCATTCATACCTCAATTACCTTGGACGCCTCCCATACATATCTAGCCCTCATCTCTAGGGCCGTCCACAATTTGCTGACAATAGTACATGTACCTCGAGCATGTCATCATCCCATAGGAAAACCTTACCAAGTGTTAGAGAGCGTTGACCTTGTCGTTTCCCCCTTCGCTGTTATCAGACAGGATTTTGACTCTACCATGTTGATGACTATCAAGGATAACAAGTTCGAACAACTCATGCAGATCGGTACAGCTGGGCCGTACGTACTGCAAATATACAGCTGCCTTGAATGCGCAGTCAAGTACGCAATTAATTCAGGAATTCGAGAAGTAGGTTTTAGTCGTTGGAGAATAATAAGTAAGTTAAAAGGCTTTCTTATTGTTCTTTTAAATGACCTAAAGCAGTGATTTCATATAAATGATGATCATTTAACTAACAATTAAATAGTGATAAAATAAATAATGAAATAAATATAATGTATTATACAAGCAAGTTACAATATCCTAATATATGTCTCTACTTTATAGGTGGTAGGATTAAAATTAGGAACGGATGGATAAGCGTAGCCGTGTTTGTTCTAAGAAGCATTAGCTGAACAATTTCCCTTTTAGGGGATGCTGGCATTGATACGCATAGTAGTGATATACAGCCTTGAGAGGGCATGTGTTTAGGAGCGGCTTTGCCGCCGGTAGCGAGTGCGTGGTTTAATACACCAAGACTGGAATACTTATGAAGTTACATCCACGTAAAGTGTAGGCCCATTATTATTATTATAAAAGTAATAATGCCCTAGTAGCCAAGCAGACTCTGCTTAATAACAATATACCTTATGATACACTTTCAATTAATTGGTTCGCCTAATCTGACAATTGCCCTCGGACAGTATCCATTAGGTATTCTCGTACATACCTACATACATGTATGTAATAGGTATGTATGTAGTCCTGCAGTTCGATAGGCGCTTCAGGTGAAAAGGATAGTCCCTAGTCCCCGGCCAGTAGCTAGCGTGCGGTGTGCGTATCTTGCAGCGCCGAGTTTAATATTTGGATACTGTTGCAAAGCTCTTCGAGCATGTTTGTCGCCCTTTTTCCTTCATCGCAAACTCGCCGGCTCACAAACATGGTGATATGCAGGCAAGATCCTTCAACGTCGACATCCCCTATGATATTCACGTCATGAATCAATCCTTGTTCCACCAGGTTTTCGAGCTGCGGCAGCACACCCATCTGCACCACCTGTCCTTCCATGTGACTTTGTGGGTGGGAGTCAAAGCTCTGGTATGCGAGATTACAGCTGTAGTTATCTACTTCATCTGGCCAATTTGTGCAGTGCTCCTTGATCTCGTCGAATCCCAATGTCTCAAAGGGTATACTGTTGATGTATTGGTCTTGCACTTGGGCGAGTAGCTCTCTCAGGTTGGCCGCTCCATCTAGCCGAACACGCACGGGAATCTGATTCGTGCATGGACCGACGAGGTTTTGGTAAGCCACCGGTAAGCCCTGCCGCCCAGACACAAGGCGGCCGAAAAGAATGTCCCTCGATCCGGTTTCCGTCGACAACATGAAAGCGCAGGCGGTAGTGAAAACCGTTGCCTGTGTAATGCCACTGCCCCCTCCTGCGTGGCGAGGAATATGGATAGTCTTCGACGCCTGATAAGTCCCAATAGTTGGAATTTCTTGACCAGCGCTGACGCTGATATCTTCCATCTTGGTCATCGACGAAGTCCGTAAAACGGAACGCCAGAACTCGTAGCCATCTTCACGACTGTCCGCCGCATGCTGCATGTACTGATGAAATGCGGGCGGCGCTAAGGGTTCGTTTCCGTTGTACAGAGCGTGAAGAGCTTGCAGGATGTGCTCTAGACTCAAGGCATCATAACAGACATGATTCATGCGAAGGATCACGCGTAATGGCGACCCATGTGTCCTTAGAATGGCAATGCGGAGCAATGGTTGCCCTAAAGTGACTGGATGCTGTGAGGCCCTTTTGAGCAATGCATGTGTGGCGACGTCGATGTTTTCTGAGGTCTGTATCATCTCAACAGGCACATCGAGATGCTTCAGGACGACCTGGTAAAGCTCACCTGCGACGGGCAGGAAAACAGTCCTGAAAATGTCGAAATACTCGACTAACGATTTACAGGCTCTGGTGAGGCCGGCCAGGTCCGACTCCTGCGGGAAGTCTATACTGAAAGGCGCTAGGGGCCAGGGATTTCCTGTTAAAGGATAATGGAGGTATCGCTTTTGCAACCGCGTAGCAGGATAAACATCTAAGATTTCGCCGCAGGAGTGGTCTAGTTGTGGACGTATTTCTCGCTGTACAAACGACTGCGGGTCTTCAAGGTCAAGGAGCTGGAATGAAGCGCTGTTAGCCGTTCGTTGACCGTTAGCCACATGGTCGCCCTCGGAGCGAGTAAGCTTCAGCTTGTTTGCGAGTTGGCCAGGAGCCGGGTGATCGAAGATATCCTTTACCGACACGCCAACATTCAGCCGACGCCCGATGCGTATAGCGAGTTTAGTAGCCATGAGGGAGTGTCCACCGAGTTTGAAAAAATTGTCGGTGATGCCGACATCAAAGCCTAACACATCTGAAAACTCCTCACACACCATAGTTTCTGTCTCGTCGAGCGGAACTCTAGGTGCGGGTGCCAATTCTGCCGCAGGCTCCAGTGCTACTTGGGCCCTCCGGGTAAGCTCTTTTCGGTCGGCTTTGCCGTTGGCGTTGAGAGGCATTTGGTCAATCACTACGATATGAGCTGGGATCATGTAGGGTTGTAGCGAGGCCTGCAACCTCTCGCGGATCTGTGATACGAGTCGGCCACCATGACTGCTGGCCTCATCCTGCTCGATCGAAGGGTCTCGCTTGTTCAAGACAAAACCCACCATTTCTGGCCCCCGACCCTCTTGGTTCCGTATGACGACGACAGCATCGCGGACTGATTCGTGTTCAAGCATGCCCCGCTCCACCTCTGCTGGCTCGACACGGTGGCCACGAATCTTGATCTGCTGGTCCATACGTCCAAAGAACTCTATTTGACCGTCCCCCGTCCGGTAACGCGCCCGGTCACCCGTCCGATATGCCCTCACGAGTTGACCATCGATCATCACTTGAATGAAGCGTTCTGTATCGAATGACGTGTCGGTATATCCCCGAGCCAGTCCGTCCCCAGTAACAACAAGTTCTCCCATAACACCAACAGGGACAAGCTGCTGGCATAGATCCATGATATAGGCCCCAGAGCCGCTGATGGCCCGGCCAATTGGGACTGCGTTGACAAAAGAGTCCTTTTTCGTAACATTATAAATTGTACTGATGACTCCATTCTCAGTAGGGCCGTATGCGTTATATAAACCCGTCCCGACGAGTGCTTGTGCCGCAATTGCATCCTGACTATCGAGCCTATCGCCACCACTGATCAAGACGTCGAGCCTTCTCAGCATAGTAGGGCTGTCACTCAGACACTGTTTAAGCAAAGCAGGTGTAAGCAATGCCGCGTGGACTTGCTCTCTCGCAAACACAGCGTCAAGGGCTTTGCTGTCTAGAACGGTCATATAGTCAATACAGACTAGAGTCCCGCCGTTAAGAAGCGGGGTATAAATCTCCCAGGTAGCGGCATCAAAGGCGATATTGGATAGATGGGCGATATTTGCCGCCAATTGGAGCCTGGGTACAACAGTACCCTTCACAAGTCGTACAATGTTGCGATGCTCGATCATGACGCCCTTAGGCTTTCCAGTCGACCCGGATGTGAAAATTACATGGGCAAGACTTGATGCCGAAGGGCTCGCAGGGGTATATACTTGGCCATTCAGACCATTTATATCATGATGCTCCAGAATGTAGCTGATTCGCACTACCTCCACACCAGGCAGCTGAATCTTCATAGACGTCATCTCATCAGAGCAGAGCAAGAGAAAATGGCGCCCTGGTAACGCAGATATGATCGATTCCAAGCGGGCGGTAGGAGCTTTCACGTCAAGCGGTAGATACGCGAGGTTTGCCTTCAGGATACCGAGTAAGGCAGTAATAGTTTGACATGACCGTGGTGCCAACACCCCGACTAATGTCTCAGCCGCCATATGCCGTCGGCCCAGCCAGCTTGAGAGCAGGTCAGATTGGTGATCCAATTCAGCATATGTGAGTCGCGAGGACGAGTCCGTGACGGCCAGAGCTTGCGAATTAATAGCTACTTGTTCGCGGAAGAGGTCGACCACGCTTGACTCACGAGAGTATTCAGTCGTTGTGATATCGGGATGGCTTATATTTCGGAGGCCAGCCAGCCCATCAGTAAGTGGTAGAATCGCAATCGGGGAATGGCGCTGACCAAGGCCTTGGCGTAGGACCATGTTAAAGACGTTGATCACATTTTGAATGTTTTCAATTTTGAATAGATCTGTCGCGAATGTCATATGACCGCTGAGCTTTCCGATACCTTGGAAAAGGTGGAACTCTACGTCGAATCTAGTCATTACCGGATTAGCAAGGGGCTCTCCTTTAAGAGCCTCTAACTCGAACTTGCCCAGGTCATGTTGAGAATGCAGAGCAAAGACGAGTTGCACCAGCGGGTTTCGGGACGTGTCTCTCGAGCCGGGTAGAACTGCTGATACGACACGGTCAAAAGGGACATCCTGATGCTCCAAGGCAGCTGCGACTGTTGATCGAACTTGTCGCACAAGGCTTTCGAATGTATCGTTATCTTCAACACTGATTCGCATGCACTGGGTATTGACGAAGAAGCCAATCATATCCTCTAGTTCCGGCCGGTTACGATTGGCATTAGGTGCGCCGATGGTAGCGTCTTCGGCGCCGGTGAGACGATAATGAGCAGCACGGAAGGCCGCCAGCAGCACGGCGAAAGATGTAGCCTTGTGTGCGTGGCAGAATTTTAAGAGCGTCTCGTATAGTTCGCCCTCTATAGTGACCGGTACGGAGCCTGCCTGGCCGGACAGTGTGTTCGGCCGGGGGAAGTCAGTGAGGAGTTCGGCTGGAGAGTTGTCCATAAGTTGATGGGTCCAGTACTCAAGCTGACGCTGATGTTCGGACACTTGCTCCTCCTGCCTTTGCCATACGGAAAAGTCGCGGTAGTTGATTGGGAGTGGCTTTACAGCTGAAAGAGGGTTATGGCCTCTGAGAGCAGCAGCGTAGAACTGCCCGAGTTCCCGGCATAAGATGCTAACAGACCATCCGTCAGAGATGATATGATGCATAACGATAGATAAGATGTGATCGTCTTCTCCCAGACGTATTAATAGTATCCTCCAACCTGCCTCAGAAGCCAGATTGAATGGAGTGGTCTGTTCTTGCCGTAGCAATTGGTGGTAGCCGCCGTTCTTGACATCAATCACTCTTAACTTTTCCATGCAACTCGCGTGAACAACTTGCATGCCCGTGCCATCCTGCTCCTCAAACGTCGTCCGCAAGGTTTCATGCCTTTGCTCCAGGCCTAGCAGTGCTGTAGTAAGCGCGTCGATACGTAGCGTTCCACGCATACGGACGGCGTACGGGATGAGGTATGATGACGCTTCAGATTTTAACTGTTCTAAGAACCATAGACGGCCCTGCGCAAATGACTGTTCAACAGGACCTTCGTAAATAATTGTCGGGATGGGCTTGTGCGCAGAGGAGTCTCGATAAATTGCACCAATCAGACCAGTAAGCGTAGGATTCTCGAATATATCAGTCACCCTTAGAGCTATGCCGGCTAGCCTCGCCATATTCACCATTCTCATCGCTGCGATTGAATTTCCACCCAGCTCAAAGAAGCTCGCGTTTTCGCTATCAGAATTGGGATCGAGATCCAAGCTTCGAAACCAAAGCTCCGTAATTTGGGCTTCATTATTAGCAACCGACGAACTAAACCTCACATCTTGCTGGTTTGTCACGATCTCAACTAATTCATCTAAAAGCTTATTGGCAATTGATCGAAGCTTTCGTCTGTCCGTTTTCCCGGTCACAGTTTGGGGAAGATGGCTAACGAGAATATAGTAGGCTGGAATTGAATGCTGGGGAAGAACCTGCTGCAGCTTCGAGCTTATACTTGTGGCACCACTGGTGTCCAAGATGCGTGCATCTATGTCCTCAGTGGCCCTTGAAGATTCTATTAGGAAGGCAATCAAGTGCGTGTTGCCTAACGCGCCCGAGCGTTTAATACCCTCGACCACGGGTATGTAGTTAGATGATTGTTCTCGTAGACGAGTTTCTACCTCGCCGGTTTCCACGCGCTGCCCCCGGATCTTGACCTGTGAATCTGCGCGTCCAAGGTATAGAACGCTTCCATCAGATCTGTAACATACGAGATCTCCGGTTCTGTAGAATTTGATGCCATCGGGGAGTGTCTGGGAAGGATACCAAGCCGGAATCGTTGAAACAAAGCGAGAGCTGCCCTGCGGCGGAGTGACAATGTATCCGCGCGCAACACCTGCGCTTTCAACAACCAACTCGCCAATGCAGCCGATCGGAGCGAGCCGATTGAACTCATTGGGATCGACGACCCAGAAGCGGGCGCCTACTGCCCGGCAAACATTGCTCGGCCCCTGAGACAGCGAGATTACCTGGGTGGCACTGCAAATGATTGAGATTTCGCTCAGTCCGTATGCATTCAAGAGCTTAACTCGTGGAGCCCAGGAGTCAATGAGAGATGCTGACATCAACTCCCCAGCCGACACTAAGGTCTGGAGTCCCGGGACACTGCCGGGATCAATAGTGCCGATGAAAGAAGGAGTCAGCAGCGCCCAATTAACATTCCATCTTCTGATGAAATCTGGAACATTGTTCATGCGATCGTCCTCAGAAGGAATACAGACGCAGCCTCCGTGAATCAGAGTCACCACAATCTCCACCATAAACGAACCGAAAGAATACGACGCAAACTGAAGAGACCGGGTATTGCTGTCAATACCCAGCGCGCGGCCGCATTCGAGCGCGCGCGACACGAATCCCTGGTGTTCAATCATCGCCCCTTTCGGTTCCCCAGTGCTACCGGAGGTAAAGAGAACGTAGGCCAGGTCTCGCGACTTTACCGTGGGCTTAACCCACTCTTTATCGCAAGGAAACGACCGGCAAGCGTCGTCATTGACCACTATGCAATGGCCCACAACACTGCCCATGGTGTCACGGTAGAATTCAGAGGTGAGAGCAAATGTGGCGGAAGTCTGCGAACATATTTGTGCGATCCTAGCTCGGGGGATGGATGGGTCGATAAGCGTAAATGCCAGTCCTGCTTTGAGCACGGCGAGCATTCCAGCGACGACCCATTTCGACTTTTCGAAGCAAATTGGCACCACCGTCTGCCCCTGGATAAAATTGTGGCTTTGGAGATGCGCGGCGAGACGTGAAGACACAATTTCTAGCTCATTGTAAGTCCAGTCCCCGTCCCAAGCGGATACTGCGGTTTTTCTTGGAACAGCAGCCGTTTTCGCTGCAATCATCTCGTGAATGAAGCCGTCTTTGGTTCGAGGCCTTTCTAAGTTCCAATGCGCGATCTCCGCTCTGTCCTCTTGTGTCATAAAGTCTAATTGTCCCACCAACAGCGGATCGACAACGTGACTCTGGAATTGCTCGATCAAACATCCCAGCTGTCTCAGAAGTCGGGCCACCTGAAGAGCGTCCATCACCCTCTGATCATAATTCGCCGTCAGTAACGCAGAATCATCCAACATGTGACAATGAAGTAGGAGAGCGCGGTCGCTAAAGGGCGCAAATCTATCCATCTCATCAGCAGTTCGATGACTAGGTGCATGTGGCGCGCTATCAGCAGTGACCAGCAAAATGGTCTGGAATCCCCAAGCGGCAGACTCGTTGTCTCCCGCGTGACCAACGTCGCACAGACCTATCCGTCCAAAATTATTTACGGCATTCTCGTAGGCAGTTATCGCTCCCATGATGTCCGACACGGAGTGATGGGACGCGCATAGGACACGCATGGGCGTCAGTGTTCGTGCTGGACCATCGAGTGAGTGCACTTGTTCCTCACCCATTTGAGTTCGCTCAGTGACAACACCGAAGAGTGCCTCCGAGGCAAGTGTCGACCGAGCCGAGACCACTGCGAGGGCTCCCCGGCATATGGTCGTACTGGACCACGTCTGCTGCGTTGGGGCTGAGTAAGAAACACGATGCTTTAGTTGTGTATCGAGACGGTATCCAGCAAGTTGGGACGGCCGAGCCGGAAACTCGGAAGCATTCAGTTCCTCAAAGTGTCGCCGCCAAAATATATTTGCTTCCTCAGTTCTCATAGATTGGGATTTCTTTGCTATTCCGGTGCTATTAGAAAACTGAACTCCCCGGCCATCGCCAGGCACAAAGGATGTTGAAGTCGCCATTATATCGTTACCTGATGCTATAATGGCCGTATGAAGGCATGTGTCTAAGTGCCTTCGTTTTTAGAAAGGAGGTACAAATGAGTGAAACGAATGGGTTTCTTGAGTATGCAGACAAAATGAGGGTGGCCCGCCCGGCTTTGTTAGATGGTCTGTATATGAGCGTACACTTAGCTCGACTACTTGATTGAAAATTGGGAATACGTTACTTATACACACGAACGAAAGTCCGTGCCTCTGAGTCTGTAGAAAGCATTGAGTAGTAGCTCTTTGACATGACATACTTTTAAAACAGCTCACCTGAGGAAAGCTGGGTTTATAGTGAGAGACATGACAAATAAAGCAGAACGGCATTTTTAAGAGCGAGACAAATATCAAAGCGATAATTGGTAGAACCAACTTGATTATACCCAAGTAGTTGGTATGTTGAACGGGCTTGGTAAAAGAACTATAGATATTAGCATGATACTTTACAGTTGTACAGCGCCAGACGGATATTCGCTAGCTCGGATCTTCGCTTACTCGGATCCTGCTCGCTAATTCGGATCTTGGCAACACCTGCAGTAAGAATGAATTTCGTTAAGTGACACCGCTTACTTTGCCACCTAATCTACTAAAAGTAGAATTCAGCATATGCGGCTCAGGTAGGATAATGAGGTTGTATATAGGCACCCACCCCATTGCACCTGCGTAGAGCTGACCGCATTACGCGATAGACACGTACTAGTAAGCCGGGCTTGTTTATATCCTCTATCGCCATAACCCCGATGAGCCCACAGACTGAGGAGGTCGTGCGCGTCCTCGTGCTCGAGGTATATGAGTTGAGGGAACGGTGATGGTTGACTCTATGGCACGTTTCTTCTAGTAGAGGGCACTGCTGAGATGAGGTCTGACGAGAGAGCTAGAGCTAAACTGATTCATCACAACGGCAACATTGACATAAGGCTGAAATCGTCAAGCTTCAGGATGCAGGCGGCGTATCGGCGGCGGTCGGTCAGAGGCCGCCAGGTTTGGTACTGTTTCTATAATCAAGCGAGGGTGAAACCGCCGCCAGACAGCAAACGGAATGGAGTAGTACAGCACATCATATTGATAGCCTCAGGTGATTTCTTCCTTTTCGCGACCTCGGTCGTATCACGATCGCGGT